TAGAATGACGTCGCTGTCGGCGGCCGAGGTGCTTCCCATGATGCCGCTGGGGTTCGACAGCGGCGACGCACCCGAGTGGGAGCCATTGGTGGAGCGACGCCGGTCCCGAACAGATACAACCATCTGCTTGAAACCCGGAACGATGGCCGTGGGGCCAAAGTAACGGAAGTATGGCACCCGATGGCTGTGATTCATGCTCCGGCGCATGCTTGGGGACCCTGGGTCTTCCGATGTGAGGGAGTTGTGCGTCGCCATCGACTGAGCCGGCATGGGGTGGGCTGAGCTCGCAGCTGTCGGCGCGTTTAGCATCGTGGGTGATGCCGATGCTTTGCTGGGCACTGTCGGGGACGCTGTGTTGCCATGTTGGTTCGCGAACGGTCGGGTACTCGATTGCGGCGACGAGGCAGGGCCGGACCTGCGATGCGATTGATGCGGTTGTTGCGTGGTGATGATGTTGGCCAGCTTCTTTGGCTTCTTGTCGTCTTCCTCGATACTGTCCTCGACGTCGGGCCTCTCCTCGTAGTCGTCGACTTTGCCGTCCCCCACATCACCTCCATCTTTCTTCTCCTCCGGGTACCCCAGACATTTGTGCCCGTTCTTTGTGCACGTAGAGCACTTGGGTCGCTCGCCAGCGCATCTCGTTTTTCGTCGGCGGCATGTTAGACATCTGCAGGAGAGGAAAGCCGAGGCATGGTTAGCTCATGATCCGTTCGTCCCTCCCTATTACTAGAGACGGCAACCCTGACATGTGATGAGGTAGACCAATGCCCAACAGAGGTGCACGACTGCCAAGGTCCTCGAACATGTGGCGGCGGGTGAGACAAGGGAAGGTGAGAAAGACATACGCAGCAGTGATTCGACGGCGCTTCGAGGGAGGCTGGCCCTGATTGTTGACGAAACGAATTTGCCTGGGCGGCGGAGGAGGGTCGGCATCGTGGTTCTTGTTCATTAAGGTCGTCGCCATGGTTCGTCGATCATGGTGCGCGGACAGGAAGCCTTGGCTGAGAAAGAGTGTCGAGCTAGAGTCGAGATGGGATTGGCTGCGTCGCACCGAGGGTTTTTGTCGCGGATGGATGGATTAAGCAGGGTTCATAGGATGGATATCAAAACGGGTCATGAAGAGCTAGAAACAGAACGGGGGAAAAAGAAAAAAAAAAGAGACGCGAGTATTAGGTAGGCGCTTAGAGCCGGGCGCTTGGGCAACAGGATCAGCTGAAAAGGTTGACAATTCAAAGAATCACGTCCGCCGACATGGCGGAAGGGATGCTTGATTGGGGAGAAAAGAGGTGTGTCGAGGGAGGGAGGTGTTCACGATGATGGGCAATGGAAGACAGTTTGGTGGGGCGGAGAAGGTCAGTGGAAAATGGGCGGCTCGCCCCGGTGGAGGACCGGGTTATTCATTTATCGACGGCGACAGCTAGGACCAACAAGCGAGCGAGTAACAACAAGAGTCAGGCTGGATGACCGACGAGCAGGCTGGCTGGTCGGGTATGGTGTAGGGGGTGGGCGAAAGCTGGTGGATGGATGGGGGAGCTGTTCGATTGAGAGGAGGAGGATGAATGAGGCGGCGACGAGCGTGGCTTGCTCGAGGCCGACAGGGAGGGCTTTCAGGGCACGCTACAGGAAGCTTAGCACCTGGGCCATGGCCAATTACAGTGGGGAGGCTTCTGGACAGGGGCTTCACACCGGCTGCAGCTCAAACTGGTAGCCTGGGCTGTGACAGCTGTAGCGCAACCCATCGCTGCAGTGTCACTGTGTCAGAGTTGGGCAGAGCTAGAGCAGCACCAGATCAAGTGTGAATGGGACTCGCCATCACATCACTCCATCTCGCATATCCTCTTCCTCCTGTCACCCAGCTCGCCCGCCAGCCCACTTTTACAGAGCAGCTGGCAAATGCAAGGTGCAGGATTCGCGGGCCAGGTGACACTTTCGAGCTAGCGTTGAATCGAGCTAGATGGTTGCCGTCTCCAACTTTCTGGGGAGGCGCTTTAAGGGCCCGATCTGACTGCTCACCTCGCTAGGAACTGGCTCAGTATCAATATCCTCCCAACTTGCATTCTCAGCCCATATGTACCGTGCCCGACTCCCGGTTAGATCCTCTCTGTCCTTCTCCACGCCCTAATGCCTGCCACCCCTTGCTGGCCATGTGCTGAGAGCTGGCCTTTTAGTAATGTCCAAGAGTAATAGATTGAGTCCTCGTCTCGGTGGACGAAGCTTGACTAGATCGAACTCGGCTATGTAGAGCACTTTCGTCCAACGCTCAAGTCACGCTTGATGGCAATAATTTGTCATCCAACCAAAATCAGCGGGCGGGCGCAGGAAGCCAACCCGCAAGTATATAGTAGCGATTATTATTGACCCGGAAGAGCGACTGCAACACTGGAGTGTTGAAACAGCACTCAAGCAACCCTGCTATACACCATCGTGTACAGACAACGTGGACGGCTTGGCAAGCACACGGTGTAAGAAGGAATGCAAGGCGCATCGTGCCGCCCAATATTCAGATCGTCATCTCAATGGGAGCACCTTGGTTCTTTCTTCTCGAAAAGCTGGAGAAACTGGGGTGGGCCATTGCTTTCGAATCCACGCCAAAGCCATCCGATCCCGGGGTGACATCTTACCCGAGCATGGCCTTGCTGGCATGTATGAAGGAATCTCTGATCATCTGACCATATGGGTGGGAGAAACCTGGAGTCTAGCGCGATGGCTGGGGCTGCCGTGCCAGGAGGCGTGGAGGCGTACGCAACTAACCTCCGAGCGAGCCCTCTTCCTCCTCCCAAATAACGGTGTGTGTAGGACAAGCATTGTTAACTCCACCATCAGGAACCTTCATTTGATGACCACCTCTGTCTCTGTATCACCCAGAGACTCCGGGGGCAAGGAACTGGCGCGGGGCTGCTTGCTGATGGTGGTGGTGGCAACGGAACGAACATGGCATAACCACCACCTCGCCAATAAGCGGCGCATGAAAGCCTGTCGGACGAAGCAAGACAGGGTACCTGTCGCTAGTCCTCCCGCATCAATGCTCCTCTTTTAGCCTATTATCCTTTAACCTGCTCTCGCTATTGCTGCCGCTTCGTCTGTCCTCGTGATTCATCGTCTCATTTTTTCTGTTAGTTCTGAATGATTCCCTCTAGCCGCTCTGGAGGGGAATGCCCAATGCGGTAATCCGAGCATTCCTACCAGTGTTTTTAGAGCAAGCCACATGCAGAGAAGTCAAATAGGCACCGTCTGCTTGGGTTTCTTGGGATGTACTTGCATGAGTAGGCAGCAATCAAAACGGTTCCATCGCAGGGCGTTGAAAATCAGGACCCAGCGATAGGGTGCATTCGGGTGTGCAACGACAGAGCATGCTTGCTGTCTAACCATGGGTTTGGGCAGCGCAACACACCCAATCTGCAGCTCTATTGACGCGCGCATCGTTGAGAGCAGCCGTCCATCACTCCTGTTTTGGAGGATGGGCTGTTGATCCTCCGGGGTCCCGGCGGCAATCTTACCTCCTTTCTTGCTTAGACAACAGAAGCAAGCAATCGCCAACCGGCTGTTCCAGTAGCTTGGACTAATCGAAACTAGCAGGTAGCTTCTTTTTGTTGAGGGTTGTGAATCCACGAACTAGCAAAACGGGGCCAGCCTTGGTTTCCTGTCAGGATGCCACCCAGCTTTGGAGGAAGCGGAAGGGCAAAGATCAAGACGGACCATGGGAGTGGAGCAGCTGGTCCGACTTGTCGCTGCTTTAGAATGTTGTTTCCTTTCTTTTCTTGGAAACCGGGGCTGTTTTCTCCCCTGCCTGGTGGGTATGATAATGGCCATCCACCCGGAGCAGGACCCTTTCTTTTCTCTAAATCTCCGGCATGCAATAATGTCGTGTTCTGCACGCTGTTCAGGCTGCTCTCGGTGTGATGGCTCTTATCACCCGTCAATTCCATTGGTTGGTAAGCTGCCAAAAAAAAAGAAAATAGATGAGACATGCAATCACAGTGAGATCACAGCGCAGATCTGGTGGCAATGGCAGCACACCCTCGCAAGCCCAACGAGCCTTGCTGGCTAAAGAGTTGGTGTGTCCCCCCCCCTATCCCGTCAGATTTTCATGTCGATGTCCGCGCGGCCGCTACCGTGCGTTGCTACATGGCCTGGTGAATTCCCGCGGTTATTGCCGTGTCGAAGGGTGGTGGTGGTGGGTGGAGGAGGCTGGAAGCGAGCTCGCGAGGTGCCTACTCATTCGGTGGACGCAGACAGGAGGAGCCATGGCTGAAGTGACTCGGTGTGAGTGGGATGGCACCACGGTGGATTGCTGTAGGCCTGGCTGACTGTCAATATTGCGTGCTGTCGCAATTACTTTGCCTTCTGGGATCAGAACCCTGCGACTTCGGACAACTTACGAGTAGAGCCCAGACGGCACATCCCCACACTCTACTGCCGCACCGGCCCCGCATTCTCCCGCTATGAAACCCAGTCATGTCGTACATCACATCGACATCGTCCCGGACGTCTGGCGGCAGGGTTTGTTCGTCGGCTGTTGGGTGATTTGTTGGCGATGGCCTTAAGCAAACAATAGCAACTTTTTCGATTGCTGATTACCTCATACTAATGGAGAAGAGAGAAGTGCCATTGGTCATTTACTGAGGCAGGTACGGTCCAGTAGCATCCCAGTGCCAAGCACCAGACCTCTTCCCGTGGCAGGCGCAGAGCAGTCTCCATCCGAGCTTCAAACCTACCACGGATTAAAGAGAAGAGCCACTTCAAATTGAGGAGAATACACAAAAAAAGGCGATACATGTATTCGACTTATTTTGATTACAATCAATGGAATTTTCATCCGAGTTTTTTTAGTGTATTCATATGGATGAAAATTAGACCCCTTGGAACGCAAACAACACCAAATGATACCTGAATCGTAAGGCTTAATAAATTTCAAATATTGAAAATCTAATCGCATATCCATGAAATAACAACGCTATGTTTGGGTCTACTGATCTGACAGTCATTACCGGCCTCTTTGTTTACAATACTGCAACATTTGAGGAAGTGTCGTTCACAATAGCTGCAACATTTGAAGAAGTGTCGTCCTCGATAGCTGCACCATCCGAAGAAGTGTCGTCCACGCTAGCTGCATCGTCAAACTCCCCTGGTTGCAATGGATCTTCCTTCGGCCATGGCCACCAACCCTCCAGCGGCATGTGCCCATACAACTCGTTCGTATTGTACCCTTCCTCTCGAGCCCAGTCATACTTATAGACCTCGATACCCGAGGAAATAGCGTTTGCGCGCCGGACTAAGTCAACAGAGAGGACGTCGAGCTTCATCTCCCGCAGCTCGGCGCAGGACCGTCCATAGATCCACAGCGTGGCCCTCCATTCAGGGTCGTCGCCCAGGTCCGCCAGCAGGTAGCGGCGGCCGAACAGCCAGCCCAGCGATTTTGGCAAGCTGGGCATGTTGTCTGATGGGACTAGGATACACCCGTCCGCTTTCTGCACGTTGGCCTCGGACCAGTGCAGGCCGTTCATCATGAGAGAGTCGACGTCTTTGACGTAGAACTCCATCTCCGCCTGCCAGGAGGCGAAGGTACCTTGAAGTGACGCTGGGCGCATGGTCATGTAAATTGTACCTCCATTGAAGCGATTGTCAAATTTGGGGTTTTCCGGGTAGGTATTTTCGTCCAAGGGGACGACATCGGTAAGCATAGATTGAGCAGGGCTGGGTTGTTCCTTGTGCTCGTCATCGGCCCCTCCATTAAAAGGTCGATATTTAGAGATGAGCTCCCTGGCATTGTTGACTAGTTCGTGAACCCGCTCCATCACGAATTTGACTTCGATTATGGCCACAAACGGCAGTTCAATAAGCAGTGTGATATTGAGGAAGAAATCGAAATGAGATATGGGGAATATAGTCAGTGAGTATGTTTGAGTGGGTGAGTGAGAATCTAGGTAGAGAAGAAGATCAGAGGAGTTCTGTTTCTTTTAAACCTGCCTTTGTTACTTGAAACAACATTTCTTCATTCTTTTGGTTCGAAAAACGACTTCAAGGTTTCTGTGGCTCAGAAACCTTGAGGATCTTGGCCTCCAATTAAGTTGAATACTTCCCATGATGTTGGAAAATGACTTTTTAAAAGTGCAACATATGAGTCAACAGTCTTCGAACTATAAAAGGATAGCCGTTGGTTCTTGTCTGGGGCGAGGGTTCTGCTGGGCGGTGGCTTTCATTATACTTTATTCATAGCTGAACCTAGACGAGTAACGTGTAGGAACATTGTAAAGGACTGGCTCTACTACCTGTTCTTCACAATTCCATCATATTCAAATCTCCAAGTCATTGTCTGCGCTGGTATGAGTACGAGGCTCGATCTAAGTTTATGGGATGCTGTCCACCTGAAGTAAGGAGTGTCTGTTCGCTGTAGCCAAAAAAAACACACGAAGAGGAGAGCAAATATCCTAAAAAGATTGTTGAAAAACTGTTACTTTGTTTCATCGTATCGTCGAACAGAGACAGAACAATTAGAGGCATCAGACCCACGCAGACCCACACGGCCCATGGGTTGATGATTGAAAAATTGCCCAATTAGGACTGGTGTTACTGCCAGATGGTACAGGGTAGCCAAACCAGCCAAACACCCCCAGAATCGGCTCTCCCAATTGGTTTATCTGACGATGCTTGTCGCCTTTCTCAGGCAATCTGCTGCGACCCGCGAGGCATTCACCGAGCACCAGCCCAGATGCCTGGAGTGCCTTGTCGACAATTGATCTTGGGCGAGATGGATTTGCTTAAAAGGGCGGCACGCCCCCTTTCCATCCCATCGAGGGCATTCCATCCATCTCCTTCATTTCTTCTCTCCCGTACCTTAACTCATCGAAGCAATTGGTTCAGTCAGTCTCACCCATACATACAACATCTATTCTTTGTGACTTGAAGTTGTTGAAACCATTGGCGCATCACGGACTGGCCTTGTCGAGCCAATTACCATGGACTCCATCTCCAGAGTCGAGTACAACATCCGCGACCTGAGCACCAGGTCGGTGACTCTGTTCCCTACAAAGGCTCAGGTCTCCCGTGATGTGAGAGATGTGCCATTGCGCCCTGGCACTAATGAGATCACTATCCTGGGCCTTACACCTACCGTCGACGAGCACTCGATTAAGGTCGAGGGCAACGGCGCAGCCACCATCGTCGACATCAGCATTGAACCCGTGCCCAACCATGAGCTGTTTGCCGACGTCTACCCCGACTCTGACGACGAGGAGAAGTCGGACGAGGAGTCGGATGTTGAAGACGTCGAGGTCAGCGAGAGCGCAGAGCTCATAACAGCCAAAGCGCGTGTGACAGAGCTCAACGACCAGGTCGAGATAGCCAATGAGGTGGTCAAGTCCACTGAGCTCCGAAAGAGATATCTCAATGGCTACTACAACTCGCTCAACCCCAAGCACAACATCGACATTGAGAAAGCGATGGCCACCTACAAGGACGAGCGCATCAAGGCCCATCAAGAGTGCCTCGAAGCTCAAGAGCTCAAGAGCAAGCTCGAGCCAGAGCTGCAGAAGGCGCAGGCCATACGCGCTCGGCTGATCAAACGGCATGAGAGAGAGAAGACCCGCGCCAACCGTGAGACAGCCAAGATCCGGAAGCGCAAGAGTGTTGAGCGGCGCAACAAGGAGTTGAGAGAGCAGGAGCGTGTCAAGGAGAAGAACCGCATCCGAACAGAGAGGGAGAGCTTCTGGCCCAAGTACTGCTACGCCGTGCACATCAAGCTTGAGGTTGGCGTCGCCACACCTGCACCGTCTAGTGTTGACGTGGCTATGGGTGAAAAGGACTGGGAGATGCCTCAGAATGACCAAAAGGGCGAGTCGGTGGCCCCAGAGGATGTGATGCTCCAGAGCTGCGACTTGATCCTCTCGTATATTACTGGGGCAGCCTGTTGGCAGCCGAGCTACGATATCCAGCTCGATACTACAAATTGCACCGGCATCCTCTGCTTTGATGCGCAAATCACCAACACCACCTCTGAAACCTGGGAGAGGTGCAAGGTTACCCTCTCCACATCGCAAGCAGCATTCTCAGGCCTTGTGGACGCTGCTCCTACTCTTGAGCCTTGGAATATCATACTCAAGCCCAAGGGCGATGGCTACGGGCCCGATCCCCTCGTCAAGAGCCGCGAGGAAGTCGAGCTGCGCTCAAGATTCTGGGAGTCACAGCACCCTAGGTCGGATATGAAGCCAAGGATTGCAATGTTTGGCATCGACAACCCTTCATCCAACACCCACCCACCACCTGTCCCGGCAGCTTCAGGAGCTGCACCACATGCGGGCATGTCTAATCAACAGGTGCAAGATTATCAAATGCAGCTTATGTTGTTGGAGCAGCAGAACAAGAAGCGCCTGATGATGTCTAGGCAGGAGCAGGGAATGCAAGGCTTGCAAGCCCAAGCTCAGATGCAAGCGATGCAGCAACAACAAGCACAGCAACAGCAAGGATTCCAGCAGGTGCAATCACAAATGCTGGCAACGCAACCAGGAGAGGGAGTCATCAACTTCTCAAACACCCCTCCCAATCCCCAGCCTCAAGCCTTCCCCCAGCAACCACCACCCTTCGACGACGCAGCCCTCTCCGACCCAGGCACCGTCAGCCGCGAGGACTCCCGCCTCAGCTTCGAAGAATCCCTCATCGACCAGACCGGCTTCACCACAACCTACGACCTCCCCGGCCTCAAGACCCTCGCGCCCAGGTCCACCCCAACCAGCCAGCGCGTCGCCCGCATCGCCTTCCCCAACGTCCCCTTCCGCCACACCATCGTGGCCAAGTACCGCCCGGCCGCCTACCTCAGCGCCAAGCTCCAGAACGACAGCAAGATCAACCTCACCCGCGGCCTCGCCGGCGTCTCCCTCGACGGCAGCTTCCTCGGCCGCGTGCCTCTCGGCCGCTGCAGCGTCGGCGAGCACCTCAACCTCAACCTCGGCGTCGACCCGGCCATCACCGTCGCCTACCCGCCCCCGGAGGTGCACAAGGCCACCCGCGGCTTCTTCGCCAAGGACGACGTGAGGGTGTACGAGCGCTGCGTGCGCCTCGAGAACAAGCGCACCTGGACCGCGCAGGCCACCAAGCTCTTCGTGCTCGACCAGATCCCCGTCGCCGAGGACGAGCGCCTGCGCGTCGACCTGCTGCAGCCCGAGGGCCTGGTCATGGACGGCGAGAGCAAGCCGACGGGAGTGCCCGGCAGGACCTTCAAGGAGGAAGATAAGGCGTGGGGGCGGGCGTCGGCGCATCTAAGGAAGGGCGGACAGGTGCAGTGGCTGGTGTATCTGGAGCCCGGCAAGGCCGTCAAATTGCCGCTGGAGTACCAGGTTTCGGTTCCCAACAACGAAGAGGCGGTTCAGGCGCCTAGGGCATAATTATCACATTATTCTTTCCTCGAGACATCCCAGTAAACGGAATGACCAAGGATGAGAGCGAAGACGAGGCGATGCTGTTGAGAGATGGCCAGTATGTAAACAATGTGCTTTATTTTCAATATCTGTTGGGTATTACTTGACTCGCCCGTATCCAATTCCAAAATCAGAGATGCAATTTTGCCATTTCCACTTACACCTCCCATAACCAAGGTCCTTTCTGTATATCAGCACTAAGATGCCGGCCCAAATTTACCAGATAGCTCCGTGATCTGTCTCTACTTAATCTTCCCGGTAGATCGACCATGTATCCCCATCACCAGAACCGCTATGCTCCGAAACCATTATCAAAAGAAGCCCTCTCCTTTTATCCAAAAACAATTGTCAGTCCCATGTCTTGACTGACTCTGCGCCATAAGTCAACACCAGCGCCTCCCACCATCATGCCGTTCCTCTCCGCCATCAACATCGCCCCATCTGGGCCTTCTCCCGGCTTCCTCGAGGCCACATCGCGCATCAACATCATCGCCGCCATCATGGCCTCCTCCTCCTTCTCCTCATCGTCTGCCCGCCTCCACACCTCCTGCACAACCGTCCACGCGCGGTCAATGTTCGCCATCCCCTGCCGCCTGTCGATGGCCACAAACGACTGCCTCGCCAGGTCCCTGTCCCCCTCGTCCGTTGCTTCGCAGGCCGCGACGAACAGCGGCCATAGCAGCGCACTCATGGGCCCCTCATTGCTCACCGTTCCCACGCAGTGCTGTAGGCTCAGGCGAGTATGCTGCTGCACTAGCGCATGCGACCGCGGGTACTTGCGGATCGTGCGGTAAAGATACACAAACGCCGAGTGGCGGTAGGCGTGCGCATTGTTGACGATGCTGCGCAGGCGTGAGCGTTCTTTATCGGTCTCTGGCTCCGAGGATGACGAGACGTCCTCGGCTGGGAGAACGGGCTGCCACTGGGTAAGCGCGACTTGGATGGCGGCGGTGGTCGTCTCAAGCTCGGTGCGGAGGACGGCAACTTTGGAAACTTGGCCCTGAGCGGTGGCAGTCTCGAGCTCGGCCTTGAGGCTGACGAGGGTGGAGAGGCGGTGGATGATGGGCCAGAGGGTCGTAGCCATGCCAAGGAGAGTGTCTACGCTGGAGGAGGCTGAGGGCGCCCCTCGTGGGTCGAGGGCTGGGAGTGGAGAGAGCTGTCCTCGGCCAGGGGCAGGGGAGAGCGGTGCGGTGCCGAATGACAATGCAGCAATGACGTCGTAGAAACCGAAGGCCTGGACAAACTAGTTAGCAAGGTAGGACGGGAAGCAAGGGTTTCGTGCAGCTGCGTACTCGTTCTAGAAAGACACTTGTTGGGTCGCTGCTGGCCTCGGAGTTGTTGATCAGGGTCATGGCGCCCTTCAGGTGACCATCCACAATATTTGACCGCCCGCGTTGGACCAACTGGAAAGATAACCATCGTCAGCTTACTATCCTAAAGGTTTGTAGGAGCTCCCAAAGACAGTCAATGGCAAACATACCACTTCATAGTAGACGATCAGCATGATTGCAGCCAGGAGTTCATTCCAATTCTCGTGATTTTGTTTGCTTCCGCGCTCAATGAGCCCGGCGAGCTCTTGAATTGCCTTGCCATGGAAAATGTCACTTTTCTCGCCTGGATCTATACCGCGAAACTCGAGATGAGCGCTAGCCAGCGCATACACGGCATCCATGACGGCGGGACTTCGGTGGCAAAGCGGAAGGACAAGCTGTTGGAAAGGATTGCCGTTCTCTTCTCGAAAGACGATGAGATGGGAGAGAACGTTGCAGAAGTGATCGACAAGGAAGCGACGGTTCTTTCGACCGGAGAATTCGGCAAAGGAGGGCGAACAGAATTCGAGGAACGGTGTTGGTTCTTGGTGATGGTGGTGGTTGTGGGTAAGGGTGAGGGCCGTTGCGACTGCGGCCGAGTCCCGGCGAATGACTTCCTCCACATCTCTGTCGTGATCATGAGGGGCTGAACACCCATCGAGGCTCGCAAGGTCAAATGTGGTCGTCGTGATGGGAGAGAAGACTGCTGTGGTATCTGCCGGTGTCCATGAGGTGAAGTACGTCTCCAAATCGCTACGCGCGGTGCTCGCTGACATGGGCACCTGTCCTAACCGATCGTCCAACACGACCGACTCGGTCGCCTCGATGCCACCGGCCCTTCGGCTCCCGTCACTGCTACTGTCGTCGCCTTGCCCGTCGTTTCCGTCCCTCCAGCTCTGCTGGCTCTCCCACTGCTGGATCGAGACAGCAGAGAGGGGTGTGTGGATCTGTAGGGCCCGGTCCGGTCGTGCATCATTTGCCTTGGTGGTATCGAGTGAAAGACTGTCGCGCTTGCGCCGTTGTCGGGGCTTGACAGGTTCGTAGACACATTCCTGTCGTCGCTCGAGGCATCGCGCACAGTTGGGGCGGACTTCGTCGCATTTCTTCTTCTATATTGTGGGTTAGCGTGTGAGATTTGAGACATGGAAGGATAACCTCGGCACTGGAAGCCGTTGTATTTGGGAGGGAACCAATGGTACCTTTTCTTTACTACAGGAGAGAAGCACTTGTTAGCTCTGCTGTGCGCCCATGCAGGAGAGGTCTGAAGGAGGAATACTTACCAATAATTACATCCTGTAGAGGGGAGAACGAGGGCGTTTAGTTAGCTTGTTCATTCTAGACAGGGGATGTATGAAGGAATTGGCAATTGGGGTGATTTGCTGTGGGTGCATTTTTTATTCAATAAAAAAAGAAGCTCGTTCTTTTTCTTTTTCTGCCTTACCTGCTCGTGATCGCGTCTTTGGGACCTTTGGAGGTGCGAGTCTCGTGTACAGCAACATCCTAGATTGCGCTGAACTAGGTAGAAGCTGCCTCGGCGTAAATCAAAGTCCGAGGAAAGAGAAAATTCCCACTGGGGCGAGAACAATTCAGCCTCAATGGCAGAGGAGAAAGCGAAGAGAGGGCGAGGAGCTGGGAGAGGGCCGTTCGCGTAAGCGAAGAGAGCAGAATAAGGCCCAACTGAAATAATGTGACGAGGGTTCGTTTATTGGAAGCAGGCGGTTGGTGTGCTGGCAGAAGAAGGGGAATCAATCGATTGACGAGGTGTGCTTGATCTGGCGGTGCCAAAAGTTATATGGGCGAGCTACAGTCCAATCCAAATAAGGGTAGGAAACTGATCGCGGCGCAGGCGGAGACCGAAAAGCGGGCACGGGTGAAGACTGCGTGATGGAGGGGAGACGAGAGGGAGAAGGGCGCCATGTATAGAGAAGAATTGAGAGAACATGAACGAATAAGGTTGTCCGGGGTTGGAGTCGATGGCGGCACGGGGGAGGGGTGGATCGAATGGAGGTTTCCAGAGGGGTGGCAAGTATGCTGAGCGAGATATCTCGGTCCCTTAGTCTATGTCTGGGTAGGATGGATAGATGGAGGGTGAGCTTAGGCCGACTTGGAGATAGGTACAGAGATGTGGTAGAACGATGGGAGGAACAAACCGAATTCTGGAGATCGGCCGCGGACTGAGAAGGAGGGTTGGGTTGGGCTGGTTGGAGGCAGGCACCAGCACCAGCGCCACTACAGCAGCAAGTTACAGGGGCGATCAGGCGTAAAAGACGGTGATGAGATGGGGCTGGCCGCTGGGGGCTCCATTCGATCAGTCACAAGGGACGAAGTACGGGGAGGGCACGCTAACGCATGGAAGGCCCCAGCGAGCCCAAGCGCTAGCACCAGGCCTCCAGCGTGTGGGGAGGAGGGGGCGACAGAGGGGGCTTGTGGGAGAGCAAATCAGGCCGGTTGATGGGGTTGGCAGCATCAGACGCAGCCCTCGACGGGCGACTCGAGTCGGCCCGTTGTCTGTGATGGAGACGACGAGCAGAGGAGACTGCCGATTGTTGCTGCTGGGCGTCCGAGAGGGTTGATTGAGGAGAATATCACATCACATTCAATATCAAACAAGGAACACGGTCCCGCTGGTCGGGGGCTGCATTGCGCCTTCCTATTGGTGCAATCCTGCCAACGGTGGTGCCACGGTGCAAAGTCCCATCGCTATCCGTTACTGACCTCACCTTACCAACGGCCTCAGATCATTACTTCACTTCATTTCCGTTTGTCGCATCGTGCAGCCAGAAGAGCCAAGAGGTGCCGCTTTCTGCGTACCACTGAAATCAGCCCTCCCCACAGAGGATCGTGACCTGAGGGAGGTCGGGCGGTGGGCGCCAGAGAGAAATGAGAAGGGGTCGAGGGCTGCGGGCTTCACAGTTTCGACTCGACTCCTCCGTCTTACTCCGTGAGAGCAGTTTGACCATCGTGACCCTGAAAGCTCCACCCCATATTATGATGGCCATTACTGACTTATGGGGTAAGAAAATACGAAGCGCAAAAGACCAGCAGACAGCCGACATCCGTGCCATATCGCCCCACGGTCGGGCCAGTCGTGCACTAGTCGCGGGCAGCTGGGGAGGCAGATCTCATTGCTATCTAATTGACTGTCTGCGACGGCTCAGCTGGAATACGACAGGGAATTCGACACTGCCGTCGCCAACCCTGTAGGGCTATCCCAAGGAGCGGCCGTTCCACGCCCGCATCGGACACCGACCGAAGGCTATCCCCAAGGTGTCAAGGATGTCAACCAGCCCGCCGTTATTACCTAACCACACTGCTACGCCAAACGGAGGGCCTTGCTACTTGCATCGAGGTTCCACCAAAGGCTTCGGCCAATGCAACACAAACAGAGATAGACGTCCTCTCAGTCATATTCTAATCCATTCAATCCTGGCCCAAGCATGCAGCTACTGCACCAGAGCAGCGAAGCGACCAGCACACGCACAAGATGCAACATGGATGTCAATGCCTCACCTCAGCGGCCCCTGACTAACCCCGCAAAAACAGACAGTTTAATCAATCAATGGATGCAACCCCTCCGAAGAACCTGAGCAAAAGTTCGGCGCCCTAAACTGATGCTAGCCATTTACTTCTCGGACAGTCTAACCCTCCGCACCCACAGGCCACTACGAGTGCGCTACAATTGTTAGCGTAGACCTGATATGGAGGCTTTGGGGCGCCCTAGTGAGTTAGTTACAGGGCCCATGCGCCTCTATAGCCGCGCCAATCACAACCCGCCGCTGACACGATCAACTCCAGAAACCGAACGACGTTCCATCCTTCTCGACTCTTCCTTTGCCTGCAGAACATACCTCGTCTTGTGGCGAGAACCGGGGATGCCAGATCAGGGGACCGAGGCAGTTGGCTCGTCTACAACCGTTCCCTGCAGGTACTGGTCTCTGCCTGTGATTCCGAATGGAATTCTGACTGGCTTACGACACCCAAAGCTGGGATGACACCTATCACCTCCCCTCCGATTGCGGGCATGGCAGCGAAGATCCAAGGCAGGCCAACATGAGATTTTGGCCACCTGTAGACGCAAATCCGGGGTAAGATGGGGCCCGGTGTGAGTGGTGGTGTGCTAGGACGGCCGAGGATGCCTCCCTTGGCTGGATCTGGTCCATCGCCCAGACCAGCAGGCTGCCGTCAATTGAAGGTGGATTTCCCGTCAGCCCGTATCTCATCGAGAGGAGCGAGAAATATGCGCCAGGGAGAAGGCGAGAGAGAGACTTGGAGGGCGGGGAAGTTGGGGTTGGGCTAGCATCGTTCAGTCCACTTCCTCCATCACCGCTCTTCAACCTCCTTCCTGCTCGACTTCTTCGACCGAGCAGCTAGTTCCGGTTTCTGCTCTTAGGCCCCTCTCATCCTCCTCTTTCCCGCATCCGAATCTTTCGATGGGCGCCAAGTCCCTAATCCATCTGCCGGTCAAGTGACGACATGACAGCGGTTGTCACCTGTGGGTCTGCATGTCATCTTTCAGGGCAGATTGTACCCCAATAAAGCTAGCAGGCAGCAGAGAGGAAGGCCGTCGTTTTGGCTTCGGCCATGTGACCAGGCGGATCTGTACCCAGCTGTTTGTTCGCGAGAAGACCTGTGCTTTTGGGCCAGGCTGTCGCTGCACGTCCGTCCACGAAAGAAGTCGCGGAGCAAGGCCATCATGCGAGTGTTGCAGACACACACCACACATACGGACATGCAATCTCCACACACCCTAGTTCGTGTATAGAAAGTGACCGGAAGCCCTGTCCGGCTAATACGATTCCCATCACGAACCCAGCCTAGCCCCATCTGCACCTCGATTCTGGGGACGGACGACGGCTGTGCTAAATCAAGGACAGCTTGTTGACCGACCGCATTCTCCACCGAGAGGGCTACAGTTCCATTGTAGGGCAGGGTGCAACGACGCGCAGAGGAGGGGCTGGCTATAGTGATTTCCTTGGATTCTGCTATGGCCAAAACCCAAGCTGCTCAACGTCCTTGAGCGAGTGTACCACCAGAAGTGGACGTAGATACTCGGTGTGGATCTTGAGAAGTCAATCCCTTGTGACTGTTGCGTTCAAATTAAGCTCGGCCCGACAGACAGGATATACGTCGTCACTTCATGCCATGCGACCCTCGTCCCAAAGTTAAAATTCCTATGCTTGAGGGTGCCCATCATGTATAACCGTTCGAGAGGGAACGGTGAGGCGAGGTTCAAATCAGGTGCCTCCGCAGACGGAACAGGACTCTCCATGAGGAGCAAGATTTTATCCAGCAAGTCTATCAACGATGGTTCGATTTCCTGCTCGAAGGCTCCGGCCAGGAAATAGTCACCCGAGCTAAGGTCATGTTGCCTGTCTCTACTCAAGGGAAACTGGTCGGGTTTCCCCAGCTTTTTGCCCACTCCACTGCGTAAGCGAGCTCACGAACCATCTCTCTGCATGCTCAGCTCTGTCTGATGCATGAAATTTCCAACAACACGGGCTTTCCGATTTGAACCCAGTTTACGATTCAGTGCTACCCATCTTCTCACCCCAGATCCAGGGGCCGTGTATACGCCATGACCTCCAGGGTATGTAGGTAGTACCCGTCGGGGGGCCCCTTATTTTAGGTGATCGTCGTCGCCTCTTTGTTCTTTTTCGCCCCCGCTTAATAAAGAATTAAGCAGAAGGGTGGGATGGTAATTGGAAGAATCGGAGATGAAGTGGCCAGACGGAGGTTGGTTAGTTACAGACGGTGTGGTGTGGATACGTCGAGGGGAACGGAGAAGACGGCTTTTTCCACCAATCCTGGTCCTTGATCCCGTGTCATTAAAGAATGGCCCTGTTTCACCCTAAATTGCTTGCTTGTGAAGGGAGAGTGGAAAGCAGCAAATGTATTCAAGCCTTTAATCTTTTCCCTGATCATTGAGGTACGGCTAGCTCGGATGGGAGGGGGCGGAAGTAGCCATATCGTCCTTTTCCCAATGGAGATTTGCTCCGAGGGCCAGTGTTTGGATCTAGAGGGGCTTTGAAATTTGTCGACGTCAATGGCTGATGTTGATCAATCACACGGCCTGTCCTTGGTCCCCTGCACTGGACCGTTCTGGAAAAGCAATTCCCTGGTCTTCACCGACCTCGCTCAGACTTTTGCCTGGCCTGACATGTGCTCACCTATGGTTGTGCATGTATCATCACAACATAGAAGCCATAAATCACTTCCTCATGATGCCTTAGAGATATCTGTGAAGTTGCATAGTAGACATGACCTGAATAGAGATGACTGGTTTTATCTCCCCTGTAATTGCGGCCAGGCGCCCTGCAAATGCGATTTGCCCACTATTCTCGTTCTGGAGGTATCTATTTTTGCAACTAAGTAGGCTATGCAATTAACAAGAGAACCCTCTAAGCATTCTTTCTAATTATGCTGTTCTATGCTGGCCTATTTTCCTTGCTCTATCGAGTATCAAGATTCATAAACTTGAATAACTGACCCACTACGCCCTTTCTTCATTCGAGGGAATCTTTGCTCATAAAAAAACATTGGTCAAGGATCTCAAAGGCTACTCTTATGGGATGTGAATTCAGAACTTGTCTTGTAATAAGTTTGATCGAAATTTGGACCACGAAGGAAAAATGATAAATCCTATCCATGGTTGAATGATGCTGTAAACCGTGTAGGATGACCTCATGCATATGCATAAGTATAAATATACACGAAAATGTCATTTCACTCGTACCTTAAGTCTTACAAAACGAGATTTCATCCCAATCTGCTGCCATCTCGAGAGACGAATTACTTGTCTGTCCTCATCGGCCTTCAGCTTGAGCAGCATGTGCAAAGGAAACCCCCACAAGCTTGCTAAGGTTATTTTATGCTTGGCACAGAATTATACATACTATAGTGGAGTTGAAACGGAAGAATTGGATTAGAGTAGGCATCGCAGTAATTGTCGGACAAATTTGGTCCGTGAGCGGCTCAGCTCCCAACACCATCGATAGCGGACGAAGCCTCCATCGACGAGTGAAACTGACTCTAACATGCTAATTTCACAATATCAAATGGAGTTTGATACATCCTCGCGGCGAAGCGCGGATTTGTCTTATAAGATGAGCGCAATAGTAAATGCTTGCCAAAGAATTGAATCATTTCATACACAACGCACGGCTTGAAATGTTGATTTTACGGCTTTGGGCTTCTGAATAACGTTTCATGTGGAAAAGCTCGTCGAAATATCGACCAATTAAGTCAATATTCGGTTAAATCAACCCTAACTCAGTCAAGGGCTTAAATCTTTCGCCGCTCATAGTGCTTGCTTTGTTTATGAATTGTCATCACTAAGGCGGAAACGGAATAGACGATTCGAAGGATACCACGACGAACTACTGTTATGAACTGAAATTCTACCGTTTAAAACAGAGGGTGCCCGTCTTTGTGGATTACACATGGGATGACTGCAGAAGGGGTGTTGAGATAACGGGTAATTATGGCGACCCAAATCATCGGGTCAAAAGATCGACAGGTACCCAGAAAGGTGATTGAAACGATGGCAATGTGGGGGCATGTGATACCCAAGTTCATTAAGATAATCTGGTCACTGATCTAAAGAATGAACTACGACGCTTAGTGATTATTAGACAGTCCATCTGTAAAAAGCCACGTGGGAATCTGTTCGGGGAAGATCTACTTAGCCACCGATCGTTCTTTAACTGGGTTATGCACTCTTCACTCTTCGTAACCACGTGTTTCGTCCAAGTTGGGAGCAACTGAGCAACTCTGAGTATCCCTGAGACGACAGCGTACTGCAGGTGATTCAGCAGTTCAAGAATGACTAAACTCTTGGAATTGGAGAATTTCGAAACTGCAGAAAATATCATGCGTGTTATCAAGCATGCGGCTATTGATCAACAGATAGAAACCGGTACATTAGGTAACTCAGGCGTTGAAAATATGGGAGTTCTAAGCCTTCTTGCTCTGACTGTCCACGAGATTAGTTGCACGGCCCAAAACCTCCTGATCACTCTTGAAAGTCAACAGTTCTATCGCATCCTCGGTAATGAAAACTTGTGTAGCGAATTCCTCCTATTTGCCACGAGAGGCACGGTCCTTGACCTTAGCGATGTACCGTGATATCGACTTGATCTAGGGTTTTCCACCACTCCCCTTTACAATCGACCAGGCTTCTTGGAGTGCCGGGCACCTGTTGTACTAGCTGGGCTTGGTGTGTAGAAACTTTCACAAACGAAGATGCAATGAGAAGGTACTATTTGGTGTGGAGTAAGATGGGGCTTGGTCTTGTGTCTTCGACCGACCAACATTGCAAGTGCGAGCAAGGGCTTGTAAATTTCAGAAAGTATACTAAGTTCAATCTCATAGAAAGAAATCCTAGCCATACTTGATTTAGGAAGTACCCTGAACTCTTCATAAACTTACAAACACTGAGAATACCACTGGTTAACGTAAGTGCACGTATATGGGCTCTCACAGACAGTTGGGCCAGTCCATCCTTGCCCACCACACTGGCCCCAGTGAACCTGCCCGGGAGTGTTTGTAGCTGTAGCCGTCGCTGAGGTGGAAGTAACCGTGACCGTCACCCCGGTAGAAGTAGTGGAGGTGCCGCCCGTAGCCTTGGCGGCGAGGACCGATGAGACGGAAGTCCATGCGGGCTTCTTGTTGAAGTTGGCGTCGTAGATCAAAGCATCGCCGGCTCCGTTGAAAGTCGAGGGGATCCAGCTGTACTTGTCTGTGAAGCCCCAAACGGTGACTCCGACACAGCCAGTCACGTCGAGGCATGAGCCGACGACATTGGCGTAGTCGTTTCCTTGGGTGACGAGAGCGGAGGAAGAGGCTGGCAGACTGGAGTGTCGGATATCCAACTCCGTGTAAGCCACTTCGAGGCCTAGGGCTGTGAAGCGACGGAGAGCCGTGGACAGGCTGCTACGAGATGGGGTAGAGCCCACAATCAGATGACCTTGGAAACCTACTCCGTCGATGGGAGCACCGGCGGCCTTGATAAGGTTGACGATTTCAACGGTTTTGTCTGTCTTGGCACCGTTGTACTCCAGATTGTAGTCATTGTAAAATCTGTATGATCCCGCATTAGAACAATACAGCTTAGGTAGTAGTATTCTTTTGAACCGATGTTAAACTCACAGCTTGGCGTTCGGGTCAGCAGCCCGGGCGGCAGTAAAAGAAATGGGGATGAAGTCGGTGCCGAGCACGGTATAGAAGACGCTATTTCGGTATACTGCACTGTCATCGACGGCCTCGTTCACAACATCCCAATGGTAACACTGGCCCAGATAGTGCTTCATGACATTGGAGATGTGAGTTTGGATAACAGCCGTTAGAGTAGCTTTGGTCCAAGAGCCGCTCGAGACCCAGTTGGGTAGTTGTGAGTGCCTGAAGGTGTTCCGGTAAGCTCCTGTTCAGTCCACGAACTAATAAATTACTTGCCATGTAAGAGTGTGGCAACGTAGGATTTGGCCGTTCTTTGAAGCAATGGCGGGAACCTAGGAAATCTGCTATTAGAATGGCCGCACACCTGTACTGCTTAATGTAAACGCACAATGTCACCCTGAGTATAGGAAAACGAGTTTTGAGATGGTTCCGTGTACGCCCACTTTTGACCGTTTTCTGGAACAACCTGTCCGAATTCAGTCGTGGTAGAAAGGAGGCTGACGTATTGAGAGTCACTCTGCTTGCTCTCATCCACGGCAGTACCAAAGTATTTCAGTCCAGCCCGAACAGCCAAGGTATTAAGCTGTGCGGAGACAGCGTTTGAGGCCACAAGTATGGCAAGAACTATGTCTGAACGCATGGTGCTGACTTGAATTAGGCCCTCTGTCCGTGGTGACGACGCAAGCCTCCAGACATGAGACTTGGTGACAGCCTCGGGACAATATATAGGATAGACTATTCATTGCTATCACAGAACTTCCCACGATACATTGACGCATTTCTAATTATCCGTGACGGCTATTCAGTTCATCCGAACTTTCGTCCAAATCAGAAAACGAGTGGGCTAGCAGATGGGGCGATTGACGGGTTAACTGTCAGGTGGCTTGTCCGGCACCTGAAGAGAGGGGCAACGATGGGGTGACGAGCCCTTCGCTGGAATTCATGCTCAAATTAGAGTGTAGCATTGAGATTGCCCCGGCCTATGGAAACCTTGTTGGTGATCCTGAGATCAAATTGCTGATCCGGCTGGTAGGCCGGCTCTTCATCCACCTTGCCCAAAGCAGCAATCAGGAACATCAAGCTCCAGCTCCCAAAGGAAAATCCCATGCAAAAACGGCGAAATTTGCCTAGATGCCGCCGGATCAGTCTTCCGTCGCCGTTTACCCATATGGCGGTTAAACGGGAGTATGCGGCTGCCACCTGAAATAATTAAGTATTCATCGTTAGCCTAGGTTTAATTGCTACAACCCCACGCACAGCCGGACGAGGGGAGCTTAGGATGCTTGTGATAATGGAAGAAACAGGTTATGGGGTTCTTAAGAATCCTGAGGAGAAGTTTCCTCTTAAAGCCCTGCCACTCTCGAGGAAACCAAAATTCAAGCTCTATGCGGTACCATCTAGAGACATCTAGTCAAATCGGCTGTGATTCTTAGTTACGTACAAGAAAGACAGCATTGATATAATAAAAGATTTGAGACTTGGTTCAGGCAGACATGCTTTAAAGAAAAGGTTCCTAAAATCAGGACGATTGATTTCCGTTCAAGAGTACGAAGAGGAGCATAGATTCCTTAGTAAAGAGTTTGGAAGAATCTTAGCAGGACACGATCAGTCTATACTTGAGACCCTCTAATGTAACTCTGTCGCTCATATATTTAAATTATCTTCTTGGCGCAGGGTCTCTGAGCGGCCTGCTATAACGGTGTGAGAAAATTCAGTATTTGTGGAAAAGAACAAAAATGAATGCGCCCCAGTCCGGGCTTCGTTGAAACCAAAGCGGCCAAACATGTACTCTGCATCAGGGGAATACATCCAGACACCACCATCCGAAATGCGTCGCCTACTAGGCTTGCACTGTCGCCATTCCTGGACTTTCGCCTGCGCCTGTGCGTAGTCTGCAAGGCCTGCCGAATTAGAGTCCGCGAGCACATCGGCATCGCCTTCTGAAACTCCCTCGCCAATCTCCTCGAGGAACTCATGAGCGTAGTAGCCCCAGTCATACCGGTTGATGACAAAGACACCATTATCGAACGTAGTGTCATTGTTCATAGTGCTGCCGTGGTTGTCCTCATATGGTGACCCAGAGATGGTGAGGATTTTCTCAATTTCGCGACCTGGATCCACATTGATATGGCATGCGAACCAGCCAGAAGCTTGTCCTGATCGGAGATCTTTAAGCTGGAACACATTCCAGGTTCCATTCACTGCAGCGATGTTGTGCTTGAACTCGTGGGCCAGAACTGTACCCGATGACTGAGGTTTGACCTGGCAGAAGGGCTGGACTGGGGCAAGAGATCCGCCCCAGATATTATGGAGGGATCCGAAGCACACACATCCTGATGTAACGGTGAACATGCCATGTACACCATCTTGTTTCGCCATGTTGGCTGCGAGAGGAGGACTTTGACTTTGTCTCAGTGTGTTCGAAAGATAGCACTGCGATTGTCTTAAATTTTTGCTTTAATCTGGAGTGCACAACCTTTTCTTGTGGATGGGGGAAGGAAGTTAAAAGTATCGTAGCTAGCGTCTAGGTAGCTTGTGGATAGCTGAGATGAAATGAGTAGAAGCTGAGTCACTAGCTAGGCAACAACAAGCATGCCTAGCTAATATGGAGTCACTCTCAATTCATAGAATCATTTGGAATAGAATTAAAAGCCGAAGAGGGTAATTTGATGGAGCTAGAGAGGCACTCCCTCCTCTGGCATAAGTCTTTGAGGGGCGTGAGTAGTTGGCTGATGGAGACAAACAAATATTCACTGTTGTGTGCTTTTAGTCACTCTCTTATTCGTTTACAATCTTTCACTTAATGAACAGAGCTATTGGCTATATAAAGAAAATCTGTAGGCACACTGGAAGATATTTTGCGCTGGGTACTGAGCTCTAACAGAGCCTCGTGTAGGTATGATAAGATACTGAACTTGAGTTTTGGCAACATCAAAACCCAATCTCACTGCAATGGTTTGTTTTTCTGGGGCTAGAATTAAGCATTAGTCGTGTAGTCTGGGCCAAGGCCGAATTGAACTGAGGTAGAAGCTGATTTAAGCCGTCTGCGGCTGTGTTTCTTGGAGGTCAAGGTCTTCTCAAGGTTGGTTGAGTTCAAATACTTCGAGCTTCACGGTGGCGTTTTCAATCAATTTCTTCTATTGACTTTCTGTTATCATAATATTGAGGATATTGTTCTATAAACGAGATGCTTCTTAGTATACCGGAAAGGGTAAGGAAGAAAGAATTCAGTGTGTTGGTGCTTGGGCTGCGGAGATGAATCGAAAAGGAAGTACCTAGTGTGGGAGTGAACAGGCACGAAGCTTTTCGTCACTGAGGTTAGAGGCAACAGGAAATTGTTCTGATTCGGAGCTTCGAATGAATTTATAGCCAACATATCATAACACATCTATTCGAAGCAATAGGTTCACATATCCCACCATGTATTCCGCAAGATTGTGCAAATACGCTCAAGAAGCGGGCACCAATGATTATTGTCCTTGAGAAGTCAGCACTAGAATCTTTTGTATCCATAATTGCATTTCGGGTCATCAACAAAAGATCCTCCTAATGCGATACATCACGAGATCAGCGCCAGATTGCCTGAAATAGATTGTGGCGGTTAATGCTCTGTCAAGCACAATGCAAAGAGGCCCAATCAAATATCTAGAGCCTGCTTTTCCACAGTAATTGCTTTGTTTTTCAAGCATGAAGAGGCAGAGATCGTCGCTCATGGGTTGGTTAGGTTGGTTCGCAATGCGTTGAGTGAGGCAGAAAGGCGGCCACCGGGGCAACTCATGGAGAACAGACAAACAAGATCACCCATCTGTGATACAATCACGGTGGCGACCAGACATATGTGATAGGTTTCCACAAATTGGGCAAGGGAATAGATCTTGGTGCGCAAAAAAAAAAAAAAAAAGAGAAGAAAAAATAATTCTTTCGTTCTACCGACGCGCGTGTCGCTTGGACCGTGGGGGCCTTCTCGAGGTGCTGCAGGCTGATTCTCGAGCTGGTGTCATCCGTGGAATACTCGCTAGAGAATGGAAAGCCGTAATGTACCTTAGGTATTAGCTGAGGAAAGCTTGAGTGTGAGAAATTTCGAGTTCTGCTATTGGAAAGGTCAAAGGCTTATCGAGTTTATTGATTAAATAGTAGTTTTCTCACTGAGAATGGATGTAGGGTAAATAGATACCCGTGGTACTTTCCGCAGGCACATTTTGTTATTCTTTTCAAAAAAGCAAAAAGCTTCCTGGACACAATCGAAGCGTTGCTCCTGAGACATAAACACCCGAAAAGGTTGCCACGCAACCGCTTGTTGGGACTGGAATGCAAGCAAAATCTTAATGCGACCACCCCGACCGGCCAAGCAGCTTGTTCCGACAGAGCTCACCGTCATTCAGTTATCGCGGTTGTTCTCGTTGTGCATTTCAGCTCGCCAGTGGCGTCCAATCAAACCCGTGACGCAAGGTTGCATACAGGTGCCACATCAGGCGACGCGTTTTTCCTCCTCGCATCCCCGTTCCGTGCTCAAGAGTTTTCTCGAGGGTTTGTCCTTCTTTCTCTTGGTAGGTTTCTCCTTCCATGCTCTTGATAGACTGCGTCCCTTGACTCACATCTCGCCATCCAGTGGCCTTTCTCCCGTCTCCATCTCGCAGGAGATCTCATTCTGCTCGCTACACCTTCGAAAGACCAGCAGCTAGCCAGACCGCTGGAGTGGTGAGACACCAGAGAATTTGACCACCATGGCTTCTGCCTCCCAGTCCCAAGACGAAGGCCGTGCCTCCGAAGGCGAGGAGGATGGTGCGCCTTTGCATCCGGATGACGCGGCCATTGTAGCAAGCTTGGACGAACAGATGTCGCAGCAACGAAAGAATTTGGCAGAATTGAAGGAGTTTATACAGAGTTATGCAACCCCCGCTGACGAGGAAGCTGATGAGCCCGCAGGCTCGGCGACAGGTTCGGCGGCAGGTCTCGACACTTCCAGTAACGGCCTCCTCGGCTCCCACGACCCAATCCAATATCATGGACAAATGGAACTTCTCCAACAAAAGATATACGAAGCTATCGAGAGAGCAGGCGCAGCAACTGATGACAATGCATTTACAGCAGCCCTGGATGACGCTTTACCCTCGATGGTGAGCTATTTGCATGCGAAAGACTGTATTATCTCAGCTAATATTTCGGACAGAAACGCCCAAAGAAAGCCCGCCGCCCATCACCAGGAGTCACAGCCACTCAGGGCACTCAGTCCAAAGGCAAGACACCCGCCATAGAGACAATCCAGCCAGGGCTATCAGACGCGTTTAAGTATCCTATTGATGCGTCCTATAAAGAGCCCATCATCTTTCACCGAGTTACTTGCGATGACTTGGATCCAAAGTGCCACCAACGATCGTATCTTGATTCACCCCAGTACAAGCGAGGTCATCTCGCGGGCGATAAACCGGTTCCGGATATGGACCAGTTCCTGAAGAAGCGCGGAAACCCGCCCTTTGTCATGTATCGCGCATTTCAATGCTCCGGCAGCGGGTTTGCAACGATGACTCAAAAAACGACCCCGGCACATACCGATGAGGTAGTTTCCATCCTAAATGAGGACCTCCATTCCATCATCAAGCGGCTCTCCAAGTTCACCTTCTTGGACCTTCCTGACGGAAAAAATGCGACATCCGAGCTAGCCAAGTTCCATAGAGATAATTTGCATATAATACCTGCATCTTATCCTCACTATTTCCTCTATCATCACAGGAGAGAAATCTACTCCAAGGCGGCTGGGGCTGCGGATGGTAGTCCAATCAAGCTCTTCGCTCAGTGGTTACAAAGTGACCCTGTCCCTATGTACACCGAATGTGACGACCTGTTCTCAAAGCGTATGGTATCCGCCAGGACTGTGTGCTGGCTCTTCCCTCTCAACGGTCTTGTCGTAGTTGACGAAGGCCATCGACAGCTTGGGTATGTAGTGGATCGTGTTGGTATGGATAAGGAAGGGGTGATGCTGTCAGCCTGGAACTGGGGTTTCAACGGCCAATACGCGTTTCGCGTTTATACCATGCTCAGGTTGAAGAATCCAAAAAGCTCGATTAAGGCCAGCATGAAAATCGCAGACCTTGGAATATACCCCATCGGATATGGCCCAACAGATACAAGCCAACAGCTGCTACAGAACGGCGCCAAATTCTGGAAGTTGAAGGACCTGGGATACCATGCCTATGAAGGGTGGGACTACAAAAGGGAGACATATTATGTGAGTCAAGCCTGTGTTCAGCATCTATCTTCGAAAGCCATTGCTTATCTTATGTAGACAGCAGACTCCCGATGGATAATTGACTACGACATGTGGCTTGAAGATAGGGGTCGCGATGAGTATACCCAAAACCCAAAAGTGCCCAGCAAGATGGAGCCTGATAAATGGGGAGACGATCTTCCGGCCACCCTTGAGCCAACGGTGCTTCAGCAAATGCTACTCCCAAACGGTATCAATGCGTACAACTTGAAGGAGTTGAAGTGGAGTGAGTGACTTGGCATCAAAGAAGTTTACTGAATCTTACTCGGTGCGCTAACGTCCGCAGTGTATCTATCGGTGGACCAAATTCGACCGGTTACCTGGAACAAGGATGCATTCAATCGACTTGTACTCCCGCAACGGACCAAACTCATGCTGAAGGCGCTCGTGATGACGAAGAAACCGGCAGCCAAGCCGCCTAATACTACCGAAACCCCGCAAGACAGAGCCAATGCTATCATCTCACGAAACGGAAGGCCCTTGATTATGCATTTCCACGGCGGTCCTGGAACAGGAAAGAGTTTTGCTGCTGGTATGTCTTCATGTCCATGGTTCGTTTCTTGATCTGGATTATTTAGCTAAGCTGTTTTTTTCGTATAGAAAGGTGAGGAAGTCAAAAGATTTGTAAGGACACGAGAGACTCACCTTAACATCGAATTAGCCTAGCAGAAATTGCCGAGATGCCGATTTTCCGCATCACTTACGGAATGATGGGGCCGACGTACGAGGCAACGGGCGAAGCTATTTACCGCTCTCTTCGTTTGGCCACAAGATGGAAAGCCAGTGCGTGGATAAGCTACCATGAGACCTTGGTGACTCACTGAACACTAAATCTTCATAGTTGTGGTATTTGACGGCCTCGACATATTCATTGAAAAGGGATCGGATCCCAAAGACAATCGTTCCCCTTCAGGTAAGCAAGAGATACTTCCCTGCACAGTTCGTTGTGTTGAGATGTCTGGTCCGGCGTCTTCCATTGCTATTTTCTACTTTATACTCGAGCTCCCATCAGGACATCCCCAAGACACGCAGAGTTGATACTAAATAACGCCTAGCGTTTTTTGAATGTATAGCAAACCACGACGGCATCATCATATTGACATCCAGTGACGCCCAGCGCATTGACGATCGATATGCGTCCCGCTGCCAAGTCACCGTGTCTTTCCCACCATTGGAGAAACCCGCGAGACGAAGTGTATGGAAACAATGCCTCGACCAAGTGCGGGCAGAAAGTGAGAGTTCCTGCGCGCAAGGGATTCAATCGCACCTCGCTGCTTTATCTTGCTACCAGCTTAATGGAAAGCAGATACATCACGCAGTTACGACTGCCCGGCAGATGGCCCTCTTTGAAAAGTCGAAGCTGGACTTTCGACACCTCAAGGAGGCCATAGAGATAGCGATTGAGTCTGACCGTCAATCGGAGTAAGAGGCGTCAGAATATGGGAGCTAACCGGACCAGGCGATGACTGGGAAGTAGTTGTGGAGATTGGAACTCAAACAATAATGGTCTTAGTGAAGGTTGGATACAGATTGGAAAATTCGTGGCGAGCAGCTGGTTATACTTGATTTTGCACTGATGCTGATTGACGGAAGAGATCAAGATTCATTGCATAGTGTATTTTTATAAATTAACTCAGTTTTTTATCCTCACATCCTCCTTGTAATTGACCAAGAAGACATAATAGAATGAATGATGTGACGAACATACAATTCGCCTGTTCTTGTACCCGGCTCATCAATGTAGTGGATCAAAGGAGACAACGGCAACAAGAACAGTAGTTCATACTCAGAACGTGATAAAAATACTTGTTCATCGATGTAAAGACTATTCTGAGACTGCGTCATGTAGATTTGGGCTAGCTTCCCCGCACGCACCTCATAATATTCGTTGAAACCAGCTCCAAGCAGTCGAACTCTCCATGCCTATAGTATGATAGCATCACCCCCACGGGATATTGTAGCGCTCTAGGACACAGATAGCCATGGCTAGAGATATTTGTTGTACAATTAAATCTGCATGGCCGTCCTCCATAAATGAGCCTGCAGTTTATCAAAGTCAAAGAGCTGGGGACCCCATGGGAGCTGAAAATGGGTGGCTTGGTGGCTGGATGAGTCTAGCCCGCTGAAAAGATGCCAAGGATTCTTTGTTCGAGGTCAATAGGCGAAGAGGGTAACAGGTAATGGGCAAGAAAAAGCCTACCAGCGTTTAGGTGGCCTCCTTCGTCACATTCTGAGACCTGAGCTGAGCTGCGCACTGACCGTAAATGCTGGGCAAAAGCCCAATGGCTGAAGCACGACGATCTAATTCGCGGGGAATGCATGCGAGTTGCAAATAGCGCGGATCCTGGGCCGCCTCTCTCCTCGATGGCCCCGATGATTCGGCGCATTTGTTGGGGTGCATATCGTGTCAGCCTGCCAAGCCAATTCAGCGTTTGCCACTTGGTGCCGTTGATGTGATGATCCAATCATGAAGTCTACGCAAAAGCAACTAGGCTATTGCTCATGTGACTGTCTTCCGTTAGCTGGCCTAGGAAAATGCATATCCGTCCCTCAAAACCTCTGGTAGTTGTCTCCCCCGTGGCCCCTTGTCCATTGCTTTCAACTCTCCACAGCTTTCAAATCATCAATATTAGTCAATATGGAGCTCTCCCTTTGTCTGTTGCTTCTTAGTTTTGTGTTCCATGTGAGCAGCGAGCCCAACGACTCCATGATAACTCAAGCTCCCGATTTCATTGGGTGGATTCGGCAAGGAGCAGGCTGTAAGTAGCACTTGAAATATCACTCTCTCAACAATCATAATTTTTAATCCATTCTGGACGCTGAACTTGTGTAACAGATGAGGTTGCCATTTGCGAAAAGGGAGTATTCACCTCATCGAGGTATTGGGCGGCTTGCATCGACACGGACCAGCCAGCTCTACCTACTCGGTGCCGAGATGGTTCTGTCTTGATCTTCCCGACCACAACAGCCCTATGGTATGCCTTCTCTGCCGACCTGAATATACATTTGCTTGATATCTGTTGTGGTCTAACTGATTTGCCCCTAGTCCGACAACCGCTACTTGCCGGACTGATTGGTTCTTCAATGACCCAGCAAATACAGCTGCCCGCACCATGATCGGCTGTGTCACAGGCACGCGAACCTTGTATCATTATAGAACAACTACTGTACCAGCCATTACAAGCTCCTCCGTGCCAGAATCTAGCAGAGCGTCAACGTCAGCGTCCGCTTCTGCTTCCGCTTCAACTTCAAGCTTGCCACCAGCGACTTCCCCTAACCTTGCATGGATTGCGGGGCCTATTGTTGGCGGTCTTGCTGGGATCACACTGATCATTCTGCTTGTATGGTTTTTGATGAGGCGGAGGAATAGATATAGGAATCATGTCGGCTCTGGGATGCCAGAAACCCCTGACTCGGAGGTGAGACCGGAGAAGACACCTGCCATTACGTCTGTCCCGGGCTCATTGAAACGGAATCCTACTAGGAGAGTAGAGCTTCCGGGGCGCTCTTCGTCTCTGCGCAGTGTCCCTTAGACTCTTGGTTCTAGGATGATATGGAGGGCAGATATGTACTGACTTTTACTCTTGTATGAGGGAGATCTTGAGAAAGGTTTCTATATCCTGGACGGAATATTGTTGGTTCGCTTTGTGCAAGACTTCAGAATATGGTTTCAAGAGGAATTTTGTGGTCTTACACTATTGTCACTAAAATTGATACCGATAGCACAGACTCCCACCATCCACGTAGCTCAATATCAAAGCAAGATAAAACATTACCAATTCATATGCCAAATTATCTCATGTCCTGGGTATTGCTGCTTTCAGTGTTCTCTTCTCCAACATGGATTTTCGGCTTGAGCCATCTCGAATGAATCGGCATTGTCTGTTTATGATTTAGTTTCACGTTTGGGTCTCGAGGTCACTCGAGATAGTGACGGAAGTGAACCTAGAGACATCATCCTGAATTTATTTGTCAAAATGAGCCCTTAGGTATTCTGAACAAGCCTTGAGGTTGGCCGTGAGATATTCGAGGCCTAACATCTCAATATTGGATTCTGGTCCGTTGGTTGCTCAGCCGTACCGCTTTACATACGTCTAGTTGCCCTTAACTACGGGCCAGATTTCCACAATGCAGGGGGTGAAAACACGCAATGTAATTAAAAGGCGCAAAGGTCCTTTGGCAAGACAGGCACGAAAGTTCTGCAACTGTCCGTTGGTACCTCTCCTATAAGAAGTGGGCCAGAAACAGGGGACACGACCATCCCTGCGTCATCCATTTGGCAGAGTGCATATCGTTGGCTCAGATGCTGCGTGAACCTGGCAGAGAGCGGCTTGGCCTTGATGTGTGCTCGACGGAATCGGCTTGATACAGAACTTGTGTGTAAAAGGAGGAGAATAGTACTACTCCCCGAACGTAAATATTACCGTAATCATAGTCTGAATGAGAATATTTCTAAGAATTATCAAATCAATGGATGAAAAGATTTGAATTGCGTAGCTGCCCTAGACAGGCTTAAACATTTGCGGGAGGGTATTTGTAGGCAATGTACGCTAAGATAAGTTGAAGCAAACCGACGATGAATGACAGAACTCCAAAAATTACAGCCAGCAGTAGACCAATGATAGCGACAGTGAGTGCATTCCTCTCAGATGTATGTCTTTCAAACCAAGCAACCATGGCGTTTGGTGGTGGAGGTTTCTTGACAAAGCCCTGAAGCACTGAAAGGCGAGAGCCCCAGTAGTCGAATTCCATATCCATAGGAGTAGCTCGGACAAATTCAATCCATCTGCTCTCCGGATCAAAGCCGTGTTTCTGAATCATGTTATCCAAAGACGAGCGGGATCTTTTGTCGCGAACACTGGCGACTGGATATAGAACATCGTGGAAAGTTAGCAGTGTCTCTAGTAACAATTTCGGTGGTAATGTTCCCCTAAGAGGATCAGCAAAGTTATTGGGATGTAGGATCTTAGTCTAACGTTACCTTTTCAGACTCTCCTCGAATGAGAGGTCCAATGACTCGTTTTTAGTCTTCTCAAGATGTGCTCTTAGAAACGATACTTGGTGAAAGACCTTGAGCGTCATGTTTTTCGGGTCCAATATAAGATGCTCCAGCAAGTTGTTTGTTTTCCTAATCTTGATACCGAAGCGTTTAGATAACTTCCATGCCTTTAATTGCTTCTTGCTCCGGTCATGGTGAGGTGGGTTACAGGGCAGCGAAACAGATTCAAAAGCGTCTTGAATAAAGGTGACAAACGATACACCGCCTTCCCACTTGACTTGACGTGAGAAATTGTCAAGGAGGTTATGGGCATAGTATTCTTTGAGCGAGCAGTTGACAGCAAATGCCACCTCTGTGGTGATTCTAGCGATATGCTCCTTCTCCCTCTGGCTAGATGATCCACTTGTCTTTGAGTCGACCGCACTTTGGATGAATTCGTCGAATGAAACCTGTGGATTGCGAGTGATGAGATTAACGCAGTTGATAATATCGCCATGCGAGCGCAATGCCGGGGTGTCAAGCTCTATGACAGCATCTCCCGTGGAAGCTGGGCAAACGGCCGAATAATAATGCTGGAAGTAAGCATCGAATCTCTGCGTATTGGCCTGTTTAGCAAGGCTATCCCCGAAGAGCACCTTGATAAGATCGCAGCGCTCAACTTCCGTAGGGAGGCGCATCGTAGGGTGTTGGGCTTGAGAACATTTTCCGCGCCGAAGCTCTGAGAATTCTCGTGAACAGTTTTCCCTCAACTAGCCAGGGGTGAAGCCCAAACCCTTGCACGGCTGAACATGCATGCTGACGGGCTGCAGGAAGGCGATTTCTGCCTTATGCACACAGCCCCTCTCCTGCATCGCCCCTTGTCAGCGGGGTTACTCTCAGTTTCGCGCCTACCAACATCGTTCGACCATCCGAAAGCATTCAACATTTAACCATTTTCAATTTTTGATCCTGTCATTTGTTCGGCTGGTGATGTTTCGGTGCGAGACAGCGACGGTAGCACCCATTCTCCAAGCCTCCTCACCACCCGCTAGGTATGTGAGCCTACATGTACACATCAGCGTTTGCTCTGGCGTCATATTCACAATTATTTGTCTAGTTTGGGCTCGCCACACCTCACTACCCGACCGAGTATGGTACTCGATGATGTTCCAGTACGGCCAAAAAGGCCATCCATTCCGGGGGCGTATTCACGTGGCCTGAGCGTTGGAAAACATGAGCTATCAACTGGTTTGAACCGACTCCAAGGGCTCTTACTTGTGGACAATGAGCCCTCCAACTCTCGCCCACTTACAATCAACTCACCGGAGAGGTTCGGAAAGATCCAAGATCAAGACATGACAAGAAATTGCACTGAGTCGCCAAACAAACGCTACACATACCCTCACACATTCCATGCCTCATCATCGTCCACGTCTTCAGACTTCCAAAAAAGTGAATCGGGGGCTTCATACAGTACCGAGCTTAGCACCGCCCCCAGCACCAGCCCCAGCCCTAAGTTAACCCCTCAGGGGTTGCCTTTGCCAGAAGTAAAGATCGATGACTGTCTTTCACCAGAGACGCATGAAGGAAACCATCCAGGTGTCCGAGATGATCCTTACCGGAATCCAGTACAAATCCCTGGCTGTCTGCCACCAACATTTGTTTACCCCCATAGCAGCTCATCCATAAGAGAGTCATATCATGACAGATTCCGGGAGGTTGTAAACCTGTTCCGACGAAACACATACGAGGATCCAAAACTACGAGAGAGTATGCGGTTCATTGACTATACACTGAAGCTATGCGGGACTTCGCCAGCAGATGCCCGTCCATCTATCCTTGCCTTTTGCCGAAAAAGCGACTTCAAGGCACTCAACCGACTCTTGACTAACAAGGAGCTCAAATATCAGTACTGTCTTCGTCGATCGTCTTGGAGGCCAACATGGTTGGGGCAAGAGACAGCAGCTAGTACTACGAGCGATAAGCCGTTGTTTAATCTGTATTTCTGGCGCCAGGGCAGACCAAGAAGCCTCTTTTGGGGAAAATGCCATGCCAAAGTACACGACAGTCGAAGCGATGCGTACCCTGAGAAAGTAGGAAAGCATTTGATATGTGGCTCCATTGTTGAGATTCGCATAAAGGACATCCAGTTTTCGACCCTCGGCTTCACTTTGCAGATTGGCTCTGAATGGTACACCACCACGTCAAGGCATGCGTTTAGACATGCATTCGGGCCACCTACAGCGGAACATTTCGATGGGGAGTCGAAACCTCCTATCTCAATCACAAACCCAGTGACAGAACCCGGAAGAGAGGATGAACGGATCTATGGCTCTGATTCAGACCCTTCCGATGCCGCCGCAGAGGACTATTTAGTAGATGATATCGAATATGAAAGCCTCCCGGAAGACGAGGAAGACGACTGGGATGAGGAAGAGACCCAAATTGCACTTGATAGCTACTGGGATAAGATCAATTCTACGCACAGTAAAGGCCAAGATGAGGCGACCGAGGAGGCACCTGTGATCTTCATAACGTCGGGTGATCTCGACAAATCTGGCGACCTTGACTTGGACTGGGCCCTGCTTAAATGGGAGAAGCCTAACGGCCATATCTGGGTTCCAAATACATATGGGTCACCCGGCTTGCGAAGTACCATCCTTCTATCCAAGGTTTCCCAGTCTCAGCCGGTGAAGGAAACTTCAATTTTGGTACTAACAAGTCGCCAATCGCCACAGCATGGAGTGCTACAGCCTGGCACTGCCATGCTGGGTGGAATAAGTGGGAGACAATCATCCATCGCATGGATTGTTCTATTGAATGAGAAGAGGAGTGAGTGGTTCTAAACTTTTCACGCCTTTAGTTATGATCCTCGGCGATAAATTATGTTAATGGATCCGATTTTGTTTCTTGGAAACCCTTAACCCCCCTACCCATTCCCCCTTTGTTTGTTTTCACTACAGCATCTCAGCCAGAGTCGGTCGCCACTGCTAATTTTCTCTGATAGGTCTCACGTATGGTGATTCTGGAGCGCTCGTCATTGATGCGTTGACTAACGACATCTATGGTCATGTGATTGGGTCCAATCCTCTAGGTGAAATCTACATCAGCCCATTCGTCTCGGTATTGCAGCAGATTCGACAGAAGTTTCCTGGGAAAGCCTTGTCACTACCGGGGCCCCTTGAAATGAATGCCAATGCTTCTGCTACTACGGACGATATCATTGAACTTTATCATTCACTGCCAGATCTGCCCAAGGGCAAGGGTTTACCCAGATTGAGTGAGCTAAGCCAGCCACGTCGGGCCTTGCCACCGACCTCCAAGGCTGTACTGTTTCAGTCCGACAGTATAGTAGAGGTTGAAGAAGAACACTTCGAAGACTCACAGTTTGGTGTTCCATATACGTATCCTGATTATGACTTAGGGGCTGAAGGAATCTTCTTTCATACGGTCCGGAAGCACTCTATGGCAGAAGATATCGATGACTTATTTTCATATTTCAAAGAGCCACCTTTGGGGCATACTAAATTGCAGGCTTCTAATCCATCTTCAGCCTCATCGAATACTTCTGCCCATGGTCCACCTTCGGGATTTTTTCGTTCCCCGAGAGATGCCCATTACCGGCAAACTCATGATCCTCGAGTTAACAGCCTTGAAGGAGCTAAGAGGTATCGAGATACATCACGTTATGTCCCTGTACCCACAGCTACTGCCCCGGGCCTGATCCGAGCAAGGCGGCATATTAATTCACCTCTTCGTGATGCGCCACCTCCTCCTCCTCCTCCCGTGTTTACATTGGCTCAAAGGCATTCTAACGCCGAAGGTTTCTCACCACCACGGAGATATGATAGACCTGGGTCTCTCTACCAATCTCGTTACGAAAATCGTAGTGAAGTCCAAAGCGAAGGAGACAACGATACTGATAGACCGCCGGCTCAGCATTATCCTAGACCCCAAAGAGATGACCGAAATCTGCATGAACCTCGAGCAGAGCTACACCATGACGGAGACGTATCGTATGGGCAATATTATGAAGCTGGGAAGATGTCGGATGCTAGCCTTCAGTTCCACATGGATCGTCTAAGAGGCGTCAGAACACGACATGACCAGTCCAACGTTCTGCATCAAGACCCAAGGACCATATCGGGAATCAGACCGATCGTCCATAATCATTATCATCATCATCCTCGGGCGAGAGACCTAAAAACGATGAGTCCTGAAGACGAGGATAAATATGCAGCTGTGTTAAAATACCAAGAGGACGTCAACAACTCGATTCCTCTTACAGCTGAAGCTCTGCGGAGGGCGAGGAATGCGGGGGGTAGTGAATCAAGCAGAAGAAGCACTACCAGCTACGCCACGAGTCGAAGTTCTGCTAGTGTCAGGACGGGGCGTACGTCCCAGAGCCACGATACAGATATCACAGCTCCATCTGAATATGGGGAAAGTGATGCAGGTACCCTAGGGAGTCGGCAGTATTCCATTGATGACGACATAAGGATATCAGTCGCAGAGCTTCCTCGGAGGGCTCCACGTGAAAATGTTGGAGATTCGCTTCAAAGACTGCGGGCGGAGTACAACCGTTCACCTCCCGATGGGTTGTTCTCGAGACATGATGAGTCCAGGCCAAATAATACCCGGCACTTGCATTCGGCAGGAATGACAGATGGGGACCATAAGCTGGAGCGTACGCCCCTCTTGGCCCGCAGGGAGATGGAAAGGGCCTTGGGAGTAAAACCCGAATACCAGAATACAATCGAACTTGATGAACTTGATAGACTTGATAGATCATGATGGGATAGGCATCGTGTCAACTGAAAAATCGCGTGGTTAGCGGAACAGGATACAGAGCTATGCAAAGCTGGCATAGCCTCATGATCGCCCGATCTACCAGCAGAATAGTGGTAGAACGATCTATGATTGCTCTCTCTAAATCCGAGTACACTCTTTCAAACACAAATGTAGAGCAACGGTCATTGTTTGTACATCTAAACCTGACTATATATCTCATGGCAATTCCCACATCGTTAGAGTGATCAACCTGTTTCCAATCTGTTTCGCCTCTAAGAAACAAGGTGTAACGTTGTTAGTATTCCTCAGCTGGGTTTTGCCATGAAGTCAATATATCCATTCAATGCTAGAGTGGGCAATATGACTAAATAGTTCCTAGAGTGATCACTAGAAGATAGCATTAATACTTCAAAAAAGTCTGAGAACTTTACAAATGGATTCAAATAGAATGGCCTATGCCACCGCATTTTGGCCTCCCTCTTTAGAATCCGTGATCTAGTTGGCCAAAAATGAATTTTGTGTAGTAGCAGGATTCGGGGGCCACCATTATTGCGACCCAGCCACTGCTACCTGCATGATGTATCATACGATAGATTTGATCCTTCCCCCTTTCAAAGGCATCCCAGTCCTACCGCTCTCTGAAGTAACGCCGATCATACCGCGATTAAGACGTGGCTGCATCAAGTTCAGACTACTTCACAGCCCCTTGGGCGCCGCCCATCTTTAAACCAGCCCTTCGCCTTTAAGACTGAGCAGGAAGATTACCTTTCTTCACCAGCACAATCCAGACCCGACCGCGTCCTGTTCTCATCAACACTCTCCCATTTAGCGCACAGCGGCCATCATGACTGACAAAAATAGCACAGCAATACGCGAGTGGGGATTTAGTTGCCCTTCTGGCGGGCATGTACACATCTGTGAAGGAGCAAAAGCAGAGTTCATCGGGTGCTGTACAAGTGACCCGTGTGCCGGTGATGAAGGCATCTGCCCCGACGATCACCTAAGGCCCATGAGTTACCTGCTTACAAGCCAGTTGGGATATCTTCCTCTAAAATGTGCGGAAACAAGGAAAGATGCAAAATTCCAAACCACAACTGGCTGTCGGACTCAATCCACTGAACCCACGTTTGCTGGATGTTGCGCAGTCAGCATTCACCTTTGCGACAATGGCACTTGCTCGTGCAACTGTGCGCAACAAAACCTGGTAGCCATGATGCTTAATGAGAGATCCCGAGAAATCATTTTTGGTTCGGAAACTCAGCAATCTGAAGACTCAGCAAACATAGGATTGAAACTGGACAACTGGGAACATCCGGACACTAGTGCAATACTCAGTTGGGGGAACCTGAGCAACGCCGACATCGGCGGGTTGACCACCGGTGCCGTTCTATTTCTAATACTTCTTCCTGCAATATTCTTAAAGGAAATGTGGAAGGCACGAACATCAGACCTGTTAGTACCTTCTTCCTCTCTCGAATCAGCCCATGCTTGGATGCTCATATTATCACTACTTAGTCGGGAGGTGACTCCAGACACAGCAGAATGTTTCCTTAACCCCCTTGGTAGATCTGTTCATCAGGACAGGGTAGATCAAGACCAGGAGTCTTGCCAAGTTGTTACAATCCCTGCCGAAGAAACGGTAGTCGACCCTGCCTCTGATACCTGGCCCAGTAGCCCGCATAAGCTACACCCGAGAACCTGCATTTGGTACCTTGAGTGGGTATGGGAAATTCTTCTTACTCTCTTGCCCATTTTCTTCATTGGTACGCAATACAGAATACAACGCTCCTAATGTTCTGTGCTGACGCTAATGCTGAAATTGACGTGCAGCTCTTTGTATTTTAGCACTGCTCCTTGATGGTCGACCGCTGTCAAATCATGGGCAAGCAGTGCTAGATATAGCTCGTCTGATACCCACGGCTTATCCTATAGTATTTGCTGCGCTGGCCAGTCGATTCTACAAAAATCTGGCTCGCTGGTATGTAGAGCGGCCTAATGGTGTCAATCTTGCTGTTCTTGAACAGGTGCTGGGCAGTCAAAGCTTTGCAGGAGCCCTCGAGCGGCTTCTATTTGTACGCACCCAAGTACAGATGGGCGCGATCATCCTAATCATATGGGCGATGTCACCTCTGGGAGGGCAAGCCGGTTTGAGAATGGTCTCTACTAGCAAAGGTTCCTCCAACATCACCGGGAGGGCTTGGTATCTCCAGCCAGGGTCTCACCAATCCCGGTTCGGGCTTTTAGAAATAGAGGGCGCCACAAAGGGCAACATGTTTGCATTGTACTCTTCCAGTCTCCTATCTTCTTCAAAGCAAAGGCGATCTCCAAGCGATCTTTGGGACTTGCCAAAAGTTCCACAATGGACTGCGGCAAGTAGTGAGTCTTCCTTACGCGATATAGATACTGATGCGCTGGTAGATGGCGAAGCAGAATATATCTCTCTGCTAGGAACCAAAATACAAGGCTTAGACGTTACCGCCTCGAATGTCTTCTACAGCTTTTTGATAACTACGCCATATATAGACCTCAACTGCTCTGCCAATACCGGCATATCTTTCGAGGCTAGCCCTTACCAAAATATCCTACAATCATTGGGAATGTCGCCAGATTTAAACGGATCTTCCTTCCGCGCAAATCTGGAAGAGGACGATGATTCCCGTCTTCTCTTTGCGAGTTTGGATTACTCGAATGCGTATTTCGCGCTCTTTAACTGTTCTATGCGAATTGTTACAGTTGAAACAGAAATGCAATGTGCCCCTAGCAATTCATTAGCGAACTGCTCAGCAAAGCGCCAGCGACTTCTGGGCTCAAAGAGAGTGTTCTCCGAGAATATCTACGGTCCCTCGAATGAAATGAGGAAGGCCCTCGAGTTATGGCAGCACGCCGACAGTTCTTCAGCAATCTACGCGGCATCGCCAACAGATAGTTATCTCGCTGGATATCTATCACCTTACGCCGGACACAATCTTATCATGTGGTCCGAAGTCGACGTGGGCAAATATTCCAGGCGTCTAACTACTCTTTTCAACACCTACATGAGTGCCTCTATAAATCCGATGGGCCATACCGATGTTTCGTTTTCAAAAAGTTGGAAGAATGGCCCGTCCCCTTCTGGAGAAACATTGAATTCAATTGCAGCGAGTGCGACGATTGTTTTCGATGTCTACGAAACCAGTAGAGCCTGGGTAGGCGTAGCTCTCGCAGCTACACTGCTGCTTCAATTGCTCGCGGTACTTGGGCTTATGTTACGAGCTCTAGTCAAAGGGCCAGACATACTAGGATACGCGAGCTCTATGACAAGGGACAATCCGTACATAAACTTGCCTGAGGGTGGATCGAGTTTGGATGGCCCAGACAGAGCTCGACTGCTAAAAGGGACTCGGATACAGCTTGCAGATGTGCGCCCAGAGAAAGAAATCGGCTACATCACTCTGCGAGCAGTTGAACCTGGATACTACACGGATGGTGGCAAGGATTACAAAGTTATGAATAATTGGCGGCCGTTTACCCGTGGAAGATTGTATACATGATTTTTGGGTATCTATTATACGTAATCATAACATTACGGATCAGGCAGCCTCCGTTGCCAAAGGAAGGTTTTCTATAGAATAAACGAACACATTAGATGCCACGAACGCATAATGTTGATCTAAAGTTATCAATTTGAGTTATCAAGTTGTTTGATGGAGATCTCAGTAAACAAGTACTTTCACTAACTCTTAAAGGAGCGTGATATTAGAGCTCTGATCCATACTCGCAATAAGCAATTGTGCTCAAATTATATATAGTAGGATGCCTCTTAGCTGGGCCATATATTTCTCTGTTGGCCTAGAACGAGAGACTTTGATAAACTAGCTATGGTGGGCTAGAAAAGAATACTTTAGTTACAAAGGAACCAGATTTACTAGTTGAAACGAAAAAGAAAACCTCTCCTCAGCATACTCTCAACTCTATTGTGAATATTCTCCATTGCGAATGTTCCCAAGCAGGAATTCAATCAGAGCTGGGCTTGGGGCCCAGCCCAAATTCCATGATAACCATAGCCCATCGGAATTGGTGCATAGGCCCTAGAAATTTCTTCCATGCTCTTGGCGTCAAGGAAAACCACGGCACTAGTCTTCTTTTCAGAATCCAAAACGATAAAGGCCAAGACACCGTCGTCTTCGATGGTGCTTTCGGGGTTGGCAATGAAGATGGGCTCAGAAGGGAGAATAGGAACAGCCGGCTCCCAGACCTTCCATGTCTTCTCGTGGGTATCGATCTTGATGATGGAGTCCATCATATTCCCTTTGTGCACTGTGTGCAAACCATAGGCGTATCGGTACGGCCTGCCGTTTAGTGCCTCGTTGATACGGGGCATCTCAAGGTTGGCCTCATCAAATGGGAGGAAGAAGTCGATCGAGGCTTTATGCGTGATCAGCGAACCGTTGGATGAGTGGGAGCCGTTTCCGACGAAGGGCAGACGATAGCGAGTGAATTCACCCTCCATCTCCTTGAACTTTTCAGTTGTGTTCGTCTTACTGCGCAGGGTTTCGAGCATGGAGGTATCGAGGAAGGAGTAGTCGTCCATGCGTGGAAGATCAATGAGAATGTCGCCATTATCGTCCTCGAACGAGTTGATCTGATGGAAAGCAAAGAATGTCTCATCAATAGAATACTTGGAGACAATTCCGCCGTTGTGTCTGTCCACTACGTAGAACAGAACTGGGCGGTCTTCCTTCCAATCTCCCAAGGTGGAACGGATGGTGCCTTTGGAGGGCTTGACTATGTCAGCCTGCACCACGATGAGAATAACATGGTTATCCGTGTTCCAAAGTGCGTGGATATATGCCGCAGGAGCATCATCAATGGTGGCCAGGATCCGAGTCTTCCCTTCAGGCTGTTCAATGCCGAAGACTCGGTAGACAGGCGGGTCGGCATCCAGGTCAAGATGGTAATTATACACGTTCCCGTCTCTTGTCAAGGCGGGATGAGTTGCGGAGCGGCCTGAATTGACCAGCAGGGGATCACTAGCCTCGTAAGTGAAAAGCTCAATCGGCTCCAACGTGACGGGGTTGATCTGCTGCATCACGACCCTGTCCGTGGTGACGACCAGCGTGTCATAGTAAGAACCATTCTCAGTCGCGTTTTTGTCCAGGCCAGGCCAGTTCCCAACGTAAGCGACGCCGACGTTGGCAGAGCTGGCATCGCCAAGGGAGTGCGAAGCGTCCCGGAAGGTATTCTCAAACTGGCCAAAAACAAGCTTGCTTGGGTCAGTCGCGAAAGCACCGTTCGGGAATACCCCGTGCTCGCGAACAAAGTCGAGCAAATCATCCGTGCTGTTGCGGTTGCGGTAGGTAACAGTGCCATTCTCGATGTGGAACTGGTGGTTGCGACTGAAGCCATCCAGCCAGTGGTCACCAGTGAAGTTGCCCACATCCCAGGTGCCAGGGCCTGTACGGTAAAGCTGGCCGGTGACCCAGGAGGGGATGGTGCCTCTGACCTCAAGCTTGACCGGATCTTTATGCTCATGAGTAGCATAGAAACCCCATTCAAGAGGTTCTGAACCAGGTGGAGGGCCGCTGTCGCCAAGGGGTTCGCCAGAGGCTACTGAGGCCGTGCCGACGAAAAGTAGTGCGGCGAGCAACATCTTGGGCTATAGCAAGTCAAGATTGAGGAAGTCGGTTCGGGTTCACGCTCAAGTTACAATTGTGAAGATGTCAAGACAGAGAAGATGGTTGAATGTTCTGGAGAAAAATGAGAAGCCTGGAGTTTCTCGAACATCTTTATACACATACAAGTCCGAACATGGTCTCTTCGACTCTTTCATAATGAGGCAGTGCTATCTCCGAGGCAATTCGATATCGTAGCAGTACTCGCAAGGGTCCAGCATTGCCGGAATGCAGGGGCAGGGACACATACTATGATAAGAAGAGATGTTATTCGTTAGAGGCCGCATCGCAATCGGGCTTTTACACGAGCCAATGGAATCTCCATGTCAAGTGAGGGTTTTCAGAGCCAAAGTCACAGCTTACGTCCTCTACATGTGGAGGATGGCAGGGATTTTGTTACACCTCGACCACAGCAGGAGCATAACTACTGCTATTGGCTAGACCATGCTTCGCAATCGGCTTCAAAAGCCTGTCCAATCGGGTTCCAGTTACAGGCAGGGATTATCAGAGCAAGGGCTGTAAGCTGATGACGCCAAGTATTCTCCGACCCTCGGGACAGAAACTCAAATGGCAACGGCAAGACTTCCTATCCAATGATACAGCACCTTTTGATAATCAGTCTCATATGACTTAGATTCACAAATTGAATTTCAGCTAATAAAGGGTAGTGCGGAGCGGTGGTAAGGGCAAGGAGCCTGCCAATAATGTACTGCCCCTCAAGGACCAGACGGTGTTCGGAATATGTGCTGTCGAAAGTGCGGGCTCTTCTTCCGAATCATGTGTGATCGAATGCTGTTTGCTCATCCATACGTGCACCCCAGTTCGATATACATTCGTGTTTAGCCACCATTTGAAGACCTGAAACAGAGCTTTCTTAACCATACCTAATTTGGCATGCCTTCTACATGGAAGCTAGTCAGTTTGCTCTTAGATAGGGACAGGATACGTAGCCCCTTTCATCAGTTTCGAGAAGATGGAAGATATGAAAAAGCACCCTTCAGCGCTCCCATTGCGGGAAGATGCATGCACGTCTTCTTTTCCCGCCACGGAAGAGAGATACTTTCTCAAAAACGCGCGTTCGTGTCTTGACAGAAGGGAAGGCGTCATTATGCCCTCATCTATCCGTATCCCAGGATTCCAACCACAGTACCATATCCTCCAGGGAAAAGGTGTCTCTACGCCCCACATACATGTGCTCTGGGGCCGCTCGTTGGAAGCTTTCGATGCTGGATGACTGAAGGCTTAGGGACGAATGGCCCCTTCTAAAACTTGAGCTTGCTCGAAATAGACACCAGGCGAAGGCGCGGTCGAGGATTTATCTTCGTGATTCCTAAAAGACCCGAGGGTAGTTACAAGAGCAATTAACAGCAAAAGCTCACATACTGAATAAGATGCTTGTCCCCATGTGACGGTCAACTACGGGTAACTATTACCGTAACAACCCCAAGCCATCAGCTCCACCATTATCGAACGAACTGCAGACAGAATCTTGTGATCCATCTTCCGTAGCTATCATTATACGACTTCGAAGGTGCTAGGCATCTAGCTGAAGATTGCCTGTTTAAAAGACTTAATATCAATTATTTAAGAGCAATTTAGCCACACAAATAAAACTCAGTCGATGCTCAACCACGATATTTAAGTTAATCTCTGGTATACAAGTCTCCTCCGACTTATAGCTTGCGTCGCCTGATTCTACTCGCAATCTTGCCTTTGGGCGGTATGGTTCCGAAGGGGAAATACTCCATATTTGGCTTCACTCTAGCGGCCGACTCGAGATCGACAATGTCAATCTCATATGCACGAAGGACGAGCGCAACCGAAACCATCAGTTCCTGCTTGGCGAAATGGCGGCCAGGGCACATGTTGAGGCCACCACCATACGGATACCAATACCCCTGAGTGCCATCCGTCACAGCCCGCGCCTTACGATCATCGTCCGCCGTCCGCTTCCCGGTATCTTTCGATGTCGTCAGACTGGCGCCTTGCTTGCGAACAGGGCCGCTTGACGGGTCATCTGGATATCGGAGGAATCTCTCGGCCCAGAATGTATCAACAGGATGCTCGACTGATCCGTCAGGCAACGTGCGTCCGGTGTTCCAAAAGTCCGGATCGCGGCCTCCGTACCATGATGTGGACAGCATGCATACGTCTTCCTTCAATTGCCACCTGCCAAACTTGAGGTCCGGAATCGTTGATGTTCGGCCCACAGGCGCTGCCACTCGGAGCCGGAGGGTCTCGCAATAGATTGAGTTCAGCAGTGGTCCAGAGCAGAGCTTCTCAAGATCAAGGGACAACGACCCTTCCTTGAATGCAGGGCTCATCTCTGTTATTACGCGCTCTTTCAGATCAGGGTCAACCAAGATATTGAGGAGCATCCAAAGAGCAGCCGGGATCGCGTTTGCGTTCAGCCTATATTTTGTCAACGTCCGCATATTCTTTCACAGGGATATTTTATTCACTTACGCCCAGATCAAGCCCAGATCGATAGCTGCCGCACCTTCCGGCGAGAACCCGGTCGTCTGAAGCAGCTTCTGCCTCGCAGTAATCAGTCTTGATCCGAACTCGGGCGTCCACTCCTTTGCCAAAGTCTCCTCGTCCGTCATGGAAAGATTCTCTCTCGTGTAGTTGTGGAATCTCAGGACGCTGGCGAATGCCTTGTCTCTTGCCTCATAGCAGCTCGGGATAAGCCATCTGGGAAGTCTCTTGAATAGCTTGGGGAGGACATGATCAAATTCCCAGAAGTCTTCCATGAATGTTGGCGACAGCTCGAGAAACTTTTCGCCGCAGAACGATTCCAGTGCGGCATGAGCAATGTCATCTCTCATCCAAGTGTACAGGTTATCGATCTCGACCCAATCGCCTTTTGCGAACCGGGCGTCGGTCTCAATTATCTTTTTGTATAGCCTGATGAAATTGTTTGTCATTACATTTAAGGAGTTTCCAGAGAGAAGAGTCTGCAGATCCCGATGCTCGATGAAGTGAAATCTATGAGCCGGGTCGGCTCCCTCAAATCCAGCCGCCGGCTTCGCGGTAATGCCGGACTTGTCGCCAATATAAAGATTGACATCCGCGACTGGAACGCCAAATGCATCCCGCAACGTCATTATATTAAGTGAGTGCGTCGTAAGATGGCGAGATGCTTTGAACAGCTCCAGGATGGGCTTGCCCTGGGGGATGTAATACATTTGCTCGGCGCCCACGAAAATCCGCATAGGCACCTTCCCGAATTTCGATCTGCGGCGTGTTAGACAGGCGCATTGGTAGTTGAATGACACTGATCTCTTACATCACCGAGGCAAGGAACTTCTCCGTGTTGTACGCGAAGCCAACGGTGTTGCCGATCACCGGTATCCAGTACGGGACCCTGGGCGGCTCCCTCGAGGCGTCCCCATTGCGATAACCCCAATTGCCGATGGCGGTAGCTGCATATGTCACAAGCAGTGGCAGGAGCACAAGGGCAAAGAGATTGGCGTACGAAAGCGACTCAGAGTTTAAGTAGACCGCCATTGTGGCCGGCAAAGTTGTGTTGAGAATGAAAGGGAGAGGAGCGAAGGTAAGCAGAGCTGGCGAAATTCCAAGAACAAAATCCGGAACCAGGGAGCACCGGAGCAGCCCATTCCTCCACTCGCCAGCTCACCATTTGAAATTGGCTGACCGACTTAGCGAGGATGAATTTAGTCTCCGGTAGTGGTCGACTAGGATGAGACAAGGGTGGGCCATCTCAACCTAGGCACCCACGAGTCTTGCTAGATTAAGACTCGCTCTTGGAAGTATATAAAAGGAAACACCTCGCTGTTTCAGTGATCCAACCGTCACTTTATCTGCTGGCTCTTGTCCAACGGGTCAGAAGAGCAGCATAACTCCCAGCGGCCATCAAACTTAGAGGTTTCATAGAGAAACTCACGCTCAACCCCTGGTCGAGAACACGTCACCAATGCTCTTTTTGCGATTGGAATGAAGCTGAATGCGGCCATATTCCTCAAAAAGCCTCTGCATAATAGGCAATATTTTTCGCTACCAGCAAGCCCATAATGCCAGTTCCCAACTTTGCTTACAGCAGCCATAAAACACTCATCGATTCTTCTATTCAACCATGCACTATTAGCAGATTAGCCTGCTTCTCAAGATCATAGCAGCTAGCTCTTCTTTCTGACCTTTCTACCTCTCATCTGGTATAAACCTGCCTCTTCCCTTCAACAACATGAGGGCGACAAGTGAAGCTCCAGTGTGAAATCCACGGAAGCAATCCTCGCATTAAGTACGACTACGGAATGGGAATCTCTCTTTACAAAATGGCGAATTTCATTGCACTTCATGTTAACCATCACTGCCACGGTTCTTGTATTTTATGGCTACGGATTTGATTTTCTCCTCATTCTTTGAGTTCCTCTGTGAGCCTTGGCATCGTAGTACCTCGAAATCATGATGGTTCTCAATTGGGTTAGCGCATTCAATTGAATCACCTCTTCGAAGAATCTTCGAAGAACACGGGCACAAAGAGGTTGAACTATTGGTAATGTTCATATCAGAATTAATGCATGATTAACCCTAAATGAGTATTTGAACATCGCTCATAAGTTTAAGGGTCTCCCTATATAAAATGAAATGTGCAATGTAGACATCACTCAGCGCTGCTGGTACGCTGCTTACCCTATACTCACTCCCCAGGATGTCTCTAAGAAATGGCCACTCTAGCTTTAAACCTTAAGGTAAATCAGAAGTTTTTTATATATAGTTATGTAGTTGTAGACATGTTCTTGTTCAATAATTCTGTTTTAGTCGGGTTGATAACCTCGAATTTGGGGCAGAGGTTTACATGACCATGAAACTGGTGGTACCTTGGTGAAAACCGGTTTTAAACAGGTAGGCTTGAAAAGAAAAGAAGATCTCTATATCAGACAACCACAACAGCAAAAAATATTTCAGAATAGATATTCCAATTATGAGATGTTTTATTAAACCGCATTGTAATAATATCGAGGTGCTGAAATCCCGCATTAACGTACCTAGTATGAGTCGCGATTGCAACAGCCGGAGACCAGTCCGTGATTCATGTGGTGGGACCGGGATGAGACGAAGTGCCGATCCCCCCCACATCAACCACCATCATTTTTTCCTGCTACCTCGAAGCCCCCGGACCTACTGCCCGTTGTGTGTTTCACTCGACTCAGGCTTCTGTCTCTCTCCATCACGGAACATTCTCAAAACAAACAGATATGAAAGAAGACGAGTGTTACATCTTGTGCAATGTCTCTTGCAGGTTTAACAAAAGACTTTCCTTATTCTTTTTCAGTCTTAACACGAGTCTACTCTATTTTGGTAAATAGCTTGTTTGCTTCACATACGATCACCAAGCACCCTTTTTTTCTCTCATTCAGTTTGGCATATTTAGCTACAGTTGCCCCTGCTACCACCGTGCCTGCCGACAACATCGGTATCTAGTGGATGACGACTCAAGCATAACGAAGCTAAGAAGCTTCGCAAGATGCTGTAATTTCATGGCTAGGAACTCAGAAGTCCCTCAGGCCTTTGTTGGGATTCGGAAATTTTAGCGGCGCGGATATGACGGCTCGTAGTATCTCTTTTTGGTCCAAGTGTCCTCGTGTGCAAATTCGGCAGATGGTGTGGACGGAATGTGCGGGTTTGATCACGGACCGTTGGCCTAATTAATATTTCTTGACAAAGCCTCATGTACATTTCCGTCTCGATGACATCCGTCTGCGCCAGTTAGCGGGAATTACCAAGCGGAAAGGTGTAAGTCATGGGGCGAACATAGGGGTAGGGGGCTGAGGCAAAAACCCCTACTTCAGCACGCGCCGCTGGCTGTCAATGGTCAAGAGATTCGGGATTCGGGCTTGATATGTTCTTAATGCTATTTGATTCCTTGTAATTGCTTCGCCAGATAAGGGAATGTAACCAAAAACTCCGCGGAACTTCCATGGATTTTAGGTGCAAAGATGTAGGGGGCTGGCATCAAATGCCGGGCGGGTAGATCGCCAAGGCTTGGCGACTTTTCTATAAATACCATACTCTTCCGCTGCCATTTGTTAGATAGTTAGATAATGTTTCTTCACAGCTGCAAATCTCTGCGTTCTTGTATCCTCATTTTATCGCCTTCTTAGTTCGTGCTCCCGGTTGACAATGGAGATTCCTCTCAGCCTAGGCATATTGCCGCTGGCTGCCGCTGGAGGTGTAAGTATTGTCATTCTACTATGCCCATTGTCCCCTATGGCTCACTAATTTGCCAAAAGCTGGTTCTATGGGTGCTTAGCCTGGCTATATACCGAGCGTGCTTTCATCCTCTCGCCAAAATCCCTGGCCCTAGGCTGTATGCTATAACGGATCTACCATACCTCTATCATGTCTCCCGTGGCACTTGGGTCAAAAAGCTGCAGGAATTTCACGAGAAATATGGTCAGGTCGTCAGATTTGGACCCGAAGATGTTTCTTTCACCACTGCTGATTCATGGAAGACGATTTATGGACACAAAACATCACAAAACAAGACATTCCACAAGGACCTCCGAGTATACCGCGAAACCATTTCCGGCGACCGTCACATTATCATTGCGCCTCATGAGGATCACAAGCGGATGCGTCGACTCATCTCCCACGCGTTCTCCGAGAAGGCTTTGCGAGGTCAAGAGAGTATAATGAAGAAGTATGTCGACTTGCTTATCTCCAAGACACACGAGAATGCAAAGAACGGCAAGACGATCGATATTGTCAAATGGTATAACTTCACTACGTTTGATCTCATTGGCGATCTTGCCTTTGGCGAGCCTTTTGGCTGCCTTGAGGCTGGAGGCTATCACCCTTGGGTCGCTATGATATTTGATGGGCTCCGTATTGCGTCCTTAGGCCAAGTCGTAAGGCGATATCCGTTCCTTGCTCCTCTTCGTTCACTCATTATTCCGAAATGGATAAGGAAAAAGGCCAAGGAACACTATCAACTCACCCAACAGACCGCCTTGAAACGCGTACAATCTGGTGACAATGGCCGAGAAGATTTCATGTCCTACATTCTTCGTCACAATGACGAAAAAGGCCTTACCCAGGGGGAACTCGTTGAAAACGCCTCACTTCTGATCATTGCTGGCAGCGAAACTACGGCGACACAGCTAAGCGGCACAACTTACCATCTTATGACTAACCCCAGTGTTTACAAGAAACTAACCGAGGAGATACGATCTACGTTCGGGTCGGAAGACGAGATCACTCTGGCGGCAGTGAACGATTTGCAGTATATGCATGCTGTTTTTGAAGAAGGTTTTCGATTGTGTGAGTCCTCGCCCTTGAAACTCTCCTCCACCTATGTACCTCAGCCACAATAGCTGATCAAGGGTAGACCCCCCCGTTCCTGCAGGGCTGCCTAGGATCACTCCACCCGGGGGCGAATTCATCGAAGGATACTGGATTCCAGGCAAGGTAGGTGAATCCAGCAACATGCTCAGGAAGAAACCAATACTAAAAGTCGCAAAACAGACCAGTGTCTCCGTCTCCCAATATTCGTCGTACCACAATGAACGAAACTTTCGAGACGCGGAGAAGTTCGTCCCAGAACGATGGCTTGGTGACCCCAAGTACAAGTCTGACAGCCGCGGGGTGCTCAACCCCTTTTCTTATGGGCCCAATAACTGCATTGGTAAAAAGTAAGCACTGCCATGCCCTCCCTGTCAACGTCTTCACTACCGTTTCAATGACGTAGGCGCTGACCATGCTACCTTTGAAATACTAGTCTTGCATACGCTGAGATGCGACTCATCTTGGCGCGCCTTCTATGGTCCTTTGACCTTGAGATGCTGCCCGAAAGTAGAGATTGGGACCAGCAGAAGATATTCCTCCTTTGGGACAAGGGGCCGATTCAAGTGAAGGTTACGGCCGTGCAGCGATAAGAAACTCGGGAGAAGTGATCGTTGCACGTCAAAGAAGAAGATACATAACTATATACCTGTAGCTAGCTGTTTCTCCCTCTTACTCGCTGCTCTCAAAAGGCCTATAGCTTCCTCCTTCTTAGCAGCAGCCTTCTGTTTCTTAGAATGCCTCCAGCTTGCAACACAAATACCCCCAAAGGCAAACACTGCAAGAGCACCGAAAACTATGGCGATAATAATGCCCGCAGTTTCAATTCCCTGAACCTCCATGCATATATCATCGTCCAGGGTGGTTGTGCATATAAGATTTGGTGAACATGAGCTCCTACTAAACGAGATGGGCGTGCATGTTCGTGTACTCCTGACGTCGTTGTTGTTAACCACATCGCAGGCTGAGGTGGAAGTCATGGTGGTGGTGAAGCAGACAGTCCCTGTGTTAACTTTTCCTGATCTAAATGTCGAGGTTGATGATGCGGTCGATGAAGCGGTCGATGAAGAGGAAGTTGACGATGTTATACTCGATGAAGTTGTACTCGTAACAGAAGCTTCGGTGGTAGATGATGTAGTGCTTGAAATACTTTCAGATGTCGTAGATGAAGTAGAGTCAGACGTCGAGGAAGTCGAAGATGTCGCTGGTACAGTAGATGAGGCATCCTGCGAGGAGGCAACTGCTGATGAAGCGACTTCTGAGGAAACATCTGTAGCTGAAACCGCATCTGTTGTTGTGACCTCAGCACTCGGAATTTCGCTTTCGGTATTTTGTCTTATGACTTGTCTGAGCTCCTTGTACGAACAGGTCTCGACTAGACTGGGTTTTTCTGTCTCCGAAGCCAGGCTATCGCTGAGGGCTGAATTGTGCTCAGAGGCAGAGTCAGTTTTGACTGCAGCAGCGGCGAGTATGTTGAGGAAGATGAAGAGTCTGCGTAGTGAACCCATGGTAGAGAAGCTGAAGCTGAAAGTACACTGCTCGAAACTATGTTAAATGCGAGAGAGGTTTATGAGTAACTAGAGTAGTTTGGAGGCGATGTTTCTTAAGATGAAGCATTAGTATTGTTCAGATGCGAGAAAGACCACGGCAATATAACACAATCGCCATGATGCAACTGCCGCAACACATTTGTTAAGCCGAACCGCCTATTCAGGCCTATTCAGGCAGTTGCTTATCAACGTGGTACTTTACGAGCTGCGTTCGGCAGTTGCGTTAGCATCTCACCCCGTATTACGTGTATTGCGTGGCTCGGTTTCAGTTATCACCAGGATGCTTGGCACATCGGACCCACCTATTGTAGGTTGATACGAGTTGTTTATCTCGAAGCTAATTAAAGACAGGCTGACTTTTACCCCATGGACTTCTTCTCGTATTACCTAGTTCTTAAATAAATACTATTTTGGATGAAATTCCCCGGGCTGAGTGAAAGCTTGTATTGATATTTTATGGGCCTGAAGCGCAGATCATCGAGTTTCTTGAGGATCAGTGCCCTGCTCAGCCTCTAGCACGCCAAAAGTTGGCATCTACACGTCACGCTTCTTGTCTAGGACAGGCCATGTTGTTGAATGAAAAAAGACCATTCGAAAATTCCATTAGTGGTTGCAAGGTTTAATGCATCTGTGAAGACAGTGGCTCAGTCATGTTGGCTATTTGCGGCACAAATACCAAGATGAAAACTATTCTTCTCCCCCTTTTCATTCTGTCTCTCTCTCTCTTTTCCTTATCCGCATATCCTGTAAGTTTGCATGTAATCCTTCCAGGGACACAGCAGCGATCGGCCTCGGTTAAGCGCTGTGTGAGTGGGCTGTTGATTGTTGGCTGCAGCTCGACCAATAGCCCGGACCTAAAATTAGTCCTTGCAAGGCATACTCTTCGCCAGCTGGGAGTTTCCAGTTCGTATCAACCGAGATCGTCTGAAATTACACGATGACGTGGAGTTGCCAGATGGAAAGCCGGCATAGACACAGCTTGAATAGAATCGGCAGAAGGGTTAGTCGTATCTCACGGCATCTCGACAACAATTGAAGAATACGATGTGCCCCATGTTAACCAGCTTGCAAATTCACCGCCCAAGGCTGAGTTGGGCTAATTTGCTCAAGTGAGCGTGAGATCAGCACTTGACGTCAACATGCAAAGCAAAGGGGAAGTTGAGGATGAATGGCGACGTGGCTCGCCTCCCTCCCAGTTATTTCGCCTTGGAATCCATTTTCTACTTATTATTGCATTTCAAAAAGTTAAGGCCCATCTGGAAAGCCTCCCTTAGACAAAGACCAAAGGACAAGAGCACTATCCCCGACTACTGTAAAATACCTCAACTGCTCGCTCATCTTCAAACCACAATACATAGAACGCGAATACTGTGTCGATGATGGTGGATCTTTGATATCAAACCATTTAGCTTTACTATTGTGCAAACAGGGAATTTCTGATACGCCTTCTTGGTGTGAGAATCGTTGTAGACTCTGCCCGGAAACTTTCTCACCTGTCGTTTCGTCGTGAGAACACCAAGATAAAACTCACAGGGGTCTATTGTTGCATAATGTTACTTTCTAAGACGGTATTCTCCCACATTCTGTTGTTTTGGAGGGTCACGTCTGGCGGTTATTTGTTGGCCGCCCAAGTCAGGTGGACCATGCAACGTGGACGGCCAATTTCCGTATTACGGCGCGCCATCTCTGGCCGTTCATTCTTTCTAATCATTCTTTCTCTCAGACGTAATCCTACCCTACATTGGAAACCTTCACTTGTTGTTCCTTAGGGGTAATGGTTTACACAGCCGAGCTTTACCTCACCTCGGAGAAAAGCTCGAACATCAAGCACACTCCACAGGTGTCTCACTTGCTATACTCTTGAGTTGACACATTCACGATGCCCGCTTGTAGGAGAGGTGACGAGTAACTGACTCAAAGCCAGCCAAACAATTGTCGAGCTATTAGAAAAGCCTTGGGTTATCCCTTCGGGGTACAAGCCAACCGCGGGTGGGTCGAACGTGTACGTGCCTTCGCTCTTGGGCCAGATCTTCTAAACTTTCGACGAGACCATCAAATGCTAGATGACAACAATGGCGTCAGATACTGGCCAGACAACTACCCAAGCAGCGAGGACTCAACAAACGCTAACAAGCTGACTCAACCAAAGGCCAACCAAAGTAAGTGCTTCTCGTTCCTTGCATTCTTCTGCTTCGCCGCGTCCTTGTGCTTACCAGAAAATCTACGAAGAGAACCAGAAACCTGCTGTCCTACAACTTGTTGCCCCTACACCTGGAGAAGCGCTCGGTCTCGAGAACAGATCAGATTTCACCAATTTTAGCTTTGCTGCCGGGGAAGAAGACACAGAGGGACCGGGAATATCTTCAGTGCCCCCCTCTCATTGCTGACGGCATCGGGCAAAGGTCGTCTGTTCAACAAGACAATATTCTAGACCAGGTAAGACCTCTACGGCCGCAAGAGAATAACGCTGACATGGGCCAGGGTGGCCAATTCGATGGTGCAGTACCCAACAATGCGACTGACAATATCTCCCCTCCCGATCCGAACCCTAGGCCTCGATCGACCGAAGAAAGCGAACCGAGTGGCAAATTTCCCAGGCCAGGGAATGTTGCAAGGCGCTACATCCCTTGTAGGAATAGAAGACGCCCTCGCAACGATGACTATATATCGGAAGGAACAATGGAGGAATACATATGGTCCTCGACATCTTCAGAAAGTGATTTCGATTCAGACACGCAATATGAACAGATGGACAATGGCACCGAGAACGTAGAAGAGTGTCCACCCGGACCAACCATTGTGACGAACGAAGAAGCTAGGTTAGCCGCCGGTATGCCCATAGATGATCGAAACGTCAAAGAGATCGCCGCTGATATCTGGAATGAGCATTTAGGCCAGCATAATACTGATACTGGTCGAAACGAAACCATGACTCCGCCCCCCCTCCCATCAACAAGGCTTCAGGACTGGGGCCTGATGGGATGTCGAATACCCAAAGCAACGTCGATAACGACACTGGTGAAGCTAGGGAAGCCCAACTGACCCCGGGACAGACACCACCTATTTCCGAACCCTTACGAGACCCCCCTCAAGTCAACGAATCTCGAGAACCAGATGAGCAGCCGGCTTTTCAAACTAGGGAGAATACTGGCTTCAGATCCATGAGGCGCACTGTGGTGTTGGCTCAAATGCTAGACCTCGACCACAGCTACACTATGACTACTTTCTCCCCCTAGACTGCGGCACAGGGGTCGATTACGTCCTTTGGAGGCCCAACCGTCGACTCATGGAGTTGACATGGTCTCATTTGGACAAATCTCTCCCGGTGCAGCTTCTCATGGCCTCGGACACCTTGTTAATCCGAGTCTCCGGCTTTGAAGAAGAGCATGAAAAGTCTTCGTTAAAGTGGTCACACAAAGGGCTGAGAACCTGAAACACTTCCAAGAAGCATGTCAGACTACTAAGAGTACTTTTGCCGATCAGTCATCCCGGTGGCACTTTTATTTGGACCCGATAGGCTGCACTTATGCACAGATATGCATCGTTGCATTTAAAGTGACAATATACAGTGCACATCTGCATGATGCTGCCCCCATCCAAGGTATCACAGGTGCCCTTGGGCCATCTTTGGTTGGACGACAGGAATCAGCCACCATTGGGGGCTGACTGTGCTGCCCACCCTTTGGCAAATTGCCCGTTCGAACTCACCCTTTTTGCATATATGTCCCCCCACCCTCTGCGCCTAAGTTCTCATCTTCTTCCGTGTCTTCAAGTGCATTGCAAACAGCCAACCATGCAACCAGTCCTGTTTGCCGCGAGCTTCCTGTGGCTTTGCAGCTTTGTTCTATCGAAGAACATCTTCAACAAGCCCCCCTCTGGAGGCGTTTCGGGTGATTACAGCGAAAATCCCACATACCAGGAGGGCCAGCAGGTTGATTTCTTGTGGGAGTCGGATGTTAAATACGTCGACATTGGCATCTTTCAGAAATACCCCGTCCCTGCAGACAACAAACACTACAGCGCCTATGTGGTTCGTGAGTATACGAACCCGTAACCCGTGAAGCAAGAAAGCAAAACAAAGAAGATAAGCTGACCATCACCTACTAGGAAACACTTCCAAAACGAGCTACCGATGGAACATGGTCAAGATTTTGAGAGGCGAGTCGCCTCCTGAGGGCGAGAACTCCATCTTCTGGCTCATAATGTATGACACCTCGACAGAAAAGTTAATTACCGACTCTCACTATTTCAACGTGTCTCGAATTCGAACGACGGCGACAACGTCAACGACATCCGAGTCGAGCGCATCAACAAGTGCTGTTCCCACGGCTACTGCAGATTCGCAAGCATCCGGTACTGGGCTTTCGTCTGGAGCCATCGCCGGGATAGCGGTTGGAGCAACACTCGCCGGAGTCCTCGTGACTGCTGCAATTGCTTTCTTCTTCTGGAGACACCTACAAACGGCCAACAGGGGCGCCAACGCTCATCCGTCTGCGTCTGGTGCAGGTGACAAGCCCATCATGGACGGTCAGCATCAGCGGATGTCGGTGCCACCTCACTACAATCAGGTTAATCAGCATCCTGGCATGACGGGCATCGAGTTGACCACAGACCGTGTGCACGAGGCCCCTTAAGCGCTACCGGGGTACCGAACGTTCTCGGATGGGAGAGGGATGAAGATGTTGAGATTGAGAAGAAGGAGGAAATTTTTGCAGCAAGTTGATATGTAGTGTTAACCCCTGGTGAAGCGGGAGGGTATCAAAATGGAGTCAAAGCACGGAAAACCCTTTATGCACCACCTACCTACATAACGACTTGTCAGGTCCGCGGGTCAGATTAATACATGTGTCCTGTCAAAACATATTTCCTTTCTGAGTAATACATTTCTCTATCAAAGCAATACTGGCATTAATAGATAGTCCGTGAATCGTGATCCCAGGCGCAAGATTGATATTAGAGATATTTGTTGACTTATTCCCCTGATATGAACCTCAACCATTTATATCATGAGATCAAAAAAAAATAATTTCAAGCGCTGAACTGGCCTGTATCTCATACGATATTTCTCGTAGCGATTTCTGTAGATTCTTGACGTTTATGTTGTTAACGATACCCAAATTTGCCCCTTAGCCTCTTCACTAACAAGACGTTGAAACAGAGCAGCTTAATGATGAGTCTTAAGTCCGAGGGACATTCCCTGCATAGTCAGTGAGCGTGCTGCATGGGAAGTGAGCAGGTTGCATGGTAAGCTTATTTTCTTAGAAACATCTAGCTAGTGCCCAGACAAGGGTTCGTGGTAATGATCCACACTCCATAAGATACCTTCTTTGTTTAAAGTCTAGCTTCAAGAAGGCCTATACGCGGGAGACGAGCGGAGAGCCTGCCGTATTCGAGGAGGTATGGGGCTAGAATAGGATACATTCGGTGATAACTCAAAGTACGTTTATGCTAAAAATAACATGATGGCGATTTGGACCCTTCGGTACATGTACCAGAAAGTTGCACATGTGCCGTGGCATCTACCGAAGAGTGACTTGAAATCAAGCGTTCGGCTTTTAACATGAAGTCAACTGGTAACTCCGTTTCCAGGATCTTGAACGTCTTTTCTTACTATACCCCGGCATGTTCGAAAGTGTTGTTAGCCGAGAGCATATCTTAGACAGGTTATTGAGTATAAATACCTCTGTATCTCATTATGAGTTTCTATCAATTCACAGCAAACCAAACAATACTACGCATTCCATCGACTTCGATAACATGAGATCAATCTATTTTCTGAGTGGGCTTGTAGCTACGGCTTGGGGAGCTGTGGCTCCCAAGGCCACGAACGAAACTGAGTATGAATATGTTGTCATAGGCTCAGGCGCGGGAGGAGGAGCAGTGGCGTGAGTTTTTACTTCAAGTACTTACAACTTGATAACAATTTTGAGCTGACAACCTGCTTTGATACAGGGCGACTTTGGCTCGAAAGGGTCACTCTGTCTTTCTCATTGAAGCAGGCGAGGATCGTGGTGAAGAACTTACTCAACAAATTCCAGCGCTGTTTGTTATATCCTCTATCTATTCTTACCCTCATTACAGGTTCGACGAAGGCTAACCCTCTCATCTCTTTGCAGTTCGGGTCAGGCAGCAGAGGGTCTGAACTCTTCATGGCAATTCTTCGTCCACCATTACCGAAACAATGAAACACAGGCGTACCGTGATCCGCACTACACCTATCTCATGAGTAATGGCTCTTACCATATCGGCCCAAACCCGCCTGAGGGTGCTGAACCGTGAGTTTTTATAGTTATACCAGCTTTACCGTTGTTCTAATCTCAATACTTTTAGGCTAGGAATCGTTTACCCACGTGGTGCTACTGTAGGTGGCAGCACTCAGGTGAATGCTATGAATCTTGGCCCTCCGCCTGACCACGAGGTGAGTAATGGCAGCCTCGGATTATTGTCACTTCTATCACAAGAAACTCTCTAGAGTGGGAGGGCTTTCTTTGAAGATATCCAACTCGGGCGCAGGGTGTTCGGATGCTAACTTGGCATCCAAAGTGGGATTACATCGCCGAAGTAACTGGTGATAATTCCTTCGAGGCGGCTGCCATGAGGGAATACTTCATGAAGGTTGAGAATTGTAACTATCTCCCTCAAGGTACCCCGGGTCATGGATTTGACGGCTTCATAACAGTATGTTTAACCCCTGCTTGCTCTGATGCCAATTTCTAATAGATGTAGCTCTCTCGAAACAATGTTACTTATCTCACCGGATCAGCTGGTGTGGTGGACCAGCTGTCAAAGGCTTCCCTAGAAGTCGAAGGTATTGAACCCAACAGCACTGACGCGTTGGCCGATCTACTTCTCCGGGATCCTTATCCTCCCGGGGAGTATTCTGAGGGGATTTTTATGCTCGTGTCGGCTGTTACGGAGACCAAGCGTCGATCTGGGACGCGCACTTATGTGGTCGACACGTTGAATGCGAAGAACCCTGACGGCAGCAAAAAATACCCGCTGACACTCAGTACACGCTCCCTCGCGACTAGAGTCTTGCTTGACCAGCAGGGTAAAGTTCCTCGGGCCAACGGCGTTGAGTATCTGGTCGGGGATGCGCTTTATGCGGCCGACCAACGATATGATTCCTCTACGACAGGGGAACTTAGAACCGTGCTCGCCTCAAGGGAGGTCATCGTGTCGGGCGGCTCCTTCAATACTCCGCAAATCCTCAAGCTCAGCGGTGTTGGGCCCCGTGAAGAACTCGAAAAGTTCGACATCCCTGTTGTCGCTGATGTTCCCGCCGTGGTATGTGCCTATTCCTGAGATACTTCATACAATCCGTTGACTAACATTCTCTAGGGGGCCTTCTTGCAAGATAACTACGAAGCCACCGTTATCGGCGATGCAGCTATCGACTGGGATAACTACTCCGAGAACTGCACATTCGAATTCGGGGCCAGCGACCCATGCTACCAGGAGTGGTTATTGAGTGGCACTGGACCATACGGCGAAGCTGCAGCCCCTCTGTCACTGGTATATCGCTCCAGCGTGAGCGACAACGAGCATCCAGATCTGTGGCTCTACGGTGCCCCGGGAGCCGCAGTCACGGGCTTCTACCCTGGCTTCTCTCGACCGGCAGCCTCTCCCGCTTCCTTCTCCTGGGCGCTGGCGCAGATGCCCGGCCCCGGTAGCGATGCCAAAGGGAGTGTCACGCTGCGTTCCCGCAACCCGCGCGATACACCGGTGATTGACTTCAACTACTTCGTCGGCGACGCTGGCGAGCGGGATCTGCAGGCCCTCGTGGAGGCTGGCGAGCTGGCCTTGAACCTCTTCAACCAGACGAGCGAGACCTGGGCGCCCATCACGATAGTGAGCCCCGGACCCGGCGAAGATCTTCGGCAGTCGCTCAAGGACGAGGTGTTTGGACATCATGCTACTGGGAGCTGTCGCATGGGGCCTAAGGGGGACCGCGATGCCTGTATTGACTCTCAGTTCCGTGTTCAAGGTGTCGAGGGTCTACGTGTGGCTGATGCGTCTGTCTTCCCTCGCGCGCCCGGCGCATGGCCTACTATGCCTACGTATATGATTGGCCTCAAGCTGGCTGACATCCTGTCGCGAGAGGCTTCTTCTTAAGGGCTCACATGCAACATCGAGCATGATAGCAGGCAAGATGATCAAGAGGGCCAATGCTTGTGTCAAAGAGAATCTAACCAAGACATTGGAAGAAAGAAGGAAAGGCGCAGGTTGAACTTTTGATCCGACATCTACTACGCCGCCAGGGTGAATTGAAATTGAAATTGGTAAATTGTCTGGCTTACCCTCAGGCCTGCATAGTGTTGTCATATTATTCAGAGCCTATGGTAAATGTTCGAGAGACAATATATTATATTCCATATAGCTGCATCATAGGAAAAGTGCCCTGTTCATGACTGCTCTTCAATATGACATCTCCACATCTTCCGTCTGGTCACTCACAATCCGAGCTTCCTTATACGATACTTCTTGATCCAAATCATATTCCATCCCCCCTTCTGGGTCCATTAATTGAAGACCACATTTACATCCCTTGTGAAGACCAAACGGCGTTGGACCATCATTCAACTTGATGGTTGGATCGATCTTGGGGTGGCTAAGTAACATCCGCGTAACCTTCTCGTTGCAGTTTCCCGCGCTCATATGCAAAGCCGTCCAGCCATTTGAAACACGCAGGTTTGGGTTGATATCCGGCCGCTCGAGCAGCTTTTCGACAATTCTATGAAGGCCATAGTTCGCAGCGACATGCAGCGCGGTCCAGCCGTCTTCATCCTGAGCATTGATGATCTGCTCCGTCATCCGCGGATAATCCAGAATTTGGACGGCCATTTTGCGATTAGCATGTCGAACCATCCACCAGAGTGCAGTTCTGCCGTAACTGTCCTTAATGCCCAGGTCAACCCTGGGATCCTCGCAGAGCAGTTTGACTGACTCTATGTTGTTCTCTGTGGCTGCAACCAAGAGGGCGGGCTCCTGCCGATAGTCTTTGTCTTTCAAGTAAGATTTGAAAGGTGCTTTCCTTGAAGGTTTGAACTTGCGAGGCTGGTTCAGCCGGAAATGTGTGTTTGCGCCCTTGCATTGTATCGGGCAGAAGTTCACATCAATGCCCGGATGGTTCAGCAAAGCGGCCATGGCAGGCAATGCGTCTCGAGCAGCTGCCGAGGCCAAGGCTGTTCCTCCACTCGTTACTTTGTTGACATCCACGTCTTGTCGAGCCAGCAGAAGCGGTATGATCTCTGTTGCGGCCGGGCAGTATATCGCCCTGAGTAATGGCGTCCTGTCAGACGGGAAGCCTCTGGTGAAGTTGGGATCAACTTCTGCATAGCGCAGTAACTCCTCCACGACATCATCGAGGCCGTATACGATTGAGTGAACCAAGACTCTGCCTAATTGATCAGCCCGATTTCGGCGAAATGGAGCACAAGCAAGGAGCTTCTTCACAATTCCCAGCATAGGCTGACCTGCCACAGCGATCCAGAGAAGAGTCGTCCGTGCCTCGTCGTTTGATGCAATCGTGCCGTCAACCAGGAGCTCGAATAGCTCGTGGTGTCCGTGATCCATCGCCATCTGGAAGGGCAGCCTCCCGAAAGACTTGCGGGCAATATCCGCCCCACGGTCGAGCAACATGCGGGCAATCTCTATATGGCCGTTCTGACAAGCGAGCATAAGGGGAGTGAGGGTTTGTTTGTCCATTGGCTTGTCGACGTCGATTTTGGGAAAGTCGAGAAGCATACTGACGATGGCCGTATAGCCCATGCTCGCTGCCAAGGTGAGAGGCGTAAAATTTTTGCGCATGACTTGATTGACATCAAAGTCGGTCCCAAGTCGTTCCAGGAACAGGCGGACGACGTTGGTTGAGCCGCTCTCAAAAGCAAGCCACATGGGGGAGTACCTCGAGTATCCCTTCGGAGGCTTGCCGCCTGTCTTGTCCAGGAGGAGCCGCACGATATACTCGTGGTCCTGCCTGGCTGCTGCGCCCATCGGGGTTTCTCCCCACTTCGTTGCGATATTCAGGTTGATGTCGTCCCTCGCGAGGAGTGCCTCAGCGACCGCTCCCCATCCTCTCCGAGCAGCCCAGTTCAAGACGGAGTGCCCGCGCGCATCCTGGAAGTTGACCTGCACATTGCGCGGGACTTCCAGGAGCATGTAGGCTGCCATTGATCTGTTCATCTCACAGGCGTACAGCAAGCCACTCTTGCGCCTGCCATCAACCAACTCGACGGTCGTGTCAAGCCCAAACTCTAGGAGGGTGAAGATTGCAATTTCCCGTGCGAACACGATGGCGGTAGAGAGGACCGAGCCGAAAGCAAGGTGGACACAGTGCATCTGCCTCATACTTAAGCCACAGCTCCTGATGAAGTGCTCGATGGCCAAGGCATTCCCGTGGGCGAGCAGCAGCTGGAGCGTACCGAGCTGAAGGTTAGCATCAACTTCAGGAAGAGTCCTAAATAATGGATTGAACCGTTTGGAAGTATAGTTTCTCAGCTGCCAAATGATGTCTGGCAGAGAATGGCCGAGCTCCCAGGTCACCAGATGGTTGACGACCCAGCTGGGATCGTGAGCAGCGACAACGCAGCGACAGGCAGCGACGAGGGCATCGTCGTGTGTGAGGTTGGGGATCAAGTTCTTCGCCGCCAGATAGGCCGCGGCATCGTGGAGAAATGCAAAGGGCCCCACGAGGTCTCTGAAATGGATCCTAGCTTTGGTGATGAGCATCCATTCGATGCCCGGTCGCCAATTATGTCTGCGGCCGATGTCCAGAGCCAGTGGCGAGGCGTGTTTCAGGACGAGGCGGGATATCTCGTCATCAAATCGTCCTTTTCCAGGTCAATATATGCCCTTGCGAGAGGGGATAGAGTGTGAACCTACGGCAGACAAGGCGCTGGTTCAAGAAATCGGTCTTGTAAGGCTCCGTTAGGCGCACAATGTCGAGGATCTTGGCCAGCACCTCTTGAGGAAGCGTCTGGATATGCATGGTTGCTTGATGCTATCGCCCTCAATTGTCGGATGGTTCTTGATGGGCAGTCTTGGGTCGTCGGGCTCAGAAGAGCGTATTTATAGCCAGGTTGGATCATGTGCTGGATGTGATGAGAGTGATGAGAGTGATGAAAATCACTGTCAGCGGTCCATGCATGCAGCCAGTTGGGCAGCCAACCATGTGGCGCATGCTCTAGCCACTAGAAACGAAGCACTCCTTGCAGCACACTTTCAATAGTTCAAATGGCAGGAGGGTAAATGAAAGGAAGTTAAATGACGGGAAGATGCGAGTTTGCGACCAGCGCCGAGTCGCAGTCGTTTTTGCTCATTAACCATGGGCGCCGTCACCTGGCAGGTATATGAAGAAGTATAACACATCCTCTCCCACTTGCGCGACTAGATTCAGGGTGAATTTCTTACGCAGCTCAAGCAGAGCGATTGAATGCAACCTAGGCACGAGATAAAAAGCGCTTCTGCCAAGTGAAACGATTCAGCTCGTTCTGGTGGCTGCGCGGTAACTCACCACTCAAATTTGGTCATTTCTCATTTCTACTGGAAAAATTATGGCTTTCTGAAGTAATCAGATGACGTAAATGTTATGAGCTCTTATCTACAAGCATCTGAAAGGGAAACAAAAAGGAAAATAGGAAGAAAAAAGAAATATAGTGGCGCATTTATTGAGTGAGCTACTGACCTGACAGGAGGTCTGAGACGCCGATGCAGTATTACTGAACCATTCTAGTTTCAGGAGCATGCAAACACATAAGCAAAGATCCCTAAACTCATTCCATGAGGTCATTAAGTTCCTCCTCTGCTGTCGTATGACAGCACTTTGAAAGCCTTTGGACTGGTGTCTTATGCTCATGACACTGGTTGGAGTCTGCGGCTTCGCGTCCTGAGACACACCAGACCGACTTTCGATGCGATAGCCAATCTATTCCACCAAGAATTAATAGAACGCCGCGATGGCTGAGCCAGACATATGGACTTGCCCACCGGTCGGTGGATAAGACCTTGACCGCCAGTTCTCCCACAGCGTATGAGATTAGCCCTTCACTGAGGCTGAACCTGCACTTTGGATGGTTTGTCACGAGGCCAGAAGATCAATGCCAGTAGCGACGAGTGCGGTGATATGTCATATTGAGTATATTCGCAATGGTCATCCAGCTCAGCTGACCAGGAGTACTGTTCAGCTCGTTGAGCTAACTACATCGACAACCCAGATTGGGGAACGTGTTCCTGGACGCTCCGGCCAATGACTTCATATTGGCTTGGGCGATCTTCCGTCGGCCGCGCTTCTGGGAACAAAGGCAGCCATGAGGGCAGAGGCCTCGGACCATCCATCCTTGACCCAAGAGAGTAATTTGGGACAAACCTTCAAGAGCGCTAAAGACGGGTGTACAGACACGTGGTATCTCAATTGAAGCCTTGCTCGAGATGGTTTACCCGACGGTTCATGTCTACATTCTCACATTGGCAGAATAAGGGGCGAAGCAAATGGCACCACACAAAGGCGTTCATTTGCAACGGCATAGCTCACTAAACAAGGCATAGGCAAGCGAGGGTCGCTCTCGGGATCTGCCTGGGATCACTGACGCACATCAAGATCGGTTAACAGGCCGTCTGTCAGTCTACGAGGTGTAGTTGAAGATTAAAATAGAAACGGCACCGGCAGCCCTACAATCCACCGGGACCGGCCGGGCTTGCCAGGCTCCGGACGGAGGTTTGATGTTCGGGGTCGCGCAAAGGCCAGGGCGAAGCCTGTCATCTCTCTGGTGAAGGCTTAGTCCAGCGTTTATTCTATTTCCATACCTGCGGATGCTACATTAACATCTCACGGCACGAATGATGTGCATGTTTTGTAGCGGAGTTAGCCAACTATGTACGTACTAGCCAGTGATTAGGCAAAAGTACCTAGAATCAACAGAGTATGGGCACGGGAAGAAGCCTGGAGGGAGGGGAGAGACAAGTTTCCACGGGCGGGTAGAAGCTTTCACCCACCAATCACCAGAGAGGCCATCCCCCCTCCACGACGGCAATGCGACTCTTAGCATCTCGATGGTGTTTGTATCAGGTTAAAAATAGCGCAATGGTCTGGGTGAGGGGAATCGGTCCCAACTAGCGGCGGGTTTGGTGCAAACCACCTTGACTTGCCGGCCGGTCAATGACGATGTCCATATCAGATGGAAGGAATGGATTAGAAGAACAACTATTTCTGGGAGCACATGCAACGCAGCGACGTGATAAAAGCAGCATTACGAGTGACGGCATATGCATAACAGGCGCTGCTATGTGGCTAGGTAGCCCCATCAAGCAATCACGGGGCAGAGCATGCAAGGACATGGCCTGTCGCATACAGATCGATCAGTGAATGAATTGAGCGAATGGCATGAGGGTGAAAAAAATAGGACAGTGGCTTCGCCGGTTCTCCAGCCTTCTTGTGCACAGTCCAGGTCTTGTTGCCCCTGGTGGCACACCAAGATGACCAAATTCCCCTTTGGGCGATGCGAAACACCAGATTACTTCAATTCACCTGGATTTGCCTCTCGCACGTGGGAGCTGACCGAGAAAGGAATATGAGCCAGGGCCGTGCCAGACTCTCGGTGAAGTAGGATCAATAGACACACCACAGGGGAGGCAAGGTCTGGTAAGAGGCAGACAGAGCATCCCTACAACAGAAATGGTCGGTGCCCCTCGGCATCACAGAGGCCGTCGCAAACTTCGTAGACACTCATGGATGGCACGATGCGAGCAGCTTGGCATGGAGACCTTGCCGCCGTTGCGACTGCGCAAATATTCGTCTTCTCTCCTCGCACACGCCGCTCCCCTCATACGTTGCCATTTGAACCTCATGGACAACTCTTCATGCAAGTAAATAGGTACTTTGGAACGAGGCTACATCGGACTGCTGCTGGCTCATGCAATCGGCGGGCTGAAATGCAACACACTGCACGCATCGGCCCAGTAAACTATTCTTCTTTGGTCAGGAGGGGAGGCCATTCTCTCTCCGGTCGCGAGAGCTTCCCGCCTGGCCCCTCCATACGAACCATACGGGTCACGTCTACTACTCTATATATGCACCTCCGGACGTTACGTAGACTGTACGTACATACATGGACGCACCACCCGTAGGGCAGCAGGGCAGGGGGGACGGAGCTGGGCCCATCTGACCCTTGGCGCTTATGCGAGGTCAGTCAGGCTCGAGGACGGTGATTTGGCATGGGGAGGGATGACAACTGCCAGGCTCGGAGCAGAGGTTCCCTCCCTTCACATCGCATCGCGTCCGTTCGGTACCGTCACCTTTCCTGGAGGGCCATCTCATTGGCCGTGTCACTGGCTGTCCACTCGTGTCCCTCTTGGCTGCCCAACCAGGAGCTCTCCAGCGTCGACCTCTGCATGTGCATACATCATTGATACACATAGGCATACACACATGCTGTGCGTGTACATACATACATACGAGGGAACGGCAGCTGCTGCGAGGACTGTTCCATTGCTTCGCAGACTCGGCCCCCAAATGTCACCTCTTCCCGTCAGCTCCCGCCCAATACCCACCTGTTGGTCCAAAACAACACCATTCCGGCAGCTAGACTTCCATCTGCCACCAACAGGTCCCCGAGTGGAGGCGAGAGATTAGACCCTTGGCCACAGGTAGCAGAATGTGAAGCCGCACACCGATTCTCTGGCTGAGAGGGTGCCAAATGCGGCTCCAACTTACGCCGGCCCCTTGGCCTCAGCAGCCCAGGACGAGGGGCACCGGACAACACTAAGACAAGAGGGCCCCCGCCCTATCGCTAGATCGCGCACTGGGTGAGACTTGCAGTCGACTCTGCCAACTGGTGGTGTAGGAGCAGGGGTGGTGGTTGGCTGGGCGAGAGAGCGCATTGCTCTCAGCACAGACACACGCACGCATACCCAAGTCCCTTTGCCCTCTCTTCTCCACGGGATGCAGCCCAACGGGGCAGTTGATTGGCCTGGTCTCTTCCAATGCGGCGGCCGTCCTTCCACATTCTCTCATTGGGGACCCTCAGGTCTGTGCTGCTGTTGGACACGCACATGAACAGGCCCCTCCCTCGTCCCTCTCTCCCCCCTGCCCCGGGCTACCACCAACACAGGCTTGGCTGGCTTGGCCCCCGGGGTCGAATGGTGATCGATGGTGCCGCATGGTATTTGTTGCTGCTGGAAAGATGGCGTTTTCCAGCTTTTCGGCCCCCACCCCAGTCGATGTGCATGGCCCCCCTCGAGGTCTCGGCCCAGAGGTCTATGTTACGGTATCGTTACCTCGCTCGACTACGTGGACACGGCAGGCAGAAGAGGAGGCACGTTCTGCTGTCTGTCTCGGCTCGTCTGCCATCGCCAGCGTGGGATTGTAGGGCATGACATGGTTGACATGGCCCGTAAGTAAGCCAATATCACCAGCCACGATGCATGCGGGAATAGCACCGCGATGAGAACCGATTTATAGCTTGGGATTGAGATCATCAACACCATCGTCCAGCCCTACTCAGCTGGGTCCAGGTACATATATCCACGCTGGTCTCACGGCCAGCCAATGTAGGCTGTCCGTAGGCCCCTCCCTCTCTCGCTGCCTCTCGCTGCCTCTCCCAATCCCTGGTCTGGTTCGACCCCACCGCCATCGTCAGCTCTCAGCAAGCATTTTGCATCTGCTGCTGCGCCCCGCAAGAGCTGAGCAGAGGCAATCGCACACCATCCATTCTCCCACTAGCTGATCGCCGCCGGAGCCACATGCATGGGCGGTCTCACTGGCAAGGGACTCTCTCTTCTCGAGCCAAGCCTTTCTGGTTGCTGACGGCCCAAGAAGCCTTTTCTCAAATCGTCCTGGTCTGCTCGCCCCCGTCTTGGCTTATTTCTCCGCCAGCCTGCCCTCCCACTTGGATCCAAATCTGTCTTCGTTTGTGCCACCTGCGAAAACCTTGATCGACCTCTCTCGTACGCTTCCCAGAAACGCCCAAATACGAAGCTTGCCCCGGAGGAGTTCGTCGCTCGCCCGAGTTTAAGCTTCTCCCACTTACCGACCCTTCGCCTGCGCCACCCGGCTTTGCCTCTTAGCTCGGCGCCGAAGCGACAGACGGGCCCGTTTGCTAGCAAGCCGACTCATCTAGGCTCGGGTCCTGGACCGTGTACGATTCGATCAATAGAAGAGGGCGAACGTCGTCGATATACCACCGAGTCTGGCTCGGATCGCAACCATGGTTCGAGGGACTCTCTCGCTGGGGCTCCTGCTCGGCCTCGCGGTGGTGAGCGAGGTCGCCGCCGTGGATGTGAAGCGGTACGATGGCGTCCACAGAATCGAGAAGGCCCAGATCACAGCTCGTGCAATCCTAGAGGCGCGGGATGGGATGACCGCCGGCGTCTGCGGGACGTCGTCCAAGCTGTGCCCGGCCAGTCTCGACGGCGGATGCTGCCCCGACGACTACGACTGCGCAAGAGAGAGCTGCTATGCTACGACGAGGGGTCCTTCGACGTGCGGGACGCTCGTGGGGTGGAGGGCCTGCGAGGCCAAATACGGAGGTGAGCGATCCCATTGCGCCTGTCCAAGGTGAATCCCTACTGACATCTTCTCTTCTTCTCGCAGGTGGATGCTGCCCCGATGGCTACCTCTGCCAGACGGCCGGGAACTGTGTCCCTCCGTCCGGATCACCATATACTCTCGGCTGCCCTGCCAGCCAATACCTCTGTCCATCATCACTTAGCTACGGCTGCTGTCCCAATGGCATGGGATGCGCCGTGAACCAATGCTACTCGACAGTGCCCGTGACCAAGACCTCGGAGATGGTCATCACCACCACACAGAGCGGCAAGACCAGCACCTACACAACACGCAGCCTCTCGGTCAGCACACCAGTAGCCCCCACGAGACTCGGCAACGGCGACGCCGACTCGGACGCGGTGATGAAGTACTTCCCCTCCGCCCTCGCCAAAGCCACACCCTCAGCCGAGGCCAGCTCTTCTGATAATAGCGGCGGTGGCGGCCTCACCAAGGCCCAGCTGGCCGGCATCGTCACGGGCGCCGTGGCCTTCCTCGTCCTCGTCATCGTCATCGCCTTCGTCGTCATCCGCCACCTCAACAAGGTCGTCGCCGCCGTCGCGAGCTCCAAGTCGGGCGGCTCCCAGCCCCAGATGCGCCAGCGCAAGAACACCTTCGAGGTCGACTCCCTCATGATGCCCCCGACCACAAAGGCCGCCTCCGACATCGCCAGCTCGACGGGCCAGACGCCCACCAGCTTCGCGGGCCACTACCAGCCCGTCAGCACCGTGCCCAGCGTCTCGGCCAGCACCCCGGACATTGGTGCGGGGGCCGGCTACTTCGACATCAACCCGCAAAATGGAGGGGGCGCGGTCCAGGTGCCCAGGCGGACGAGCCAGCAGTCGACGGGGTACAGCATCGCGCCTGACCGGCCCAGCAACGACTCGTACGGCGGGTACACGCATGTGCGGAGCTTCAGTGATGCGTCGGACGGGTCGGACGGCCAGCAGCAGCAGCAGGGCGTTCCGCAGCCGTTCAGCCCGGGCCTCGTTACTGAGCTGGACTCGAGGGCGGTTGTGCCCGAGCTACCTGGATCGCCTGGATCGTCCACGTTCGCCGGCGACGACCAGCGGCGGTCGTCGGTGGTCAGCAGCATCTCCAGCATCGTCTCGAGGTCGCAGAGCCACCACCACCATCAGCGCATGAGGAGCGCGACCGGCGGTACCGCCAAGGGCATCGAGACGGGCGGGCTGGACAACATCAACGAGGAGTCGTCGACGTCCGGGTCGCCGAACAACACGCTGGGGCCTCAGCAGAGGAAACCGTCGTGGGCGCCGGCTGACGATTACTATCCTCCTCCTCATCGATGAATGGGAAATAAAGCAATAAAGCAAGGTTTTTAGGCTTCTTTGGGTTTTCTTTTCTATCTTGTCACGGCGTAGGGAGAGATGCATCCCCCTACTGCTCTTTTCCTTTCGAATATGTCATTGAGTGCCAACCTTTCCGGTCCTTTCTCTGGGATGGAGAAACGATATCAAACATTGCGAAGAGTGCGAGGAGTTCTTGATGGATTTATCTATTTCGAGGGCGCTTACGAGGGACACAATTACAACGATGTGCCAGATGATGGGCACAGCAAGGCGTTTCGGGATGAGGTGATTGGGATATATCTAAACGTGCTGCCCATTCGGCAGTTTATATGTTTGGTTTACTTTGTTTTGGGTTTTATCATACACTAAGCATAACTACCATTGAGTTACTGTTTTATACCATTTTATAGATCATGTTTTGAGTTCAAGGGCGAAGGTGTCCTCTTCCATTCTGTTGTTATGTGCCTGTCTTCTTGTTTCTTAGCTTTTAGGGGGTTCAAGGCATGGGACATGAAGACGAAGCGTGGCTTAATCATAATACTAGCCTGTCAGCTGGTAGAGAGGCGCGAGGTGTGGATGAGCCATAATGATGCAGTCACTTGGTCGGCACCAATGACTTAATGTACACACCCAAAACTCTAACCGACAAGATTCACACCGCAGAAGCAAAATGTAAACCTTCATTACGATGACTCACTTGCCGTCGGGACGAGCCGCTCGTTAGGTATTGGTTTATCTTGCCCTCTTTCATCCACCTAGATGGCGTTCTGTATGCTTCCTTCATACGCTCATCCTCTACTCAATCCAACTTTTCGGACACCAACCAAGTGAGTAGTAGCTCCTTGGCCAGACAACTTGCACCGACACGTGCCCGAGACCAAATCAATCAATCATGGGGCCGAAAACGAAGAAGGGAGTCGGCCGCAAGGCTGCCGAGCCGGCGAATACATCTACCCACGACGAACGAGATGACGAACCGCATTCCGCACCCACAGAGGACGATCACCCTCTTTTCTTCTATATGCCGAACAAAAAATATGGCGAATTCTGCCAGTGGTACAAGGCCAAATTCTCCGTCTCAAAGGCCCGCATCGCCCAGCTGGTAGACCATCCCCCACATACCGACGGCACCTCTGATCCCGATTCTGAAGAGCTCATCTGGTTCAATTGCGCGGAGCAGTTCATGATGTACTGCAAGGCGGCGCGATTTGGAGATGTCGAGCGACAGAATCGTGTACTTGCGAGTAAGAGCCCCAAGGAGCAGAAGGCGCTGGGGAAGGGCACCGTAGGATTTACAAACGAGAGCTGGGACCAGGTGAAGAGGCAGGTGGTGGAAGAAGGGAACATGGCCAAGTTTGGGCAAAACAGGCACCTTCGTGGGAAGCTGCTGAGCACGGGGGACAGGATGCTTTGTGAGGCGGCTGGGAGGGATCGGGTTTGGGGGATTGGGTATACTGGGAAGCATGCGATGAACTTCAGGGATCATTGGGGTGAGAATTTGCTGGGGCAGGCGTTGATGGCTGTTCGGGGCAGACTGAGGGAGCAATCGTTGGTATATCAGCCATGGGAAGAAGATGGAGAGAAGGGAGAGGAGGCAAGTTAAATGTTTCATTCTCACCCTGTGCTCTCTACTGGTCAGACTCCCCAAGTGCGATTCAAGTAGATCTCACGGTGGTTCGCGATGGTAAAGCAAAACCATTTGGCCAAGTCGCGCGGTAAAATAAAGCTCTTTACTGCATTGCCATAACAAGACAACATTTGCAAAGCTCATCTTTGATTTCACATGTAATTGACGACGTCTTAATGTTCCAGCACCAGCACCACGCCCATCAATACCGCACAGAGAAAGCACCGAGGGAAAAGTCGCGCGGGAAACTACTACATGTAACATGCTGCGCAAATTAATATGCGTCCCCAAGTCCAGGTATGTGACTCGGCGTAATTGGTCCGCATGCACCATGCCTGAGTAGGTCTGCTTCGTTTGGCCCAGGCACAACCTCCTGGTTTACGATTGCACTCTAATCAGATGGGTACGGGTTCGTGACATGGTATCGTGGGCCGCTGATCAAAGCCAAATAGGACGGTGGAGTTGCAGTAGCACTCTGCTGGAGGACCTCTACTCTAATCTGTGGCGATCCGGGCGATGCCGAGCAAGGTGAGACACTGGCCTGAGCGTGCTACCATGTGTGTTGCAGCGACTCCAACCTTACAATTCCCGGTTTCGGCCATGCAACTGGACACACACTCATCTTGGAATTTGCATCTCGCGTGCGCTGATTTGGACGAGGACTAAGAGCTTCAACGACGGTGGATGAGCAGTGTGATGGCGGCCTCGATGACGGCAGATTTGACCGGGTAAAGAGAGAGCAATATGGAAAGTTGGCCCACGAATGAGGTCGGCGTGGGGTAAAGGCATCACAAGGGGCCGAGCCTGTTCTGGAGAAAGATCTTCCGTCCGAAGCGGTGGCCCAGAGGGATACAGGTCTGTAATCACTTCCAATCGGTCAAGCACATGGAACAGCGGGCTGGGCAAGGGCATGAAAATGGCGGGAAATCGGGATTGCTAACTCGTTTACTTGAATCTGCCAACGGGGTGGGATGGGCTTGTCTGAGGGAGCCTGTTCACTCCATCGCGTAAGTAGTCTCTCAGTCAAGCTTTCGTCAAGAGAAATGGGCTACGATATGATGACACCTTGAATGGCGCGCGCATACTCAAGTAGGAAGCAATATAAATGCAAAACTCTATCGCTTATCATTGAGCATAGTCCATTCGAGCTCACACTCAGGCGTAGTCCCTGTCAAAAACCATCTTTCTCTCGGCAAGCTTATCAATTTGTTTACCAAGGGCATGTCCGACGGAATGGATATGAATCTAGCTGTGGCGAGAGCAAGACGGCGTCGGTTCCTGTCGCCAGCGCTGTGCTCTCCGGTAGCGGGGCTGGATAACCAACGGCCAGAAACAGAAGGTCTACTTTGAGGTCAAGGCCCGGTGAAGAGGACGTGATCGCAAAGGTCCTTCCCGGAGCGATTTAGTCCAGAGATCAAGATGTTCGTATCAGGGACTGGGGGTGAAAAGGCCCCTACATAGCTTCCTGATTGCGCCACGCCCAGCACCATGGGAGCCAGACTCAACACATTCAGAGGGCAGAGGCAAAGCATCAGCAAACTGGTTAGCAGGCCACGTGCTCTAGAGCTAGCCCATTGGCAACGCCGATGTTCGTGTTGTAGCCTGCCTGATCCGGACAGGTTGCTAAGAAAATGCGGTGGGCCAGGGTAACAGTGCATTCAGTATTATATATTGTGCTCTGGAGCTGGAGAATTCGGGAGTGAAGACGCTTCGGTTCCACGGCTACTCGACCAGAAGCAATTGCGGCTCCCTGGTGTTCATATTTCTCAGTGTTTAGACAGCATGCTTGTATGCAACTCGGGATTGACAGCGCTGCTTGGGCAAATTCAAGGGTCTTGACCGAGCAAATCAGTCGTCGCCTTGCCCAGCCTGCGATCCGTCGCCATGGCGGCACTTTTGATCGGCTAGCTCCCCATTTCAAGCTAGAAGAACCGACCGTTATACGGGAGTGGCGCTGGGAACGAGAGGGACTGCTCAATCTTGTCTAGAGGGGCGGATAAAGAGAGCTATCGGCGCATTCCATAAGGTCTGCCAAGAGCTCGCTAGCTTTTATACTACGTAGTTGAGTTAGTTCGGATCGGATGCCCGGGCATGGACCCTTGACTCAGCGCCCATGGCCTGTGATATCGTCGACGCCCAAGCAACTACCTCTCAATGTCTGCTGAGGCGGTACTGTGGTTGCCTGTGCTTATCCCTCACCTGAAGCCAGCTGACGAACTGCCCCGCGGTGCGGGAGACGGCATTGGATCGCCAAATATTCAGGGCCGTGGGCAAGATGAGATACTGGTCAAGGGTTATGAGATCCGCGAGGAACTTGCTCAACAAACAACCGAGAGCAATGGTTGGAGGAAAATGAGTTGACGGTTCCAATTGCAGGCTAAAACCGCCGCGCTGGGCTCTTGCTCGCATGGATTTGCCCCGACCTTTCTTCTCCTCACCTGTTCACCCAGGCTCACCTTAGTCCATGCTTGGCGGAGAGGGGGTCGCATCCCAGCGAAGAAGCTTCATCAAGCTCCGCGATAAACAATCACAATGTGAACGTATACGTAATCTTAGTTCAGCCCATCTTTTACCGGCACGATACGGGGGTATGGATACACAGTCTCTGGAGAGTCACCGACCCCCCTCCCGGGTCGTGGTGATAACCAAAGGTTCGCTCGCGTGCAGACAAACAACCTCTCCGGGCAGGTCACTGAATACAACGTGCATGACATGGTCCGCAGGCTGAATTCAAGTCGGCTTCTAGGCTAAGGATCCGACCAGGGTTAGGACAGGCCTGTGAGCAAGGGTGTGCCAACGGTGGCCGATGCTTACGATACGCCACTCGATGGGGTCAACCCTGCTGTAGCTGCGAATCGTTGTCCGTCCGCTATGTAAATGAACTGGAAAACAGGCTCATCGTTGGCGCCAGTCCACAATTTCTAGAAGCGAGTTGACCCGTTATCCTCTTGGTGTTAGCGGACCGCTCGGACGAGCCTTTGTCCTCCGAAGGCTATAGATTCGTTCCCGCTCCAATGAAGCTCACTTGTGCACTGAAGAGATCCATGAAAACCGTTGAACACTCTATCTTATTCTTATTGTCCGCTTTCGTTCCGGCTCTAGGCTGACTCCCTGCCCTGGTGCCGGAGTGCCCATCCGCCCTCCATACACAAGCATGCTCGGAAGTTCTGTGCTCGCCGTCTGTCCCTTTCGGTCACCAGTGTGCACGCACACACGTACTTTTACAAACCGCTGAACCCCGGGATCCTTGACGCCCTCATGCAGTGGCCTGCGCCTCTCATAGGTGGGATGGGATACGGGCGCTTCAGCCGAACCCACCCCTCGCACCCTCGCCTGCATTGGGGTAGCGCAGGAACGGTCTCTTCCTTATTCCTGAAGCCTAATGGGAGTGCCTGCCTCTCTGAATTGCTGCAAGTGAGAGCAATACTTGAACCAACGTACACTACAATCTGGTTAGTAGCTGTCACCCACACCTCCACCAGCCGATGCTCGGCAGCTTGGGTCCCCATGCCTTTACACGCCCCGTCCGGCCTGTTAAGCTACAAAGCGGAGCTATAATAGAGTCTTTGCATGGGAGTAGGCAGATGGTTCTTGGTGGTTGCTACGCTGATGCCATCCATGACATGCCCGCCCAGCTCGCTGGCTATCCACTCCCCATCGGATACCAACCAGCGGGAACCAAGAGAGAGTCCATAAAGGGCCATTGTGCCACCCTTCATCTGGGTTTCCTGTCTCTTCTTCCTTACGGTCAAATTTCCCAGATCAGATCTTCAACTCGCCCCCAAGCTCGACTACCTGTCTCTGTATCACACACCCACCTCTCAAGATGAAGGCCGCCGTTATCCTCTCTCTCGTTGCCGCCGCCATGGCTGGCGTCCTCGAGGTTCGAAACTGCGCTGGTGACAACTGTGCCCGCCAAGTGACGCAAGTCAAATCCTTATCCTTCAATCTTCAATGTTGTAGACTAACAAGATTGATAGTGGCACTCGTGACGGTCTTAGTCCCATCGAATCTCGCAAGGCCGACTGCACCAGCTTCCAGACTTCTACCGTTACCCCCGATGCTGTGTAAGTACCTTCTTTCCTCTGTTCACCAACAAATGGGTCTATATATTCATGAGCTGGAGCCAATACTCATCTACGAATGGGTTGATATCTCCATGACATGAAACCCAGCAGTCTCTCCTTCTCTTACTGACCAACAAACTATAGTACCACAACCGTCACCGTCACCGTCGACAGCGACACTCCCGCCAAGCTCCGCCGCAACGTCCGCGCCGTCACCGGCGTCCCTACCGTCGTCCCTGCCTACGCTTCCGCATGTGACGGCTCCAGATACGCATCTGCCTGCAGCTGCTGGGGCATCACCGCCGGCGTCACCACCGCTCCCACCCCCACCAGCACCGTCACGACCACCGTCACCCAGGACTACTGCGAGGACCTGTAAGCGCGGGTATCGCCGTGCTTGGATTAGGGATGACCGGGATCGAAAACAGGAAATAAACAGACTTGACATTTTTGCTTCTTGAGTGAGCATCGGCACTGCCCGCTTAGTGCTGAGGGGGATTGGTTTTGGGGAGGGTTTTCTGTTATTGTGTTTATGCAACATACAATGATGATCAGGCTTACGAGGAGAACACATTCAGCGTCTGCTGTGTGGCAATGGATACGATACATAGGCACGAAGAAAGAAAAAGGCTGGGGATTATTATGTAATTACTCTCTAGAACAATATCACACTGCCCTTGCTCAAGAACCAAATTACTTGCGTAACTAATTTCATGTGTATTACTCGTAGCGAGTTCCAAGATTTGAATGAGTCTCTCGGTTGGCAACGTGGTGGAACAGCTGCTCCTGGTATTCATTTCAAATTTCGTGAAATATAGTAACTGGACTGGGGCGAGAGTTGCACATATTGTGCCAAAGAATGCCAATCGAGAAGCATTGAAAGAGAGGGGCTATGATCCCATAGATCTGAATGGCAACATGTGTATTACAGCACATTCAGACGAAATCTCCAAGCGCTTTGGTGATCTACACCTATTGGTAAAGGCAAATATGTCAATTGTCGCTTACCAGGTAGTGTATACCCAGAAGAGAATATTCGTCGTATCAAACTGCCTGAGAATGGGCAAGAATTTCCGTACACCGACGAGGAGGCGTCAATTTCCCTTAGCACAGCACCCCGAAGGGATGCTAAGCCATTCAACCACAGACGGGGCCGGCCCGTTGAGCTGATTCGTGGCCAAACATCATTCTTCTTTGAGACTGTACTTGAGTTCAAACAAGTCATCGATTCCAGAAGTTCAAAGCGGTAGAACGAACTCCAGATTCCATCGAAGGGATGCGCCATATGACCTGTCATGAAGCTGAAGTAACGCAAATGTTCGGTCAACTGATCAATTTTACTCGCAACAGCATTCTGCCGTCCAATATATGAGCCTGGAAGGGAGGTACAAGTTATTCTCCCGACTTGAGTATTATATTGAGCTCTCGTCGCTTCAGACAAAGCATCTATCCTCCCCTCCTCGAGTGTATGTATGCTTCAGCTTATGGAATGGACAGCGCACTATGGGACTCATCCGTAGCTTCAAATTGCAACTGGAATCAAATGATGGCTGTAACCTTCAATTCAGCATTGAATTCTCCAGGCGCGGATGAGTCGGTGTGTCAGCTGCTCACTCAGCCGTTCAATGAAACTCTGATGTCGCTCATCCACTAACCACGATGCCTTAGGTAGACTCGCTAAGGCAAGTATCAATACGATGAGTGCGACGCCAAGTAAGATGGAGACGATGGATGCTAGCCATTGACATCAAGCTAGGAGTTTTTTGTGCTTAAATAGACATGACTCACTTGAACCATTCATGAATCTGCTCATGGACAAAAAAGCATACAGTTCATCCCATTGGGTTTCGTTTACTAAGTGATACATGATGGCTTCAAGAATCCTCTACACACTACATCACTGGCTGCGTCCCAGTCTTGTCGCTCTGTTCAAGCCAAACATCGCCTGGGACTTGCGATGGCGCCTCCTCCTCCTGCAGCCCCTTTCACTCATCACCTACGCGGTTAGCTCAGTGCCGTACATTTTCTCACGGCCGTTCACTGTCGAGTGGCTTCCATTTGCGCCAGGCAAGACGGCCCGGGTTCTTGTCTACAAGCACACAGGCGGCACAGCTACCGGCACAAGCCGCCGACTACGTCCCATCCACATCGACATCCACGGCGGTGCCTTCATCGGCGGCCAGTCAGAGAGCACGGCGCCAATCGACGAGCGTGTGGCCAGAGAGACAGGCGCCGTGGTCCTTGGTCTGACGTACCCGTTTGCGCCTGAGAATGTCTTCCCAGCCGCCATTGACGAGGTGGACGCCGTGATACAATACATCACCGAGCACGCCGAGGAACGATGGGGCGCCAACCCGCAGCTTCTGACGGTCGGAGGATTCTCGGCCGGGGGAAACATGGCGCTTGCATCCACGCAGCAGCCCGCTCGTCACGGATCGTCGCGCACGGCGTTCAAGGGCTGCGTGCTCTTCTGCGGGGTGCTCGAGCTGAGGCTGAGTCCGTGGCAGAAGCCCAGGCCAGAGGGGATGCCGGACAAGGACCCGGTGGCCGTGCTGATGCCGTTGTTTGATGCGTATCCGGCACAGGCGAGGAAGAATCACTTCGACGACCCCAGGTTGAGTCCCATGTTGGCGGCCAGGGAGACGCTGCCGCCACGGATCCTGCTGTGTGTTCCTGGGGTAGACATTCTGTTGGCAGAGCAGATGACATTTGCGGAAAGGATCAACGAGGAAGATCGGAATGCAGGTGAGCCGGGGAGGGTGGAGGTGTTTTTGGAGAAGGGCCAGAACCATGCATATCTCGAGTGTAAGCTGTCTCGACCTGGTGACTATCTTATTTCAAATGAACTAATCAAGCTTTGAATAGTGCCGGACGCGATTGTCAAGCTCGAGATCAAGGAGCGAGCTTGGAACCTCGCTGTCGCTTTCCTGCGGGATACGTATGCTCTCCATGGCTGGACCTGGACAACTTAACAGCGTAGGAGCTACCCGGTAGCAAGAAGGGTTGGAGGCATGATGACGATTACATGTATTGTATTGCGTTTGGGCTGAATGTGGTTTGGGTGGCTGGACACTATTTCCCCTCTCTTCCTGTATTATTTCCCACCTTTTTTCAATATTTATCTGTAGCACAACATCTCGTTTATTGTGGACAACGGATTCCACTCCGTGGCCCAATAGCTGACGCCCACCGTTGGAGGTGCGTGCGGAGAAGTGAAACCACAGCTGAGGGACTTGCCGCTGACCGCATACCAACCAAGAGATCGCCCTCACCGCCACCAGGGCTTACCATGTAGGATGATAAACTTCGTGCTTGATGGACTCGCCATGCAGAGATCGATCCAGACCAGCCAGTAGCGACGGCCAACGTGGTGCAATGTCGAGCAGCGACATGTGAGGTGATGCGCATTGGGCCGGTGCTGCAGATCGGCGGCTCCATCGCCGTGGCAACGGGCGTAAACAAAGACCCTGCCCACCTCGAATTGGACCAACCATCTCCCGCCACAACCGCTGCCAGAGAGCAACCATCTTCCCTGTACAGTAAAAGCAACGCTTGTTTTGTGACTCGTCCGGTCCCAGTTCCGTATTTGTTTTTCTCTCTCGTCGTACTGTGTGACGCAAAACCCGCCCCCCTTTTCCGCATTGTTTATACCACCACCCTCTTAATAACTCTGGCCGTTGCATAAACGCCAGACCAGTCCATCAAATGCCCCGGCGTAACAGAAGACAACAACACCAACGGGACCTTGACTTTGAAATACACGAAGACCCGCCTGCCACCAGCGAAGTGGATGAGACCGAGGCTAGGGACTTTGCTTCTGCACTGCACGCCCGGCGCTTCAGCAACGACGGCTACGACTACCACACACCAAGATTCTTTAATGGTACGACCGATTCGAACCTGACTAAATCGAGCACACTAGTCAACGAGACGGGCGACGAAGACGAGGCCCACCACCCAACCAGCTCTATGATGGACGATATCCAGGCTGAAAAGGAGAAGCTGGCTGCTGCCGCTCCGCACGCCAACGATAGAATTGAGGAGGACGAGACTTTTGGAGGGGAGATGGAGCCAGACGAGAAGGCTATGATGGACTCAGAGCTAGAAGATTCGGCGTCTCGTCGGGAATCCTCCAGCACACACAGCTTGGAGGAGGAAGATGCTGCTACCTCTCGCAGGGAGTCTGGCATTTCTGCTACTTCGTCACACAAGTCTGGGACGGCAGCTAGCGAGTCTCGTCGAGAGTCTATCATTTCTACATCGTCCCATCTTTCTGACCATGAGACTTCAGAGTCTCGCCGCGAATCGGGCATTTCTTCCACCTCACGCAGAACTGGCACCGATGCCCCAGACTCACGACGGGTGTCCGAGTCTGCTATATCCTTGACCTCCGAGCACTCGTCTGACTACTCTGGGCACTATACTGAGCATGCAGAGGAGGACGAAGCTTCATTTGCTGAGACGAGTCTGCATGAAGATGCGGCCACGGAAGATACAGCTTCTCGCAGAGACTCTACGGTCTCGGCTGCTTCTCATAACACACACGACCGACAAACGGACGTTTCCGACTCCCGCAGAGAATCAATAGCGTCGGACATCGCACACGATCAGTACACTGAGAGATCCGAGTCTAGAAGAGAGTCAATAATGTCGGGAGTTACACATGATCAATACACAGAGGCCTCGGCATCCCGCCGAGAGTCTGCATACTCGGCCGTTTCTCGGGACCACGGCTCAGACGCCTCTGCTTCAAGGCGAGAGTCTGCCGTGTCCGGTTATAGCACTGACCGCCGAAGCTCGGGGAGGACCGAGGCCTTGATTCAAAAAGCGGCCAGAGATATCATCACTGAGATTGAAAAGCAAAAGGGCCGTTCCTCCCCAAAACCTGAGTCGGTTGATGGTCGCCAAAGCACTCGCTCGGAATCAAGGGCTTCCAGCCACCGACAATCGGATGCCCATGCCTCTGTCAAGGATAATCAGAGCGTACGCTCGGAGTCCAGGATGTCGGATGCCCGGGCATCAGATGTCCACTCAGTCAAGGGCAATCACAGCACCCGCTCAAATTCGAGAATGACAAATACCCGAGCTTCAGAAGACCACGAATCGATCAAAGACTACCGAAGCAATACCTCAGGGTCCCGGCCTCCAAGTGCCCGTCCATCCGACAGGCATACTCCCGTCCCAGACGACTTCCGAGCCACCGTCGAGGACGAGGAAGAGGAGCTCGGCCACAATGGCGCTGCCGATGAAGCCGAGGATAACAACAGCTCACAAAATGAGCACGACGATGATGTCTTCAGCGACCACAGCCCCAGAAGCTCTGTCGGGTCCATGTCTGAAGCGGAGCACAGGAAATTAGAAGATACGGTGACGCACCGCCATAGGTCCACCCGATCATCCAGGATGTCGGATTTTTCGCGGCTCGAGGACGACCAGGATGAGGAAGAAGACTTTATCCCAACCGTCCGGGGGACGCCTCGGCCAGCCTTCAGATCTCCCTCCTCCGTGCGAGCACTCCAAATGTCGTCCCCGCCGCCCTCAGTCGTCGGGTCCCCCCGATCCAGCAAGCGCACTCCCCTTCCCACCGTGTCGCGGCTGGGCTCCCCCATGTCGGGGATGCAGTACTCCCCCAAGAAGACCCCACCCCGGTTCAAGAGGAACACGCCGCCTCTTGTGCTGTTGCACGTCACGCTTCTGCCTCTGCAGTGGCCCTGGGGCCATGTGCTTGAGAGTGCGCACCCGGATGACCTCAGCCAGGGAGCGAAGAATGTTAGAGACACGTGGCGCCAGCTCCAGGATCGCATGGGCGACACGACCTGCGAACGCGGTATTCTGCTCCCACATCCCCAAGAAGACTTTGAGATTCTGGAGGAGAGGCTTCTGGAGGCGCTGGAGCTCCCTCTGAGACGCAGAGCGCGTATCTTGGAATGTGGTCACTATCTCGGCCCGTCCAATGAGATGACGCTGGAGGAGGAGTCTGATACCGAGGATGAGTACCCAGAGAGCCTCAGACACTTGAGGTCCGCCGCCTTGGAGAAGCAGACGCACTGGTGCGGGACCTGCCAGTCTGAGATCCGGTACGATGCTCTCGGGCCCGGCAAGGTGTTCCGGATCAAGATCTATGCTAGCAACGGCCTTATGAAGGCCGGAGCATGGGAGGCCTGCTGGAAGGAGATGGAGCGCGTGGACGTGGAGCTCGAGCCCATCGTCGAGCCGGCCGTCCAGGATGAGATTTCCCGCCACGCGTTGGAGCAGGAGAAGGCGATGGAGCTGCACCAGCCCGACGAGGAAGAGGGAGCTGAAGAGCCGAACGCCTCATTCCTAGAGCAGGAATCCAGCGTCATCTACAATGCTCCCTCCTCACCGCCTCCTCCTGAGGCTCGATCGATGGGGTCTGCACCGCCGTCGGCCCCTCCCCCCGGGATGCACGAGGACGAGCGCAGATGGAGAGATGAGCAGAGGACGCGGGAGGCTTACGGACACACGCCCTCCGGTCAATATGCTGAGCACGGCAGCACGGCGGAGAATACCATGCCGTCCTCTGAGTACACGCACAGAGAGACGCCGGCTTCCCCGTCAGCTGAGGCGTATGCCCGGAGGGAGGAACGGCGCCAGCAGGCCCCCAAGACGGACTCTCTTCCGGGACTGCTCCTCGAGGCGTTCAAGGTGATGATGCAGGACAAGAAGAACGTCATGATTGCCGTCATGGGTGTCTTGGTTCTTGTGCTTGCGCTGCGTGTCGGGGCAGCTAGGGATGCGCACCGGGATGCGATGATGTTCCAGCCTGTTATGGAGGCACCGACCGTGGTGACTGTTACGGAGCGGGCGGCCGAGCAGCAGCAGACGATCAGTGTTGTGCCCAGCGTTGAGAGTGTGGCTTCGGGGGGTACCCTTTCCGTGGCGGATGTTGTCTCTGAGACCACTGTTTCCGAGGCTGAGCAGAATGCCGACTCCGATGGCGAGAAGGAGAGTGAATCAACAGCTACGGAAAAGATCATTCGGGTTGTTGAGACTGTTACTGAGGTTTCCGTCATGGTCGAGACGGTGACGGCTACTGGGGCTGCCGCTGAGACGTTTGCTCCAATTGAGCAGGATACCCAAGCTCAGGAGGAGACCGTCGACGAGAAGGTTGTCGAGGAGGTTACTCTCGAGGATGATGTTCTGGAGAAGGCGGAGGAGACCCCAGAAGCCATTGAGAAGGACGTCACCCTTGAGGATGGCGAGACTCTGGGAGCTACTGAGGGTACCCTCGAGGATGCTGTTCCAGAGAAGGCTATCGACGATGAAGCCAGCCTTGAAGATGGTGCTCTGGAGAAGGCTGTCGAGGAGGAGGTTGTCCTCGATGATAGTGCTCTAGAGAAGGCCGCCGAGGACGTTGTTCTCGAGAATGCTATTCTGGAGAAGACAGAGGAGAGCCCAGAAATCACCGAAAAGGAGGTCACTCTCGAGGATGGTGAGACTCTAGGAGCCACTAAGGAGGATTCGGAAGTGGTTCTCGAGGTTGCCCAGGAGGCGGAGGAGTCAGTGAAGGAAGTAGAACGGGAACTATGAGGTTCGCGACTGTTTTCTAGCGAGTTCTTGCAGCCTTTTTCTCCATTTGAGCATATGACGAGGAGTGTGATGAGTTGCAAGCAACTCTTTTTTTCTTTTACTTTTGTCTGTCTTATGAGTTGCCAGTCTTCAATGTGGAAGAGGTTGATGGAAATGGACGATGTATATAGAGAATGATATAGGAATGATAATTGGATATGAATGACATTTAAAGAAGTACGCTAGCAGTTGTACAACCCCTAGCACGCTAGAGATCCCGTCGTAGCCTGATGTCTTTACCAGAAAACCAGGTACGCCGCCTGTCAAGTATCCCTATCTTTTCCTCCAATGTAGCTACCCAAGAGCGCGGGCTCGTCTCGTGAATCATAATATACATCCGTCATCCGACCACCTTTGTGCGTTATTCTAAATTTGACCGTTCCGCCCTCTCCAAACAAACACTCCGTACTCTTACAGACGGATCTTGATGTCCATACAGTCGATCGCCCACTCCCGTCTCCCGAGCAGGCTCCGGAGCCACTCCATGCCGAGTCCAGTCCACTCGGCCCTCTTCGCGCGCAGCTCGTCGGCGGCTACGCCAGCGAGGGCCTTGACGGTGGTGTTGAACATCTCGACGATGACGAGGGACCCATCGTCGGGTGTGGTCTCGGGGCGCGGGCGGAACCAGTCGCTACTGAAGTCGAAGAAGCATCGATCGGACCAGTTGCACGACGTGAAGAAGAGGATGAGGAGGAGTATCGAGCAGTAGATGCACGGCTTGTTGAGGAAGTAGGTGCACACGAAGAAGAGGAAGATGAAGGACGGCGAGGCGTTGGTGGGGATGAAGAGGAGCGGGAGCCAACTATTAATCGTTCAGTCAGTACAGACGGAAACTGAAGATTAGGTCGTAAAGTCATAATTACCTCCGTAGACAGAACATGGTGGCGGTGGTCGTCGGGTCGAACGACGATATAAGGATACTCGGGGAGTGGATATTGTGGCTTCAGTGCGACATGTGCAATAATCCTGTGCAGCGAGTAAGCAGCATGCGCAACCGAAGAGATCGAGTGCGCCGGCGGAGACTGCGGGTCGATGGGGTCTAAAAGAGTCTCCGGATAGGGCTTGGCGACAGGTGTTGTCGAAGGAGACGGGCCAGCTTACGTATTTGGCCTGGGAGTTGTGATGGCCTCTACAATCACGACTTGAGTGGGAGCCCTCGGTGTCGCAGCGTGTGATGATGCTCTGTCAGCCAAAACGAAGCTAGATCAATCCGGCTGTCGTGCCAGGGGGGAGCGGGAACTTCACCGCCTGCCGGATTAGGTCAGCCGTTATCGCAATCAGCCAAGAACGCGGAAAGTGTTCAACCTCCACAATCAGGTGTTCCATCCATATCATGGCTTCTATAATAAGGTATCTCTGGAGGAGTTGGGCACAAAGATGCATAAATAAGGATGCAGGTAGGGTAGTTCTCGCGCATGGCTGCTCTTTCCCATTTGATAGTTTGTCCAGGTTAGTTCTCGCGCGAACATCTGACGCTTTGATGATTATGTGATCACTGCAGCCATTAGGATGATTGATTTTCGTGGACGCGCGACCGCGACAGAACTGCTTGTTCTAACTTTGCAGGGCGGACCAGATGGTTGGTTTTGGCTGCGATGAATGGATACGGATCCCCAGAGCTAAAGCGGGTCGCTGAGACAGCAGAGTCGCAGTGGGCCAGTGGTCCAGCCGCTGAGATGCGCTGGAGCGGCCCCACAAGAACAAACTTCCAGTGGCTGTAGAGGTGCCACCTCACCCACCACCTGCAAACCGCATCAATCCCACGTCGATGATCGCTGTATTGTGTGATCACCGCAATTGATGCCTGCTGGCCGCTCACTCAGCGCACTGCCGCTACCACTCCCACTGCGCTACTGAGTGCTGCTGTTGCTACTGCACCACGCACCCGAAGCGGTCCCACTTTTCTCTCTCTGCGGTTGGGCTGCCACGCTTTTGGTGTTTTTTTTTACATGGGTGTTCCAACCTCTCCCATCCTTCCTGCCCTCTCATTCTGTAACTTCTCCTCCCGGGTCAACACCCTGCACCCTTTCTTTTTCTCCTCCCATCGCATTAGACCGCATCAACCCGAATCGCGAGCCCGTCTCTGAACGTAGAGAAGTCGCTATTCTCGCACCCTCCCCTTCCTGAGCGGATCTTGTAATGGACCATTTGCCTGCGGCCCCTACGCCGCCCGTGAACAACGGCAACATGGGTTCTAACCAAGACCGCACCTCGAATCTGTTGAGCCTTCTCAAGTTTGGCGGCTCTGGAAACACCGTCGCCCAGCAGAGACAGTCACAGCCGCCGCAACAGCAGCAACATCATCAATCGATAGTTGACGAGCAGCAATCGCCTCCTCCCCAGCAGTTGCACTCACCGCCGCAGCCGCCTGAACATCAGCAGAACCATCACCAGAGCCTTGCTCACCATCACGCTGACAGCTCGTTCCACGGCAGCCACCATTCGCTTGGTTTGCAGCAACAGCCTCAGTTCCCCACGCGGATTCACCAGCCTGCACCCGCTGCCGCAGACCCAACCGGCCTGCTTGCCGCGCTAATGCGTGGTGCCCAAGACGGCGACAACGAGTCCACCAAGGACCAGTCGTCCCCTGCACCACCTCCTCCTCAGCAGCTGGCTCACCAGCAGCCACCTAGCGCTTTTAGCAACGAGTCGCCCTCTGCTGATACGAGATCCTTCCTGCTCAATTTGTTGAACCGACCGAAACCACTCCAGAACGAGCAGCAGCCGTTGCTTACCGAATCGTCTCGCTCCAACAACCACACGCCCCAGTCCTCGTCCGAGATCGACCAGAGCCAGATTCTTGCTCAGTATAAGCAGTCGCAGGATCCCTATGCTGCGGCAAAGCAATACCAACAGTCCAAGATGTACGGCGAGAGTGGTGGCCATCACCAGTCGCAGTCTGGCGAGCCGGTGCACTATTCTTCCTCCCAGCAGGATCCCGCCGAAGCTTCTGCTCTCTACCAACATCTCATGGGTAGCTTGAGCAACGCATCCCCGCAGAGCAATGCTGGTCAGTCGGCTAATGCTGGTCCTGCGTTCCACATCCTTAAGGAGCATGCGTCACCAGGCTCCCAGCATGCCGGCTCCCACCACGCTGGATCTCAGTACCACGGAGGGTCTCACCACGGATCCCAGCATGGCTCCCACCGCGGCAGCTTGCACAGTGGAGTGACGAGCCCCAATGACCTAACCAGACGCAAGTCGGTCCGGGCCCAGTCCATGGCGTCGCATCACTCTGCGTCCAAGCCTACCCCCAACTCGACCGACTTCGAGCGCTATGTCGCTCCTGAGCACCACAAGGAACTCGTCTCCGAGCCGATCCACGACAAAGCACACAAGGGCGACAGAAGCTCTTATGAGAGCCTGGACCGAACAGATGAGGAGCAAGAGCAGACACACGAGGATATCGCCAGCGAACTCGACAAGATGCTCGATGCTGACTCTGACCAAGAATTCCACCAGCGGGCCCAAGTTGTTGCTGAGGCTCTCGAAAAGGAGCTTGATCGCAGCGACAATGAAGGTGTCCTTGAGGAAATCCTTCCTGTTGAAGAGGTCGAGGCAGTTCGTAGCGTCATTCATGAGGCCGCAGCTGAGAATGTTGCAGACAGCTGGGAGAGTGCCGACCAAGACGAAATCGTGGTCATTGAGGAGAAGGAACCCACACCAGTCAGGGTCTTCAACTTCCCCATGAAGCCCTGGATCTCCATCACCCTCAATGAGGGCACAACCGATCCCAGGCCCGAGTTCCGTGACGAGGCTACGATGGACATCGCTCGGCTCAAGAAGGAATTTGACCAGATCGACCGAAATCTGTACACTGCCTCGGCCAACTACATGACCTACGGCATGTCCAAGCAGGGAGGACTTCGCGTTATTCGCCAGGATGACGGCAAGGACGCCAAGGTTTTCACAGACACCAAGGACCGTATCTTCAATGTGGCCATGTCCGTCACTCCATCTGACCACAATGGCACCCACAAAGAGGCCATCATTGGTACTGGCATCAGCGGCACTGTCTACTGGGTCCAGATTCGGGATGGCGAGAAGGACCATATCGAGGATGCCCATCTCGAGCAGTATGGCTTTGCTCTCCCCCCGATGAACTCGTCGGAAGGTGATACTCCCGGCGGTGTACTCAAGACACGGGCGCGTGCTTCAACCATTCACCCAGAGTTCTTTGCGGTTGGACGTGGCAAGTCTATCAACTTCATATGGCCTTCCTACATTCTCCAGAACAACCTCCTCAAGCCTGGCCATGATCGAGCTGTTGACACGGACACCCTGTCCCAAAATTGCTCTCTCAAGATCAATACTGGCAAGGCTGGCAAGGACTTTACGTTCAGTCAGGACGACACCGTCGTCGTCTCCCTTGATAAGTCCGGTCGGGTCAAGTTCTGGGACGTCCGAGACCTGACGGCTACCAAGGAGGGCTGCGATCCTCGCAACCCTATTCCTGAGCACACTTCTCTTGAGGTTAAGGAACCTTTGATGACCCTTGCCAGTACTCCAGAAGGGGAGAAAGCCTGGCCGACATCTGTTCTTCTTCTCGACAAGCAGCGCCCCTACCAAAAGAGGTGTGCTCTTCGATACATGATTGTTGGAATGAAGCAGAACCATACTCTCCAGCTCTGGGATCTTGCTCTGGGCAAGCCTGTCCAAGAGTTCAACCTCCCTCACAGCAAGGAGTCGGATGCCGTCTGCAGCGTCATGTACCATCCTTCCTCGGGTATGATCGTGATTGGTCATCCTACTCGCAACTCGATTTACTTTGCCCACTTGTCCGCTCCCAAATATAACCTTAAGAGCGTTACCCAGGCAGAGTACATTCAGCGCCTTGTCGCACAGGACTCGTCTATTCCGCAGCCGGATAGTACCGCTGTAATTAGTGGCGTTCGCGAATACTCTTTCGAGAACCGGGGCAACCTTCGAAGTCTTGACATCCTCTCTAACCCCGCCATGGTCCAAGACACGGACGAACCAACCCTCTTCGAGCTGTACGCCATGCACTCCAAGGGTGTTGCCTGCCTCCTCATCAAGCAACAGGAACTTGGTTGGTCGAAGGACAACAAGGTCCTCTACCCCGTCGAAGCAGTGGATGAGGGCATCGTTTCGGTGTCGAAGCTCAAGTCACCTCAGCCGATCGAGACCTCGCCAGACAGTTCCTCTCACGCCCGCAACGGTACCCGAGGGCCCACCAAGGAGACCCCTCAACCTGCCACCAGCAACAATCACGCGGCCCAGCCTCAGAATGACATAGTCGCTCGCGGCTCCGAAGCGGTCACGCCAGTCAAAAACAAGATCGAACCAAAGGAAGCCGAGACCCCCGTGCCCTCCAAGGAGAAAGAGAACCAGGCCGATAAACCTGAGCGCAAGCCACGTAAGAAGAAGGGCAATGCCAACCAGCTCGAGGCAACGACGAATGGAGCAAGTGGTTCTCACGGCCAAAAGGAGGCACCCAAGGGGCTTATTCCTATGCCAAACGGTGTGACATCCGAGGCCTTTGATACCGCTGTCGCCGGTCTAGAGCGCCGCTTGAGCGCTAATCTCAACGAGAACTTGAAGTCCTCTCTCAAGAACCTTCATGTCAAGATCGACGAGGGTATCCGTACACGCGACGAGGAATTCAACAATCACCAAGTTAAACTTTTGGACATGGTGTCTGAGGTTCTAAACGAAAACACTCAGAAGGTGTTGGAAGCCCTTGTTCACCAGAAGTTCACCGAGCTGGTCATTCCTGCGATAGGTGATAAGGCCGGACGAGCTGTTAGCGAGTTACTCAACAACAAGCTACAGCCCAACGTGGCGAACTCTGTTCAGAAGGAAATTCAGACCGCTCTCCCTCATGCATTGAACCGGTCTCTAAGATCCGGCGAGTTCATGAACAGCATTTCCGATCGTGTCAGCGCTTCCATGAGCTCTACGATTCAGAAGGAAGTGGTGGGCACTCTCACGTCGCGCCTGTCGTCCAGCTTCTCTACCATTGCCAACCAATCGACCCAGCACGTGGTCGGCGAAATCCACCAACACTACGCGGAGCAGTTTGAGGCCATGCAGGCTCAGCGGGTTGCGGACTCTGCCAAGATTGACCAGCTCATGACCCAGGTTAGACAGCTGACAGATGTTGTGTCAACTATTGCTTCGACCCAACAGTCTCTTCAAGCTGAGTTCCTGAAGCTTAGACAGCAGCCTCCTGTTCACGAGCTCCCAGGCGTGCCCGGTCCTCAAAACCATGTGGGCGGTGCTCCGTCAATGGGCCACCACAGCTACGGTGGTCACAGCATCTCCAACAAGCCATCCTCAACAGGCTATCCTGCCAGTCAGGCTGCCAGCCACGGTCAACCCTACCACAACAACCACATGGGTAGCCCTCATTACGTGCGAGGCGGCGGTCCCAACTCACAGCTCGTCTCAAGCCCTCAAGGCTCGGTTGCTCCATCTGAGCAGGTCCCCGTGCCTGCCGTCAGCACCCTCGCCGGAGCTTTTGCCAACCAGAGGAACAAGAGCGAGGCCGAGGTTGATCACGAACTCCAGCAACGAATCCGCATCATCGAACAGGCCATCCAGGAAGGCCGCCTCCAGGAAGCCATGATCCAATGGATCCAGAGTGGTCGCGAAACCGAGATCTTCCAGCGCTGCCTTTGTCGCTACTCTCCAAGCAGGTTTGACAGCCTACCTCCTTTGATGCTTCTTGTCGTGATTGCAACGATTTCCAAGGATCTGAAGCCCAACCCGCGTCTCAAGGAGGAGATTGAATGGATCGAGATGGCCGTTCGAACCTTTGGTGAAAATATTCCCAGCTATGTAAGTGATGCCCTCACATTCTTGAATCATCTCTCAATTATCCACCTGCTAACATTGTCTGAACAGGAGTGGGAGCAACAAGGTTTCCGCGAGGTCATTCAGAGCGCCCTGCAGACACTCCAGCTCTTGGTCAACAAGGTGCGACCTTTCATTGAAGGTATCCAGGACGGCTACCCCACTGATCCTTTCCTGGCGAACCTTGAACGATCAAAGCTTGAGTGGATTGTCCGCACATCTGAACACATTGCGCAATCCTTTAGCGGTATCAGGCACTATGACTAGTGCAGTTTTTGTTAAAGGGGCCGAAGTTGCTTAGATGATGATTGCATTTCCAGATCCTGTTTCGAGCTTGGCGTCCCGGAGGGCCTCTTGGTTTTTTTCATGGCATTTTCGACTTTGGTGGATCACCCTGATTTCTCTCGGTGCCTCTTACTCTTGAAATGTTTCCTCGCCTTTTGAGGAGTTGCGCGTGTGTTCCGAGGCCCAATCGTGTCGTGTATGAAGGAGGTTTTTCTTTCTTTCTCATTTTACTCTTTAATTATAGCCCGCAACAACTGATGATTGAACGATGTACATCTCGCAAACAAACAACAACAGCAAGGCTTAAACGCAAGGACCCGTGTGGGGTTTTGCAATTCTAGCATTTGATACCTAAGTTATTTGGCAGGAGTGACGTGTTTCTGGGTTGAAGGATTCGCCTGAGGGAGGCGCTTTGTGATGGGACAACATGGAAACGTGGATTTGTTCCAAGCATTAAGTGGGAGGACGATTGATTTGGTCTCAGAAACTGGGCTTTTCAATCATGATGATTCTCGGATGGATTGGGCGATGGGCTTGCTGGTTTGTTTGCTATTTTGATTTTAATGTAAAGATATTTGTCTCAGATTATAAGAGATCTGTATCAAATGAACCGATTCGGACCAATTTATTCGTAATCACTACTTGTATGTGTCTGTTCGTCGTGCCTTGTTCTATTGCGTAGCCAAATCCTCCTTCTTCCAACGATACCTACCCTATACATATCGAACTCTCAAGTTGTAGCTGAATGAGTGCTTGGCTAGATGAGAATTACATTACGATTTGGTTCAAATGACTACAGAACCTATAGTCTTGTCTTTGCAAGTCTCCAATAGGCACATGTCACATTGGTTAGTGTGAGATACTGGTTCGTAGTGTCTTCATGTCTTTTGCTTCTCAAGTTGGATTCCACCTTCTAATCTGCCACCTTGATCACCACCTTGCCAAAGTGCGCCCCCTTGGCGAGATACTGGAACGCCTCCTTGGCCTCCTCAAACCTAAACACCTTATCCACCACGGGCCGGATCCCCTTCTTCTCGTAGAACCCCAGCATCTCCTCGAACCTGTCCCTGGGCCCGTTGAGAATCCCCCTCAGGGTGACATTGCGCCTCAGCGCGAGCACGTTGACGTTAAGCCGGTTCAGGCCGCCGTCGCCGCTGCTCTCGTCCTCGTCCTTGCCCGACAGGTAGCCGATGCAGGCGATGGTGCCGCCAAAGGCGACGCAGGCGAAGCTGCGGCGGAGGGTGTCCGCCCCTCCGGTCTCGAGGATGTAGTCTGCCCCGTTCCCCGCGGTGGCCTCGAGGACGAACTCGTGCCACTCCCAGTGGGTGCGGTAGTTTATGCCCGTGTCGGCGCTGAGCTCCTTCCGGGCGCGGTCGAGCTTGTCGTCCGAGGAGGAGGTGATGATCGTGGCGAGGCCGGCGGCGTGGGCGATCTGGAGGGCGGCGACGGAGACGCCGCCTGTGCCCTGGGCGAGGAGGACGGGCGGCGGCTTCTTCTCCTTCTCGTCTTTGGTTTTGGTCTGGTTGGTGAGGTCGAGATACTCCCCCAGGGGCCGGAAGCCGTTGATGCTGGTCCAGGCGGTGACGGCGGCGATGGGGAGGGTGCAGGCCTCCTCGTCGGACAGGTAGTCCGGGATGGGCACGAGGGCGTAGTCCGGGAAGACGCGGTACTGGGAGAGGACGCCCGGCAAGGGAAATCCGAGCCCGGATGCGAGGTCGGACTCCTTGATCTGGCCGGTGAGGTGGGTCTGGTTGAAGATGGAGAGGACGCGGGCGCCCGTCTGGTTCCAGCGGGGGGACTTGGAGGCGACGATCTCGCCGGCCATGTCTGAGCAGGGGACGAGGGGCTGGCCGTTGTCGAGGGAGCTGTGGTGGGTGTACTCTCCCTGGCAGACTGTTGGACGGTCAGTTGGCGTTCTAGGTCTGAATGGAGGAGATGGAAGGGGATTTACCTTCTGTGTCGCGGTAGTTGAGGCTCACGGCTTTGATTCTGACGAGGACCTCACCGTCTTTGGGCTCGGGGATGCCTGTCTCGCCGAGCTCGAGGTTGTCCAGCCCATCTTGCTTGGTTGTCCACTGCCTGTTTTTGGCTGTCATGGTGTGATCGGGCTTCACTGCGTCTTCGTTTGATGAAATTGGTGTAAATCTGGATTCTTGTCGGGGATGGAGTGAACTCAAGTGTTATTTATATGTAGGTACGTACAATGAGACGGAGTCAAATAGAGTTGGGGTAAAATCTGATAAGGTTAAGATGAAACGCAAGACACCGAGATGGAGAGAGAGATCAGCGATGATGATGCAGCCCAAACGTTAAGTGGGGTTGGGCTGTCATTATTATTAATGCCCGTCATGGAAACATCTCAACCGTTTTGATGGAGCCTGGTGATGGCACATGGCTAGTTTCAGGGACGAGAAAGGTTGGTCGGCGGCTGGAATGTTCATGGCTACGAATATGGGATGAAGTATCTTTGGGTGATGGGAGAAGGTTTTACAAGATTGACTCTGTAAATCACCAGATACTTTGGAGACAAGGACAAGTGCCAACCAATTAACCAGCATCAAACTGATCTGACTCGTAATGTGACAGCCAGATCTGCTTCTATAGCCGACAGCCGGATCGGCTTCTCTTCAATCGACTGTCGTTGTAGATGACTTGGTTGCCGGCTTCCTCTGACACTCGCAATAGCCGACTCCTAGATTGCTTCTTACAAATAAACAATGACGCAGATGACAAATCAAAGCGGCTCACCTTGTCTTGACGACAGACATCTTGGTCTAGACTTTACAAAGTTATGGTCACAGTTGGAAGACTACCAACTCCCCGTGAGGGCCCGAGGTTGGTAGTGGTGAAAGGCGGCCAATTTCAATATCACGGGAAACAGCATTGTCAGACGACCGTTACGAGCCAGGCAGTAGATGGACAAGGATCAGGTCAACCATCGGTCAAAATCGTTCCAACAATTTCTTAGCTGCGCCGGCACTCTCACCTGATATACACGCACAGGCAAAGGGTCAAACATCGTGCGCACTCAAATGTGTCCATCTTGTAACAGCCAACAGGAAAACAACGTGATTAATTACTATGCCATGCTAAGTATATGACGCTCCCACACACATACGTGTTCTGATATCGCTACTGTGAACTCTCTCCACATTGCCAATCCACACCATCGTCTCCCCTCATCGGCCAGAGCTCTCACAACTGCCAGGCTACGCGTCTGACCAAGACACGACCAGCAGCTGACAACAAACAGCAGAACGACATCGAACTCGGGCGGAACCATGTACCGATCCAACATAAAAAAATATGCTATCCGTCAAACGCCACACCCGTCCACCTCTCTCCCAGGTTCCAGCTGGGCCCAGACCAAATCGTCGCCCCATTTTTGTTCCCCTCCTCTCCAATGTATTCGGAAGACGAGTAAAGCCCATGCGGGAAGGATTGGAGGTCATCCGATCTTCCGAGGCCAAAAACAAGATGTAAAATGGAGGGGAAAAGTGAAGAATATAAAGGAAGTCGGGTCCAAAAAAGCAAAACAGCCACCCCTCCATAAACAGAACCAAGAAAGGAAAAACGACCAGCGAAACAAACAGAAAATGCAGTCTCTCTTCTTTCTTTTTTTTGTTGTAAATCTCTCCCATCTTCCTCTCCTCCTCTGTCTTCATCGTCCTCAGTCTGATCGCGTCATCCCCAATATCATGTTCGTCGATCCAAGAAAAAACGGCACGCGCACGCACACCCTTTCAAACAACACGACCAACAACTTGCAAAGTGTATGAATCATGAAAAATAAACAGGAAGACCTCTTGCAACTCGTCGTCATAGTCGTATCTGCGACGGCAGTCGGAAAATATTAAAAGTACGTGGAGTCGTCTCGTTTTCGTCGCCGAAACAACCACTCGCAACTGGCTGACTTGCGTTGGCAATCAGTATCAGAGAAGAGACACAAAAGCCAGTGCCGCCGCTGCTGTCTAGACGTAAAGTCGTGAAAGCGTCGTCATTATCGTCAAATGGTTGTAGAATCCTTCCCAAGTGTAAAATAAACATCTCCCAAGATGCGGGTATATCAATCAGTAGTAGTAGTAGTTGTCCGCCAATCTGGCAGTGACATGGACTTTCATGCATGGTTGCCCATGTGCCGAAGAGTCCCTTTATCCAGATCCTTATTCCGTCGGCTTCATCCAGGTGGCATCATCATCATCAAAACAATACAAAGGCGCCAAGGATGGACTGACGCCCATATTCAGCAATCATTGTCATGCCCCAGAGCAGCAAAAAATGGCCCTGAGGAGAAGTCAGTGTACAGATGCAATAATCATCAAGGACATAAGGCGTTTCTCGTGAGCCCGGCTGCTGACTCGGCGGCCATGTCAAGAGAAGAGTCAGTGATGCCGGGCGTACTTGAGCCCTCAACCTTAGTGAAACCTCGAGACGCCGGATGAGCTCGTTGCGACACGAGCTCCGTTGTCTGAAGAGTCTGCGCCCACGATGAGTTAGCAAATCCTCCAGTTCACCACCATGGTGGGTTTAAAGTTTGTAAGACGTACCACTACCGCGAGGCACATGACCGTTAGATCGACCGCGTCCACCAAAACCGGTGGATGTTTCCCACTCAGGGCCCCGAGGCTGCCTCTCGGGTGCGCCCTTGGAGTTACCGTTGGCGCCGGGACGCTGGCTGCCAATTGCTCCAGGGGTGCTGCGCGACTGGGTCTGAAGGGTGTTGGGGTCAAAAGCACCAAGCGACAAGTTGCTCAGACCACTGATGAGGCCGTTATCCTTGGGACCGGGTGTCCCGGAGCTGCCGGGATGGCTGCTAATATAATCGCCATATCGTGCTGCGGACTGTCCACCCATTCCACCGCCGGGGGCAAGGTAGCTGGAGGAAGCCTGCGAAGGGCTGGGAGTGAAGGAGCGAAGGTCGGCGAAACTCTTGGCAGCGCGCAGGTTGTTGGGGATCGCGTTGCCGTCGGGGCTACCGGGAAGCTCAAGAGTAGGGCCCTGCCGTCCCATGACATGTGTGAGGTTGCTGTTGCCTCCTCGAGACTCACGATCAGCAGCAAAGTCAAACGTGGCAGCTCGGCTTAAGCCCCTCTTATGCATGTCCAGGGAAGAGGAAGGAGCAGGGGCGTTGTTGGCCTTGGGTGAAGGCTGTCGCTTCAGCACAGTAAGCTGACGAGAATCAGCTTCACCAATGGATTGATGTTCCAACCCCATGTGATGCGCGAGGATGTGAATGGAACGTCGATGCTCAGGTGCGATTCCGGCAGGGAAGATGAGGATCTCGCGCGACTCGTCCCTCTTGAACATGGCCAGCTCGGTGTAAAATTCGAGGGTCTGAGGGTCGTTGAGGTCAATGTCGCCTGCATCGACTGGTAAGTTGCATATGTTAGCACATTTGTACATCGTTATATTTATTTGGGACCGGAAAGACCTACCTGAATGGCTCGGGGTGCCCCTTGCCTGGGCCTGCGCCATGCTTCCAAGCGACTGGATGGAGCTTTGTTGATGGAGGAGGGGTGCTCGGTGCTGTTCCTCCAACTGCCCGCGCCTCTCACGCTTCTCACGCTCAATGCGCTCACGCTCAGCCTCTGGTAGCATTTTCTTGTACTCGACGCGCAGTTTCCTGCCGTGGACGTCCATGCCGTTCATGGCCTCAATGACAATTCTAGTGTCCTCGGCAGACTGGAAGTTGGCAAATGCAAGACCTCGGAAAACCCCATTGTCGAAATGATAGTTAAAGGCATACGGCTGGGGAAGGTGGAGTTCGAGCATGATGGAAGCCAGTGTTTCCTTTCGAACTGCGAATGGAATGTTCTTGATAACGATTGCGGTCGGGATGAGTTGGTCACCGTCCGAAGCGGTCGAGCGGAGGTCGGAAGGAGAAGCGTGGGTGCCTGGATGTTCGACGCGAAGGCCTCCGTTGCCGAGGCCATTGAGGCCACTTGGGAAGCCCTGCATGTTGGACGACAACCCCATGCCTCCGTGATCTGTCCAGTTCTGTCGAATCTGTTAGCCACATACCTACTTTCTGGCGGTCAAGTCCACAGCGGGTATTTCCTACCTGGGGGAGGGCTGCACGGCGGCCGACACTTCTTTGTCTGCTGGGTCCATTGACGGCCCCATTCACGGTTGCAACGCCACTGCCTCCTTGAGACCAGTGCTGGTGGTTGTTGTCGAGCAAGTAACTGGGCATCCCGCCGCCATTGTTCATATTGTCCATGCCTCGCGGGTGGTAGCCGCCATGCCTGTCGGATGGGTAAAGAGCGGTGGACCCCATGGGGGGATCGAAGGGTCGTTGAGTCTGTCGAGGGAGCGAGAGACCGCCTCCGAAAGCGCCCGTGTAGCTAGGTCTGGAGCCAGGGGATCGGTTTGGCGGCGCGCCATAGTCAAGGTAGCTAAGATCTTGCGGTGGTTGGGCCATGGCTTAATGTGGTTCGGTGACGTGGACTAATGATGGTCGCGGGAACCCACGTTCTGGGTGAGGTTTTGGAAAAAGAGAAAGCGAATGGCCAAGCTTCGACGCCGATAGCAAGTATTCTGATCGGGGAGGCGACCGAGAGGGGGAGGTTGAGAGAGAGAGAAGAGGGGAGGTCGACTTAGTGCATCAGGAAGTAGTCGCAGGGACTATACCAGTTTTCAGGAGGCGGCAGCAGTCAATCAAGACGTCGCCAACGCTGAGTTTGGGAGTTGATAAAAAATAAGGCAGTCAGCCCACAGTCCGAGTGATCGGTGAACACGATGTTCACTGGTTCGCCTCGGCAGAGAGTGCGCAGTTGAACAAATGCGTACCGACGCAAAGCTCAAGGGGTCGGTCTGGTCGAACAAATTTTTTCCCGAGCTGGGGGGTTTCCAGTGACGGCCAAGAGCTCCACCAACAGTGACGTTCTCGTCAAGTCGCCAGAAAGCAGCTGGAAAGGAGCGCAAATACGAGCAAGTTGATTTGACCGACGTCCGAAGATGTACTATCTCGGTGGCAGCGAGCAGGGTCGAGGTTCGCGTCGTCTCGGGCGGCGCTGGGGCAGGTTGTTGTGGTTGTAGGAGCCTGACAAGCTGACTGCAACGCTATGACTCGCTGCGGGCGCGGAGGAAAAGAGCGATCGCAAATGACGGGGTAGAAAGTCTAATTATCGTGCGTCGTTGTCGTGACCGTCGTTTCTAAGTCGTTAAACGTTTCCGCCGCGTGGTGAGGAACGGGGATTGAGGCAGAGATGGAAGAGGAGGGGGGAAGACGGGCGAAAGAGTTAAGAAGGTCAAGGTATCATGGGAACAAGAAAATAGGGTCTGGAAGGGGGGTGTGTGGGCTGGCGGGAGTGCAAGATTGAGCAGGTTCAATTTGGTGTGTGGAGGGAAAAGGGGATGGCACAGCGACGACCAAGGACCAGCGGCTCCACGAAAGTCCGGCCTCTGCCCTGCTCTGCTGTTAGGTTGTCCATTTACCTTGCAGCGGTTTACTGACCGACTTAGGGGCGCTGGCGCGAGTCTCCAGGTGGCCGGCGGCCCAATTACAGCGGGCTGGACAGGCGCAGAACAGCGTCCCGTGCAAATTTCTTGTGGCCTTCGATCCATGCACTGCGAAGGGCTCCCGGTGGGAGGTACTCTAGGCGGTCGGCGGGCAGGTAGGGGAGTACCTGCCCCGGGAACGTACCTGCCCACTCACTTTGCGATGGGGGCCGACACCGCCGGGTACGAGCAAGTACATGCCGCGGGGGCAATCTACACCGCAGTTGGCATGTATCGGCAAAGTAGAGCGGTCTCTGTCTGAGCGAGGTGGATGGTGGGCGGACCTGAGGCAGGAAATTATGGCCACAACCAGTCTGAGATTACGCAGGTACATGTACCTTACCTCATTACCTTGATGCCTCCTGGATTGCGTCGCGCTGATTGAACTGCCGGACTGGGCTGAGGCGCTGGAGGGTTGGTGTTAGAGGTCTTGTTCCATTACAGCGGGTGCAGGTACAGGAAGGTCGCAGCACCGAGACATGAACCGCCATCTGGAACATGCGCAACGGCAGGGAGAGATGGCACGTACCCTCACCTACACCTTACATTCCCAGCAGCACAATTGCGATGGCCAGACCGACCAGCCAATCCACTCTGTCTTGCAGCCCTGCTCGCCAACTCGTGTCTCGCTCTCGCTGCTGCTGCTTCCTGTTGGCCCTCGCCGACTTTACTCATGGCCTACCAGCGATGTTCCTCCCCTGCAGGCCTGATGCAGCCTGTTGTGGCGGGCAGCGATCCTGGCCACCCGGCGCTGAGCAGGCATCTTAGCCCAGGAGCGATTGGTGGGGCAGTGAACCTTCTGTTTCTTTTCTTTTTCTGCGCCTTCCCTTCGGTCGTCTTCTCTCTGCCTTCCGAGACGCCTCATCTGCGCAGTTTTTGTCGGGCGGACACAGCAGACAGCATCCTGACGCTGCAATTGGCACACTACAGATTGCAAAACACGATCGATGAGGCCGACGATGAGGCGGGACAGAAAAAGCAAAGAAAGCATGTCAAGATTCCCACCAGCTGGCCCCTGTCGCCGACCGCCTGTGGTGGGGTGTCCCTGTCTGCAAGACGTTTCCCGCTTGTTTTGCATCCCAACCTGATGCTAATTATGCTGCCTGCTGGATGGATGCCACACGCACCCTTTGATTAGGCTTGCCTCAATCAGTGCGAGGGTGGTGTTCATCCATCGCCAGCCAGCGGGAGATGCAAGGCACTGGATGCGCGATGCCACCAACCCGTCTCATCTCACGTGCAGCCGTGGCCTATCCTTTACAATTTGGTAACATGGCCGCATGACAGGTCGCATCAGCTGTTCCCGCTTTGCTTGGATCGTTCTTCAAGAAGCAGCCCCAGCCGCTCCCCGTCGCTTCTGGCCATCTCGCGCGTTCACGCCACACCTGAGGCGCGCCCATGGCTTCCGCGCTGTAATGACGATGGATCTCACATGGGGAAGCTGTAGCTAAGGTAGGTAAGAGCATGAAATTAACCTCTGGTTGTTACCGAAAATGCGCTCTAGTTCAAATCATTCGTCGACCAGATGATGGGTGACGACAGCTCAACCAACTCCTGGTCGTGCAACACGCCCAACCAAGCAGCAATCATCTCTGACGTTGGCCATCCTTTTGCGGCCTCATGCACCTCGAAAACAATTAATAAGAGACGAGTCGTGTTGTCTGGAACAACACCGAGATGATGGGACCCAGATAATGAGGCGGCCTGGTCCTGTGCTTGCGGTGAGACAGGGGACATCGCGGCAGTCAGGGTCTTACTTGCATTATTATACGTGCTGTCGGCCTATCTATTCGATCACAGACCAAGTCAGCATCGGCAGCAACACTAAAACCCAACAGCAACAGCAAATCAAAAGGCAACAATGAAGATAGTCATCCTCGCTCGCCGATGGCAGATGGATCTGGGCAACCTTGCTCTCCTCTGGCCGCCATCATTCCAGTCGGCCTCGCTTCATTCGTCGACGAGGGGCGAATGAGACGGCATGCTGCCTCGCGTAGAGTTCCAAGGCAAGAAAGGACAAGACATCGACTGCGTATGATATCGAATAAGGACCTCATGTGTCCCTGAGCCTAACTTCTCTACCTGTCAAATTGGCTCGAATGCTCCACAGGTGCCACCAGGCCATGCCGTGCGTCGATGTTAATCGCTCCATGTGGATGCACAGTCGTTCCTCTGACGGACACATCGCTTGATTTTACTGGCACGCACCAAGCCCTTGGTGATACGTACACTCGATCCACCTCGAATTTCTCACCGTCGACACAGCCACAGTCTCGCCGCCTGTAGATGACCGTCCTCCTGGGTTGGTCAGGGTTGGTGAGCTCCAGCTCTCATTTTCTTCGCCGAGGAGAAAAATAGGGGAGCGCTAATTATCACAATTACAGCCCGCATTCTTTTGCTCCACGATATCCAGCCAGAGTTGCTAATAATATCGGCACCCACTGGAACATCTCACTGCTTCATTACCGCCGCCTCCTCCCTACCTCGCAACTCATTATCCCCGAAACCGCGAGAATGTGAGATCGACCAGGTATATCAGGAGCGCACGTTTCCGAGGCACTGATAGCAGGTACGATTCTGTCTCTCCCTTACTATAGGGATTGAAAAGAAAACATGTGAATAGTTTATACTAGTCGCCTGTAGCCTGCGGGTAGCCAGTCATTCTACTAGCCTATTATTATCGTGTCGATACCAGGTACACCAGCGGCCCGGAACGCCCGGTTTGCAGCTAAATCAGCACCCCATCAAACCAGAGCAATTTGCCTTGGGGGGCCTGCTCGCTGTTGGATCAACCATAGGATCGGCAAATGGATGACGGTAAAATCTGTCAGGGGGGTCACGTGTTGGAGCCAGTCCAGTCCCTGTGAAGAAGGTAGCTGTACATTCGAAGCTGCGCAGATCACAGAGAACATCCAGTACCTACCTCACTTCCACTTCCCCTCCTTCCCACATGTTCATGTTCCCTTGCTCTCAAAGCAGGTGGGCAGATCATCCACCAAGCTGTAGGGTCTACACCCAAATGTCCCCCTCATCTCGCGGCTAACAACCCGTTGCCTCTCGCCCCCCTCCTTCATGGCCAGGTGATCAGCTGCAAGGCAATGTCCCTACGATCGGACCCTCCTCCCGCCGCCCATTCAGAGCGCCCCGTCGCCCTCCTCTCCCCTAGTCTCGACTTCAGCACCTGATGAAGCACAATTGTAGAAAGGCTACGGACGGGAACAGACCATCTCGACCAACCCCGCGAGCCTTTTGTGGGTTAGGCTCTGGGCCAATCGGCTTTCAGTGTTGGTATGTGGCGTGCAATACTCGTGGCCGCGACAGGGATAAGCTCGATAGGCTGCTTCCATCACGAGGGTCCTGCAACAAGCTTTGATTCATCACTCGTCTTGTACGAATCGACGGGGCTCTCTATAATGGGGCTTCAGGTGGCGAGTACGGATTCATGATGTCTGTGCTGCACCTAGGTATCCCTGCTGGTCGGGATTCCAGGCTGCTGGTCGAGTGGCTGGCCAAGACCAACCGGTTCTCTGCAGAAATTTGTGTGGCTCGGGCCCCTAGTCCTCAGCGTACGCATCAGCACCGTCAGGCATCTGATCTCACAACTTGACCGGGGATGTTACCAATGGATGCCCAAGGAGGATACCATGATGATTAAACTCCCCGTTCGGATATTTCCCTAGTAAACGAATCACTTTGCCAGCATCGTCTTTCTTTCAGGGGGAGGCAAACATCGACTTTGCCTCGATCTGCGCCGTTATACTTGACTGGGAAAGCCGAGCTTTGGACAGGCACACGTTGAGTCCTATCACGAAGCTCTTCTCGTTTGGTACTATCAGCTTCCCTCATACATGCTGACTCTCTCTTGCTTGTCTCTATTGGCTCTTCTCAACACGCTTCGGTCTTTGCCTTGGATTTCTGCACCTTCCCGATCCATAAGCAAGGCGGAACACAGTTGTGGTTGTATCTCGTTGAATGTGACCATGAATTTTGACTCTAGGCATCTCTCTCGGTTGCACCTGACCAACGCCCGGCCATCTTGTGACCTGACGACATCACCGCTATCCTTTACTTTTCGCCCATGCCAAGTGGCCGTTGGACATTGAGGATTGTGCCCCGCGCCGCCTGCCATCCAAATCTGTGGAAAGCATATTTGAGCTTAGACTGACACATGGAGCAAGCCACTTCTCACCGTCATCGATCGCTCTGATCCTGTTGAGGGGTATATTGGCCTATTTCGTGCCACAGACAGCTCGATCGTGTGGTGCAGAGCATGCGGTCTACCTACTCCTAAATGCAGCCCACCCGAGCGACAACGTGCGCCGCCACAATAATCCCCATCCAGTAGGTTCCCTTGGTAGGACATTCTCAAACCTTGCTCGTACAAATCCGCCCGAGGTCTGAGTAGTGAGGGCGCACGGGAGGAGTGAACCCAACCTTGATGTTGTGGAAAGTGTAAACAAGTCACGCGTAGTGGCGACGAGGGAATCAAAGCTACACACATACAAGTTGAAATTAAGTCATCATTATAGCTGTAAATGATGTAGACCGTCATGATTCATCTTCCACCACATCAGTGACACGAACGTGCTACGGTATTGTGTATGTGGGGAGCCTGGAAGATGGTCAAATGATGCAAAATCAAAATGGCCGTAGGAAGGATAGGGGAGACTCAAGACGTAAATTGAAGCTCTCGGTGATGCCTGTGGTTATGTGATTGTTCCCCCACTCTTCCCATGCGGCGATCACCGTGCCTTCTCTCTCAACCATCCTCTTTTCTCAACCATCCGCCCAACGGATAGATGCGAGATGCCTTCGTATCGGCGTGGGGGGTTTGCCTGGGGTCCCCTGGAGAACTCTCGCTGTCTCTCGGCCTGTTCGCGTTCAACCTGTTGGTCCTGGCTCATGCCTGCATAACACATCCCGAGAGATATCCCTGCCATTCTGGTAACTTTGCTGTGCCAGATGGCGAACTCATCTGTCATCATGATAAAGTCGGATGTTACTAACAGATTCAAGGCCCGCGTTCCGGGTCATTCCTGGGGTCTGTGCCTCAATCCTCCGACGAGATTCTTACATAGTACATTGCTGTCTACATTTTATCCCTATTCTGAGATTCTCTTGTTACTGGGGAGCCTGTTCTTTTTTTCTTCGGGGGTGGCTGCAAGTTCTCGGCCTTGTCTTGGCCAGGGGGTGGCGGCTGGATGGCTTGTAGCCAGGTAGCCCTGAGCCAACGGTTTCTCGTCCTCTTTTAGGTCGACAGCCATTCTAGAAGATCTAGGGATCTCTGGAACTGCTACGGGGGTGATGGCCCACGGCTTCTCCTCGGGCTCAGAAAAGGCTACGGTGTGATTTATTGGTGTTCTCTATCCTACATGTGACCACCCTTACATAACTATACCATATCGCAAGGTCCCTTGATGGAGGCCTCGCTCCGTCATTGTCGCATTGGCTCTCTGTATCCTATTTGTGCTGCCAAGACGAGGGAAAGATCTCCTATATACTGCATATGACGCTTCCTTTTAATGACGCCCTCGCTTCGCCGATAGATACTCGTCGCGTAAGCGAGAGACGCACCATGTGACCCGGCTTCTTTGGACTCTCTTCGGAGATCACTCCTGAAGCTCCCTGCCAGTCGTCTGGCAGTTTTCCACCAGGTTTGACCGCTACAAATGCCATTGACCGCCCCGGATTGAGGGCCGTGGTTGACATGGCTCCCCGTGGAGATGCCACATATTGTAAATCCACCCTCGCATTGTGTCATTGCCTACCTTCCGGCCCTTATTAGGATGAAAGGGTCACAAGCACTGAGTTGACATATATCGCTCGCGAGGTGGGGGACGCGAGAGCCGGGATGCGACTCCCTGGTTGTGAAGTCGGTGGCTCAGCTACGTCATCCCCTCGCGATCTCGGAGATGATCATGGCGAGGGAAGATTGTAGGCAATTGTAGAGAGGCCCGCATACATGGTGATGTTGTCAGCCCAGCCACTTATGAATGACGGTTGTCTGGGTGAGTATACTGACGGCTGGTGGCTAAGGGGCCGCGTTCTGATGCTGGGATCCCTGCAAAAGCCCCGTGGGTGTTTCACCGCTTCCTGGCATGGGAGCCATTTAGCATCTTCCACATAATCTTTAAATGTTGTTCACGCAGCCAGGTTTTAACCAACGAACTTGGAGACTGGCTGGGTGTGGGCGAGTGGCCGAGGCTGCGAGTGGCCAGGAACGCAGGATAGGAGAAGGAAGACGCGCAACGAAGTTGCACATCGGGAAACCGGGCCGTGGCCACATAAGTTCGAATGCTGTGGATTTCATGATGAAGCGCACAAAAGTCTTGTTGGGGGCTTATGTTGCTGCGTTGACTTAGACTAGTTATGCCACCGTGGCTCTCGAGTAGTAGGCACATCAGGGCCCCAGACTCACAAACTCAGTAATTTACCATAGTTATTCAAAGTCTATTGGATTGCAGGTGTTGTAAAACACTTTTGAGACAAATATCGAGGATTAAGTCCATCTCCCTTGTCAACTGGGAGAGAGTGTGTTGCGGTTTGACACACATCAATACCAAGTGCCAGAGGATAGAACTTGTCTGCCGCAGCCACGTATTGCGTACAATAAAGCAAATGATCATCTTGAATCTCCATTATTGGGGAAGAAGCCATGATCCACATGCCCACCGCCCGCTACGGATGGTTAGACCATCGTCCTCGAGCACATACCCAGCGCATCACATTATTAAGACCTTAGGATTAAAGGTCGCCACTGAGTCAATTGACCATGCTGTTATCCATATACGAAATAAAGAGCCAGAGAAAGCTGGGGAATCTAAACTAAAAAAATAAGTTAAAATATAAAAAAACAGGCTGGGGCAAATGGTAAGGAGTTGGTCATTCGCGACACCAAAGTCTCAAACCCACAGCTAAAGCTATCAATCAACATCGTGCTCCAATAACTCGACAATCTAGATAATAACGTGGAAATACGATATAGTTGAAATATAAATAAACAAAACAAAGGATAATTCGATGCAAAAACAAACAAAGAACATGAAGAATCAAATATTCATAAGTGTACAGCACACAGAGCTTGAGTGGCAACCCCAGTCTACCACGATGGCCATCACCACGACCACCATCAATTCAAAACATCTCTCAGATTGGTACAACTCCCCATTTTAACATATGAAAGCCTATGCAAAGCCGGTTCAGCGCTTGGCGCGTGCGTCCTTCTTTTGCTTCTTGGCCGGCTTGCTGGCGGCGGGAGACTCAGCAACTTTCCTCTTCTTCGACTTGGGCACCTCCGAGGAAGCATTTTTACCAGCCTTTGGCTCAGTCTCATCCAGAGCACGCTTCTTGGATTTGGCGCCGGTGGGCTTCGTCTCCTTCGTGGCAGCGCGCTTCGCGCCACCACGGCTTGGCTCTGGCTTTGCTGCTGCGTTCTTCTTCTTTGAAGGCTTTGCTTCCGACGCCTTTGGTGCCGCCTTGGGCTTGGGCGCGACTGGCTCGGGTTCAGGTTCGGGTTCAAATCGTTCTGGTGCTTTGACCTTGCGGCCGGATCTTGTCCTCACGGCTGCTGGGGCTGGAGGTGGTGCTTCCGCTTTCTTGCTGGAGGTGGTTTTGGCCCGACTTTTGGGCTGAGCCTTGGGTTTAGCCTTGGTTTTTGAGGCTCGGCCGGTGGTGGGATCCTCGTCATCCTCGTCCTCGTCGTCGTTGGCGTTCTTGTCGCCACTACCAAGCTCCTGCTCGTGAAGCCGTTGCGTATTCAGACTTGAAGCTGCAGCTGAACATATCAGACGCTGTACCTCTAGGCCAAGCAAGATGGGTTTGTTGGCATCTGGAACGGCATCTGGAACCGCGTGGATCCTCCGATTCTTGACCTTATAGGTGTTCACAACTAATTCGAACCCCCCCTGATGAACTTCAGCCTCACATGGCAGATGTTCATCGCGAGGGACCCATGCCCGGTCCGTGTGTTGGCAAGAAAGCAGGCGTGTGACGTCGGCCTGTTTATATCTCTCCGGTATGCCCAGCTCGTTGCAAACAATTGCGAATAGAAGATTGTAAGCGTCCCTCAGCAAACCCTTGGGGCTCGGGATCTTCTCGTCTTCCCGATCCCAGCCCGTCCAGTCGGCGATGAGCATTGATGGCGCTGTATTAATGTGGCCGACCCAGGGCACCGGGCTTAAATTAATTTCTAGTAGTCGATTTGGTGTCATCTCTGGGGGATTGGGGGGGAATCGGAGCGTGAGAAAAGCCCAGACTGCACTCAGATAGCCGCACTCCCAGGCTTCACACTGGGGGGCCACAACGGGGACGAAGAGCTGGAAGTCGTAGGGAAGTCCCATCCTGTCCCAGAACCGGGCCCAGCCATGTGCTGTCGCCTTGACCCGGGCGATGTTATTATAGCTTTTGTGCATGGAATCAAAGATGTATAACTGCCCGGTCAGTCGGTCAAAGATGGTCATGCTCCAGTGGTAAGCCAAAGTGTCCGTCTGCCAGTTGACCGGCGCGGCCAGCCATCTCTTGCCCTTGATCTGTGCCTTTACTCTTTCGATTTCCATGATGACTAGGGGATCATCGTCCCCGTACTTGTAGAATGGTGGCCTTGACATGAAGAGATTGCAATGCTCACCAAACTCCTTTTCGGACTCGTTTCTCATCAAAAGCCCGTTGGAGTCGCAGAAGTTTATAAAGGGTTCCAGAACTGCTACGTCCTGTTCCATTCCATATGTGGCAATCTTCAACAGGTGGACGAGTTCGACGCCTACCAACCATGCATCCCTGTCGGTAGAGTACCGGACCATCTTGGAGAGCAGGTTATGCATAACCGCGATATGCTCCCACCATGCTTCTTCGTCGTGCCATTCGCTGTTGTGGAGTTCGTCGGGAGACATGTATTCTGTATGTAGCTTTTCAACCCGTCCGTACATCTGCTCCAACCATTCCTTGGATTCTGCAGAGATGGCGAATTCACCGAGAAGTTCATCAACTTCCTCTATCTGCTCGCCCGTCTTTAGTCGCCTCATTGTGTCGTTCTCGTGGTCTATAGGTCGCTTTCGACAAACAAACAGGTTATCTGGGGCTCCGCTGCTTCCAGGTTGCACGATTTCCCCAGGAAACAGATGCCTCCGACCCTCACCCCTTCCCTGGAGTTGAACGGTCCCCTTGATCGACACACGTGGCTCCGGGGGAGCTTGTGCTTGTGCATTGCCCCCCGCTGGAGGTGCGGCCGGGGGAACCTGCCCCTGGACCGGGACTTGTTGATGGGACGTCATGGGTGAATCGAGAGACGATGGCAGGGAGTTCATGAGAGGGTCAGCCTCGCCGTTTTGGAAAAATGCTGTTACTTTGCTGAAAAGATCGAATATCATCGGGGAGCGAGTTTGCAAAAGCAAGGTCAATGTTTTGAGAAGGACATGATCTAAATTGGGATGATATGGCGCGTATTTGTACACGATCCCATTGTGGGATTCATTCAGAGAGGATTACTTTGCGCTCTGGATGGTCATTGTTAGAATGGACGAATAGCACTTCTAAATACAACAAGCGCGGACAATGAAGTGAGAACAAGGTGGTGAGCGCAGACAAACGAGGACAATGGACCCTGCTTTGTGCGCGGCTTACTTTGAGAATTACGCGACAAACAAGCAATACTATGAATTGTTTTATGTAAAAATCATTTATAGCTTTTTAGTGTCAGTTATTTTGATGTGCCTGGCAATTTCTTTCAGATGGTTGGACTTTCATTTGTGATATAGCTTCCCAAATGTTAGCATTGATTCACAATTCTTTGTAGTATCTCATTGTAGGATGGGCCAAATTGATTGACAGAGGCATTTGAGAGATTATACTGGACATTTTGTATTATAATATGTGCTGATTTGTGTTTCTATTTGCATCTATTTGCATCGTGGGTATCATATCAAACAAGAAGAGTAACGCCAAAGCAAACACCCCGTTTATGCGCTGCGCCATTTCCTCTATCATCTGCCGTCCTCCGGCTTAGGCCACCGAAATTGATAATCCTTGATGTGGTGGGGGAAGTCGTCCGAATTGTCCTCGCGGTTGTAGTAGGGGGGATGATGCGTCGCTCCCCCTCGGCCACTCTCCAGGTTGATCCATGCGTCTGACTGATTGGTCCGCGTTGCGCTTGTCGATAATTGACCTGTTCCCATGCTCTTCTTGCTGGTGAGATTGGTGGAGGTTGCTTTTGAGGTGAGCTTCCGGGTCATCTGGCCGAATTTGAGGGTGATTGGCCTGAAGGTGACGACGCAGCAGCAGAAGATGCTCAGTGCCATCTGGACCGTCGCCCATACTCCCATGAGGTATTGATTTTCTGGAAATTGCGTTAGCTCTGTGTATCTCTGTAGTGTGTATTCTAGTAAACAGAGGATAAATGTTGTACATACCGACGGCGACGCCATTCGCGACAGAAACGCCGATTTTGACGAACCCAATCACACCCGCCCTGATTGAGAAATATCAAATTAGCTGCGACTCCGGCAAGATTGAATGGTGACAAGAGGGCAACTTACAAGCCTCCAATCGCAAAGATAACGGACAGTTGCCACTTGGTTCTACGAGCTGTTCGGAGACTGCGCAGCATAATGACGGCCTGGATCGCCATGACAAAATCGATGAGAGAGTTGACGGACTCGTTGACGACCAGGAAGGGGACGTATTCTATGCATCGGCCTTCGAGGTCGGGCCGCCAGAACTTTTGGACGGGGACGCAGGTGAAGATGTCGACGAAGAGGTTCTCGATCGTGTGCAGGGTTTGGATGACAGCGATGACCTTGATCCACAGAGAGTATGTCGGATTGATGCCGAAGATGCGCTGGTAGAGGAGAAGAATGCTCAGCTTGGAGCAGAGTTGATTGATGGGGAACGTGAGAGTCGAGGCCCAAAGCATCTACAGGCGCGGGTTAGATGTGATCATGGTAATGCCCGACCCGAACAACGACGTACCCTGTTGGATGCAGCATTATCTTCGTATGTAGGGTCTGGTTTCACGTTCATGGCCACTAATGTACTGTAAGAAAGACGGCCCATGGGGGAAAGTAAGGCGCAGACGAAAAGACGTACTCATTGCAAGGAAGATGACCCAGAGAATAAAGGCGATGAGCGCTCCCAGAGCGAACCAATCCTCTGCGGCGAGACTCCTCTTGGCCAATTTGGTCGCCCAGAACCGCATGCCGGTGACGAGGAAGCTCAAGGGGAAAAAGACCAAGACGACGATGAACCCGGCCATCAAGACCGGGTTCGTCTGGAGTCCCGATACCAGATCACTCATCCTGAGCCTGTGCGACACCTTCACGAGGTATCGTGCAGGAGGGAAAACAGCATGGGAAGAGGCAGTATGCAAGATCGTGAGCCGTGTGCAGGGTCCCCGCGCCTAATATGTACATGTGTTGACCGACAGCAAGCTGGGCCAAGTGCCGAGGGCTGCAGCCGACGTCGGTAAGCAAAGCGCTTGCTTCATCATCCGTCCCCTCTTGTTGCAATAGCTGCATTAGTCAAATGTTGAATCCTTCAGGAGCACCCTTGCGCGCGGGTTCCACGATACCCTGGCAGCCCAGCCAAGTCTGCGGGATTTCACGTCACAGAGCCTGCGGAATTGGTCCACGGCGGAGTCCGACTCAGGCCTGATCCCGGGAAAGAGAGTCGCCAAGCGGGAGTTCTTGAGGTTATTCATGGCTGACTTGGGATCTTGGGATCTCACTCTGACCCCTTGGGTCTGGTAGGGACGCGTCTAATGAATGTGTTGATGAGACTGGGAGGCATAGGGCCGAGACTGACATACGAGACTGATAAGAACAGGTGCCGGGAACAGAGGAAAAGCATGGCTGGAGAGATCGTCGCTGCATGATCCTGGAAGCTGAACGATCGCGACAGGCCTCGTACCAGCTTTCCGCCATTTGCCCGACCGCGCATCCTCCAGCCCAGTCAGACTTGATACTCGTTTCATCAGATACCCTTGCCTCAGTGACCTGGTGGCCTGGTCTCTTAATATATCCTCCAGCTTCTCTCTATCGACAAAGCCCCGACCCCGGCCCATGCCACTGACTCGAACGAGCAGCTTAAATGCCCCCAATCTCACTCATCTACCCCGCTGTCCGATTCAGCGTCGATGAGGCCGTCCACTAATGAGACACTAGCGATTTACCCGTCTGACAGAGTCTTTGACCTCACCATCTGCTTTGTCCTTATAGTGACTATTATGTACTCGTCATGGCAGGAATGTCTTGTCCGGAAATCTCAGATGATTTGGCTAGTCTAATAATCATCATGATGAAACCAGGCAGAACATGCCATTTACGAGGTTAAAAACCCTCCATTAACTGCAGCTATGATCCATCCATCTGACCGGCTCCTCATCCGCTGCTACTTGACCGTTTTTTTGTCACTATCCGCAACCTTGATTAATTAGATCATTGATTCATCATCGTGATGTCTTTTGTGTCGCGACGCTGCACCACATTCAAAACATTCCTGCACAAACCGACGCTACATAAACCAGTCGCAATTCGCTTTTTCTCCAGCCCAGTATATCATCAAAGACCTCGAGTCAACAATAATCAATTAATTCTGCCAAGCCAAATCCCACAGCGCAAGATGTCGTCCACTCAAAAGAAGGATAATAAGATCTTTACCCGAGACAACCTCTTTGACCTCAAGGGCAAGGTCGCTCTCGTCACAGGTAGGCTTTTGGTCACGTCTTATCACCAAGAATAAACACATATTATCAATACTTGGCCTAACAAATTCAGGCGGCGGATCTGGTATCGGCCTCATGGCGACTCAAGCCCTGGCTGCCAACGGTGCCAAAGTCTACATCACTGGCCGGACCAAGGATAAGCTCGATACCGTCGTGTCCACCTACAATAAGGATATTCCGGGCTCTATCCATGCACTGCCCGCCGATGTGGGCAACAAGGAGGGTGTTCGTAAGCTGTTTGACGACTACTCCAAACACGAAGACTGTCTCTGCATTCTTGTCAACAACGCTGGCATCTCAAGCGCTCATTTCCAAACCGAGAGCGAGTCGGCTGCTGAGATGAAGGAGCATCTGTTCGATGCGAAGAAGAGCACCTTTGAGGACTGGAACAACACCTACAACACGAACGTCACCGGCGTCTACTTCACCACACTTGCATTTCTCCCCCTCTTGGAGAAGAGCTCGGAGAAGCACCAGGGCTGGTCCTCGACCGTCATTAACATCTCTTCAATTTCTGGACTTATTAAGTCGGCTCAGCATCACTTCGCGTACAATGTCTCCAAGGGGGCGGCGATCCACTTGAACCGCCTTCTGGCTGCTGAGATTGCCGCGAACAAGCTCAAGATCCGCGTCAATAGCATCGCGCCTGGTGTGTTCCCCAGCGAGATGACTACCGAGGGCAGCGATAAGCATCAAAAGAGCCACATCCCCACTGAGAAGTACAAGGAGAAGGTCCCTGCCGGTCGCCCGGGTAAGGATGAGGACATGGCTAGCACCGTTCTTTTCTTTGCGGTGAATCAATATCTGAATGGGCAGACTGTTGCTGTTGATGGTGGCTATACCTTGGCGGCAGGACAGTAAATGGTCAAGATAGAATGGCTCAAATATTGAATTGAACAAGTTTCTTAAATACAAACCACAGGGAAACAGTGCTCAGCGGACATGCTGTAATGACGCGGAATAGTAAGAGAATCAATAATGAACAAGTGAAACTCAAAGCCGTCAGCTATCTGATCTGCAGATATAGAGAGGTTGCCAGCTGTCTACTATAACTTTTCTATAACTATAACATTCCATGTGTGACAGGGGATGATGTTTTCCTGTTGCGGCCCAAAGGTACAGGGAAGCATAGCGGCAGCGCAGTCGCAAGGGTTATCTCACGAGGTGTCATTGTTCTCCACCTGTCATGGGAATTCGATAATGAGTAAGAAAATAATGACCAAATTCGTCAATTGATCGTCGCCTCACATATTCTCATGCTTATAGCTCTCTCTATACATGTGGGCGGGTAAAGATGGCCAGGAATTGGCAGGGCATTAGGACAGACATTTCTCAGACAGACGTTTGAGATATTCGCCTCTCCGTCAGGTCTGTGAACATGAGGAATAGCAATCACAAGCCAGCCACCCACGATCATCAGGGCATGACAGGCGGGACTAGGGCCCTGGCAACTTGGTGAACAAAGCCCCGCTGGCACTTTTTGATCTGGAGCGGGTCTGCAAGCTAACAGGAAAATGGCAAGAATGACATACTGACAGCTGTCTAGAGCAGGGGAGGCATTCCTTGCCGGTGCGAATGGGCTCTTGAAAATTGGGCTGAATGTCATCGACAGTGTGCGGTCGGATATTGCCCCTTCTGTAACGTAGCTGGGACTGGGTATCGACCCATTCCACGACTTTACGGAGCGCTGGCTGTGTGAGGCAGATGTTACAAGTCTGAGGGCTGTCTCTCATACGTGGTTATCCGAATAAGCGCTATGGCCATCAGATCTCACAGAGCACGGTTATGTATGTATAGCTCCCTACACGCCTGCGATCTTAGTTGTTTGAACATGGTAATTTAAAATAGCAATAAATGGAACAATCTCGCATGATTTTCTTTTTCCTATCCGGCTTTGGAAGGAATGCATATTCCAAGTGGCTCTTCGGTTAGGATTCCGAGCCAGAATGCCGGATATCTATCATTGACTGAAGTCAGGCAAAACATACGGTTAGGGGACTCGTATTTTGGCCTAGTGTAGTGACTTTGTTTCGGACAGTTCAATATGATTATTCGATACCAAAATGTTATTAACTCCTTTGGCAAGGAAATCAAAGGGTGTGCCCACCTCACCAGTCAGGAATATTTGGTTTCTACGCCTACAAACAATTCTATTCTCCATGGCTCTAGTTTTAAACAAATTTAGCCTATGTTGTTGCCTAACCTAAAGTCGGTGGCAGCTACACCATAATTTCGTTGTTCGTCGAGACCCTACCTATTATCACGTTAGGGAACTAGATATTACATCTAGTGTATAATGATGCATTAATGGATAGGATAATGTATCAATGGAGCTTGGGATTAAGTAAAAAGATTATGTTGCAGTAGTACTTACTCCTTCGTATGATTGTGGAATATCTGCCAATAGCCAACTCGTAACAACCTATCAACAAAAATGCGAACTAGCTGCACTCCCTAGCTTCCGCCTATGGATAAAGTTGATTGGAGCGGCTGAAGTTTTCTTGCTTCCTCTCATATACTACTATTCAAACATTTGGATAAGCCGAACGCGTATCCACACAGTCCTCAGTGGCCAGGTTTCAGGTCGAAGAATAAATCTACCAAAGGCACATTTATGGCCGAGGATGATGAGTGTGGTTTCAACAATTCAGCGATAATCTAACGTATTAGAAAGAAGCTACCTGTCAATTATTGATCAGATAGCAAACGAAGCTATTCAGCGGATGCGTGAAAATGACGTATTGTTGTTGAAGCTGAGTATCAGCAGGCAGGAAGGAACAGGGAATATTTTTCTATATAGAAAGAGATAACGAATAGTGTACACGTGTTTGACACTTGCTTAGGAAATTTATGATTTGGAAAGTGCCCATGGAATTCCCTCCATTAGTATTGCTCCAGGGTTCTCTTGTTTTTGTTTTCTCACAACGCTTCAACATTGGAGTCTTTTGCTCGCGACACTTCATATCTTACCCCTTCTTCTGGCTATTGATCCATATCATCTCTAACTATCAGTCATTCGCTCTCAGAAATCCATATTTGAATATCTTTACTACGGTCCATCCACACCCGCCATGTCTCGTTGCCGTTGCTACATCGTCCCTCCTCACCTTCTCAGGGGCATTGCTGATTCCTCCAGCAATCCCGACCACATTCGCCATGCCGCTGCGCACTCCCTCGCCTCCAGAGAGCGCATCACAATTGCCCGGAAGGATCTCTTCACCCATCTCACCACCCCTCGTGGATACTTCAACACTTCCAAGGCCCCAGCTCGCCGTCGAATTGTGCCCGATGCTCTGCTACGACATGTCGCCGACTCAGACAAGGCAGATGAGACGACCCGTTCTCGAGCTCGCCGAGACCTTGAGCACCTCCAGCAAGTTCTTGGCCGCGTGAGGATCTCGCAAGCAGGTCTAGGTTGGTTGAACTCCTTCGTGATTGCTGAAGACGATGAAGTTCTGCTAACTCGTCCTCCATCGCTGTAGCAACCGAGCAGAAACCCGCCTCCGACGACGACAAAGGCAAGGGTAAAGATCCCAAAGAAAGCTACTACCGAGCGGTCCACGATGCCAAGCACAACTTTGACGAGAACGAGCTTCCTGGGCAACTTGTCCGATCCGAGGGCGAGCCCGATGTCAAGGACAAAGCAGTAAACCAAGTATTTGGCAATATCGGAGTAGTCTTCGACTTTTACAAAGAGCACTTCAACTGGCATTCCATCGACAACAAGAACATGGATGTCATTAGCTCCGTTCATTTCGGTGAAAGTTACGAAAACGCCTGTAGGTCCAAGGCTTCCTGGCCAAGCCATCATCTTCAAGCCACTAACGTCGCGCTCAAGTCTGGGATCCAGAGAAGGCACAAATGGTCTTCGGTGATGGTGGCGAGTTTCTAAACAACTTCACTTCCTGCATCGACGTGATCGGGCACGAACTCACCCACGCAGTCACGGAACACACGAGCCCTCTTGACTACTTTGGCATGCCGGGTGCTCTGAACGAGCACATTTCCGATGTCGTCGGAATCATGGTCAAACAACAGGTCCAAAACGAAAACGCCAAGAACGCAGACTGGCTCATTGGCGAGGACTGCATCCTGCCAGGCGTCAAAGGCACAGCTCTGCGAAGCATGAAGGCGCCTGGAAGCGCCTATGATGACCCAAAGCTTGTATGTCTTGAACCAGCGCCCCATGACAAAATGCATGTAACAATGGCAATGTACTAACGATGCACCAACTGTAGGGCAAAGACCCTCAGGTAGACCACATGGATCAGTACAAGACCATGTACGAGGACAATGGCGGTGTCCACATCTATTCTGGGATTCCGAACAAAGCTTTCTATCTTGCCTCGGTTGCGTTTGACGGGTATTCCTGGGAGAAAGCTGGGCAGATCTGGTGGAAGACTATGACCAGCGGCAAGATTCCACCCAAATGCAGTTTCAAGCAGTTTGCCACTGTCACCATCGAGGTTGCAGAGGAGGCGTTTGGCAAGCCTGCCGCCGATAAAGTGAGAAACGCTTGGTTGGAGGTCGGCGTTGGTGGCCGCAACGGTGGCGACGGCAAGAATGCTCCCAAATCGAGCAGCTGGTGCAATGCACTCTGAATCCTACATACACACGTACGAAGGCATACATGTTGCCTCATACCCAGCTCCTGACCTAGTATATTTTCTCTGGCGTCTCTAGTGTTAGAACTCATTCCTATAGCAGACTAGACAAAGCAATACATCGCTCTCATCACCTATACACTCATCTTGTCCTACTATTCAAGGATCACGAAGTGAATACATCACGGTAGTTGGGATTTATCTACAGTCTTCAATTGGAAATAGAAATGAAAAAACTATGCTATGCTTAAATCAGCAAGTCTTGCGTTGCTTCTTCTTCATCAGTGGGTTTAGCCGCAGGCTCGGTCAGAGTAGTGGAATCGACGCCCTGCTGTTCCATCCACGACTTCTTCTGCTCCAAGTACCGCCTCACTCTCAGGAACAGCACCGACAGTAGAATGGCGATCAAGGTGAAGGCACTCAGCTTGATATAGGTGGTCCCCAGCTGAGGATCCATCCCTCCAATCTTGGAGTCCATCCTCCTCAGGAACTGAACAAGCGCCAGGCCCTTAAGCGTCAGGACAGTCGACGCTGCGGTGTAGCTGATGGCCAGGAGGACGAGATACCACGTGCGCATGCGGGTGCGAACTTCCGGGGTCAACTTCTCGTCGGTCTTGAGGCACGGACACAGGCCGTTCCTGCTCATGAAGCTGGGGCAGTAGCAGCTGATCAGGGCGGGGAGCCAGCGGATGCCGATCTCCTGGAGGAGGATGGCGAAGAGGACGATGCCGGTGAAGTAGAAGAGCCAGAGGGCGGGCGCGGTGGAGAAGGAGATGGGGGTCAGGTCCTCGGCGTCCCAGGCTGCGAGGAAGGGGTTGTGGCAGATGCCGTTGCCGCCGTTTGCGTGGTTACTGCTGAGGCACTGCCAGTCGCTCATGGGCAGCTGCATTCTCGCCGCTGTCTGGCCCAGGTCGGCGGGGAGGGTGAGGGCGGCGCCGGGGAGGAGGCCGTTGATGTTGTGGACGATGCCGCAGGAGAGGTCCCATGAGGCCGAGGGCCACTCCCAGCCGAAGGCGTTGAGGAACCAGAGGAGGGTGACCTGGTAGCTGGCGGAGGGGTCTTCGTCGTTGCCGCTGGCGATGATGCCCTTGAAGCGGACGAGGGCGAGGCGGGAGAGGATGAGGCGCGCGGGACCGGTTGGATAGTCGCCGTCGAGCTGGAGGGTGCCGGCCTCGAGGGTGAGGAGGAGGGAGGCCGAGGTGAAGACGAGGCAGAGGACGGCGACTGCCGCGAGGGCGTGGCGGGTGAGTTTGCGCTGGAGGGGAGAGAGAGCCATTGTGAGCGAGTGAGCAAAGGAAAGGCGTTCTCTGAGTGAAGGAATGATGCTCTCGAGAGCGTTGGCTGGGTTCAGGATGGTGATGCAGCCGCGATCAAGTCCAGTCGCAGAGGCGAGGGCCAAATACCGGGTGATGATGGATAAAAAAACGGCGGAAACGTGGCGGCTTATGTTAAGACTCATACAGTCAGTCATTATTTGGTCAGCGCGAGCGAACCCGTTCAGGAAATTCGGATGTGCTAGTCTGGATTATCTCGTGTTCGCTTAAATTGCCTGGCTTCCTTCTGAAATGGCCAACTTGTATTTTTATTGATGAATACAGCTCATGCTGATGTTGTTCATTACAGGTCGACTGATGTGCGTTTTAACGACGCAATTCACCACCGTTACACCAACTCTCAGATATGAGAATTGGTTGCAGGTAAGCGACGCAATTCTGGCGCACAAGGTATTCATCCTCTTATACACACAATCACGTCGTTACCTGAGTTAGAAACATCACGAATATCACGACAGGGGAAGGAACTCTTGTTTGAGCTTCTCGTGTTGAATCATTGCCTTCTACATTCTAAACTGGCATCTCCTGAATGAAGCTATTAAAGAACGATACATCAATATCCTCAACCACACCTTCGTTCTCATTTAGCTCCTGGATCGGTAATAAAAAGCCCAAGCTTCCATCTTCAGTTCCTTGAGATGCCTTAGCAAGATGATCGCGCGTGACAAAGGGCATGAGTTGCGCCAAACAAGGGTTTTGCAAGAAGGTACTGTCAGGCAGTTTAGATTGATGCACTTCCCGAGCTTGGTTTGAGGTTGGTCGAGGTTGAGTCGTAGATTCCGCAGGCTGGGATGCCGAGTTGGAAGTACGGCTTGTTTTGGTCGGGAGTCGTCCGCTTTGACCAGGACCGCGCTCGATCTTCACGACCCATATATGGGGAAGATGAATGGTCAGTACGGAACCATCTGGACTTAGTTTGAAATGACTACCGCCGGTCCCTTCCTCTCTGTCTATATCAGAGTCCATGCACGAAGTCACAATGTAACTCGATCCGGCTGCTGCATCCTCCTCGATGGCTAGGAGATGCTCGAGTAAGGTGGCCACCATTAATCCAATGGCATCGTCGTTTATACGTGCCATATCTGACATGTATTGCAGTGTGTGTTGTAGCAGACCGCGATCGCTCAACCGCTGGTGAACGAGGAAAGGGAACTCCCCATCGCCTGTACTCCTCCGGCCATGATCACAAATGTGAGCAAGCCCAAGTGCCGTGCAGGCAAGGAAGGCGAGAAGATCTACACCGCGACAGTAATACCCAGTTGGTCGAAAAGTGCGAAAGCTGGCGATCCTGGACAGGATCTCGCGGCTGGCAGAGATGGCAGCCATGCGGCTATACTCGTAGTCGCGTGAGCTCTCCAGGGGTAGGAGGTACGGGAGATGCAAGTGAAGGAGCATATGATAGTGCATGAAGTGGCCGTTGAAGCGCAGGGTATCGCGGATCGTGTCCATCTGGCCGTGACTCGAGGATAAAGTAGGGGTTAGCCACCATTGAGGCGGCAAAGATGCCGACGAGTCCTGGAGTAGTTTATCAATCTCCTTCGTCTTGGCCGGGTCTAACGCATCTGTGGGCGTGCGACGCAGGATGTGTCCTGCAGCCGCGCAGTTTAGACGCTGCATTCGCTCCTCGGGTGTGCAAGTGTCCAGGATATCTGGCTTGGCGAAACTGTCGTCAACAGATATGGGCGGTAACCCGAGCATGATGGAGAGATAGCGGTCAAGCTGGACCAGCCGGAACCAGACGTGATCAGGTTTGAAGGTCGCACTCCTCAAGGACGTTGGTCTGGCACCTCGGTGGAGGCCCAGCATCTGGGCAATGGTCACGGCACGGCGTGTCGCAAGCCATGATGGTCGGAGGCTGCCAGAGTAGGATTCGTAGAGGCCCTCAAGCATAAGGCATTCGATGCCCTCGATCGATGCGACCAGCTCGTCATTGGAGGTTACGAGGTGGTGGGCCTTGGAAACGGCACCGATCATGAGTTCCTGGCGGCTTACCCTGAGATTTCCGAGATGCTCCCAGGATGCCGGCGGTATGCCTTGGAGGAATGTAGCTAGGAGGAGGAGTTTCCGAGCGATCAACACCGGATGAGATGAAGGCGACGGTAACTCAAGCAACGTCTCAGGTGATGGCAGTTCCATCTCTGGGAGGTTGACATTGACAGGCCGGGTGAGGTTTGCGCCGCGCATCATAGCAGAAGTGTGAACAGGGGCGCCGAGAATGATTTCCATGTCTCGTGCCGCTGGCCATACAGAGAGAAGCTCCCGGCACACGGAATCATATTTACCTGGTGAAGTCACAGAATTTTCCGTCGAAGGGGCATCTTCTTTAGCTGATACTGCTATAGTTGTTTGAGTAATGCTTGGCCTTGTTGTATGAACATGGCTTTGCTCTTCCCTAGCAGTAAACTAAGAAATTCCGGATGTTAGCTGCATTTGAATATGCCAATTCCACAAGATACTCGAAGCTTCAAAGGCACAAGACATACTAAGGAGGTTTCTATCCCAGAATAGTCAGGGGGAAACAGAAAGGGATAATCAGCCAAGAACGGTGGTATTTCGTCGCCAATAACCGCAGGTAGAGAGGGTTGTTGTAGCCTCTTGGGTGGCGATGATGATGAATCTCCTTGTTGGTTCTGGTCAGCGGCCTGGACAAGACGACCAACCAGGGCTTCGACTTGGGCCAGCCTGTCCACAAGATGGCGATTGCTCCCACCGGGCGCTGGCTGATCTGGGAGGTCCTGTGGAATGCAGGGTGTGCCACGCAGCTTACAGCCATGGCAAACGCCATCTATTGCTCCGTCAGCTGTGGAAAAGGAGCATCGAGCCTTGCGGCGTTTGCACTCCCAACAGCTCGAAGTGCCCTTGCGGAGCTTCCGACGCTTCGGTGCCGGAGCCAATGAGTCATCTGGGTTCAAAGAAGCTACCTGTTCCATTGCCAAGGTTGATTGCGAAGAGTCGGCCCCGGCAGTCTCGGCTCCCCGGTTCCAAGTTGCGTGGATGTGTGTGGCTGTGGAGGTTGACATTTCTTCCGCCGGTGAGACGGAGGTATTACTAATTATATCGGCCACCCGGTTATTATTATGGCAAGCATGGGTATTAGTGGGCATTCCTCGGGAATTGGAAAAACCAGAACATCCTCCCTTATACATCCGGCTGATCGGTGGAAGTCTTTATTATTCCACTCAAAACGAAAGCGGGATCCCTAACACCGAGACTTAAATCCATATAATTCATCATGTACAGTTAGAATATAAATAAGGCCAATGGCCAGACTGTAGGCTCCATTGTGAAGAAAACCATTGCCCATCACCATCTCTGCCTTCGGTTCAGTCCACATTGAATAATTTGGTTTCACTTCCAATCTCATTCGACACTAATTTATCGAAATCACATTCCGCAATATCCTTCGAAGTCAATCATCATGGTCAGCATCGCAATTGCGGGTGGGGCAGGCAGTATGTTCATCAGATATAGGGGATCTATACCCTTGCTATTCTAACTCTGGTTATCAATTTTAGATGTTGGTCGAGAGATTATCGATGCTTTGATTGCGGCCAACAAGCATGACATTCTAATTCTGTCTCGAAAAGTTTGTTGGTTCTTCTTCCGACTTCATACAGATCCCATGCTCTGACATGATTGTTCAGGAGGCCCCAACAACTCCAATCGCGCCCGGAGTCAAATGGGCACAGGTGTCATATGACAAGGTTGACGAGTTGACTCAGGCCTTAGAAGGAATAGACACTGTGCTATCCTTCATCGCTGAGCCCTACAACCCAGGTTCCGTCAAGCCCTCGATTCAGCGAATCCTCATCGATGCTTCTATCAAAGCCGGCGTAAGGCGCTTTGCTCCTAGTGAGTGGGCTACGTAAGTATTGCGATCCTGACGCTATTGCCATGTGTCCTTGGCTCATATCTTTGCCGGTCAGGTCCCACTTTGAAGGCATGCATTGGTACTCTTTCAAAAACGATACTAGGAACTATCTTGCCGAATTAAACAAAGATAAGAAGGTTGGTCGGCAGTTATTCTCTTGTATTTCGGATTCTTTACTAATGTGAGCCTACTCCCTGTTCGATAGGTCATCGAGTATTCGCTATTCATTCCAGGACTTTTCACCAACTATCTTACTTACCCTTTCCGATCGTCCAAGCACGTCGAGCTTTTCGAAATGCCCATCGACTTCTATCGCTGTCGGATACTAACCCTGGACGGTCATGAAGATGATACAATTACCCTCACAACTGCCCAAGATATGGCCAAGGTGGTTGCCCGGGCTGTTGACTATCAAGGAGAATGGCCCGTTTTTGGTGGTATTGTCGGCTCCAATATCACCATCTCCCAGCTCATAGCCCTCGGAGAGAAGATCCGTACGTCAGTCTTCATCCTACTCGTTCCTCTTCTCGCTAACCGGTATCCCATCCAGGTGGTCCTTTCGAGGTTGAAAAACTCAGTCTGGACGACCTCAAAGCCGGGGTTGTCAAGGCCACCTGGCTTCCCAAAGTCACCCATCCAGCTATCCCTGTGGAGCAGCGTGAGAGTGCTGCCGGGGCTCTCCTTACGGGCGTTCTATTGGGTATCCATAATGGTTGTTGGAAGGCTACTAACAATGCATGGAACGAGATACTCCCGGATATTGAGCTTTCTCGGCCTGAGGATTGGTTGGTGGATGCTTGGGCGAAGATTGATGCCGGTGCCCAGAGCGTTCATACTGGCGAGTAAATTTCTGGGTCAAAACTTCTCTAGATCTTAAAGATGTAGAGTTGTAGAGTGATGGGGTCTATTTTATATTGACGTCTATAGCATCAGGGGAGCATGATCATCTAATTCGCCTGAGCAAAGAACTATACAATATCTTGTCTACACTTTTCTATCGGGAATAGCAAATAGAACATTTATTCGTTATTCAATAATAATGCATTTGTCGTTGTATGATATTACGGTTGAGGGAAAAGGCCCTTGTACTTGAGCAAAGCCTCCTGAAACGGCACAGGCTTTCGACCAGTCAACTTCTCAACCGTATCGCTCGTCTCGCTCATAAACCCACGAGCCACCATTTCACCACAACACAACAAGTCTCCCATGCAGAGCTTCATAGGAAGCTTGGAAAAGTCACCCGTGAAATCATCTGGTAGACCTTTCTCATGCCACCACTGCTTCAGCTCCTCGTCCGGCAGGTCGACAAAGGTAGCATTGTAGCCGGTCTGGGAGCAGATCCAGTTGAAGACGGTTTCGTTTGTCACGGCCTCAGGACCAGTCACGTCGTATACCTTATTAGGCTCGCCCTTCCCGAGGAGCAGAGCGGCGAAAACTCGGCTACAGTCCTCTCGGGCAACGTAGGCGCCGGCAACGCCGTGAGTGTTTGTGAGCCAACGGTCACCACTGAACTTCCAAGAGGGAGCAAACAGAGTGGGAATGTTATCGGCGTAGAGGTAATTTCTCTGGATGTTGTAGTCCAGACCAGAGGCGTAGATGATCTGCTCGATAGCATGGTGGTCACGGGGCAGGAAGGGAATATCCTCCTCCTTCTCGGCCTGGATACCCGCTCCAACGAAGGAGGTGTAGCAGACCCGCTTCACGCCGATCTCCTTAGCCACATTAACAATGTTCCGGGCTTGTTGACGGCGGCCTTCACCAAACAACCAGGTGGAGATGAAAGCTACCGCTTCCGCGCCCTCAAATGCTACCTTGAGGCTTTCAAGGTCGTCATAGCTGGCCTCGAGGACCTTGATGCCCTTTGATCGCCATTCCTCAACGGTCTTGGGGTCTAGAATGGATATCTTATAGGATGTGAGCACGAGCTCATCTCCAGGCTTAAGGATCTCGACGGCATACTGGGCAGCAACACTACCCAGATTTCCGTCAATGCCAGTGAGGACAAACTTGGTCATTGTGGGTGGAATATAGTATAATACAAGAGATATCAAACGGTGAGAATATATCGAGAGTACACAATGATGAATACGTAGGCAGGCCCCCTTCATCTTTAGGAAGGTAACCTCTTTTTATACTTACCGACAGGACGGATATCTCCCAATGCCGGGAATACGGAAGTGTACTCAGTTACGTACAGCCCGAGTTTCCAGCACTAGCCTTCTCGCATAGAAGCCCAGTCAGACCACGGCGTGGGGTGATGAAACTCCACAGTGCCGCTCAAGCATCCGTCTTTTCTTGAATTAACGGGGCTGGGATCCACGGCGACCCGGCCACATGCTCTGCCCATCATGCGTTTTAGGCGGCGCCAGCTATGGCAGTATGACAAACCATCCACCGTTTATCGGGTATCCCACTTTATGCCGAGTGGAGGCATTCATGGAAGAGACCGGGCGTGCCTGGAAGAGTGGAGGAGGCAACCAGACGGTGCTGGTCAAGATTGGGCATTGCAGGCATGTTTACATGTTTACATATAAACATGTCAACATGTTTATTTCAGAATGCTACTGCATGACGTTATTATTAGGTATAATTGTTCCCATCCCATACACTCCATTGACAGATTTCATCTATGGAGCTCTCCCGAGAGCTCTCATCCGTGATCTGCTTCCCTTCCGGTGGGTTACATCCGGCACTGACTTGACGCCCTTCCGGCCGGTAGTTCTCATCCGTCTCGTATTTATACTCGTTTTCGGCAGTTCTCACCCCTCCCTCGTCTGGACTATCGACTTCTTGACTGTGATCCTCCACGGATTCGACGATCGTGCTGGCCTGGTGGCAGCAAGATCAGACTGGCTGCTGTTCCAGTCGTCCACACGCAAGTCTGAAGTCTCGGATCCATTGTCTCTCGCTCCCTGGCCCTCTAGATTGAGTTTACGGTCATTCGCGCTGCCCTCGCCGTCGCGCCCGACGACCACCGTGTGGCCCAAGCGCTCATCGGGGCGATCTCCCATCTCAAATACGTCAGTGGTTGCGTTTCTGCCGCTGCCGGTCCGATGCCACTGTCGGCCGGATGTGTCGCCTGTCTGGGCAGAGGAGCCTCCACCCAAGAAGGCGCGTAGCAGCGGTCGGAGAGTTGCGAAGCCTGCTGTACTGATACCGAGGCCGGTTTCGACGGTTGACCAGATGGTGAGGTCCGAGCTACTGTAGAGGAAGTCCTCGGTGTCGGCCAGTGTAGGGAGGTAGGGGAGCCGGACAATAGTAGCAGCTGATGCACTGTTCACACCAGCGTTAGCCCGGCCTGTTTTCGAAAATGTAGACCGTCTCATTCGAGAGAATGCATGATAGAAAGCGAGGTGTAGGGGTTCTTACATGGCACCGGCAGCCAAAACCAGAATGACCGAGATCTTGACTCTGGTACTCATTTGTAGATTCCAAACCATGAACATGGGAAGAATGCTCAGAGTCCAATCTGTGACACAGCTCATTATAGAGTATCCGTAGGCCGAGCCAGTCGCGATGTCTGGGTTCATGCAGCTTCCCGCTGGAGGGTTGGCAGTAAATCGAAGCCAGAATAGCGAGGTAGGTCGGCACTGCAGAATGAACAGCAGGAAGAAGAACAAACTGTAGACTTGTGTAATCCCCATCACGATCCAAATCGTGATGACATGTGCCCGATGAACACATATTCGTAATAGAAAGAGGGCAATACTGGCTTTGATACACATGTTGGTCAACACGTAAAGCGGCTCGCATGTCCACCACATCTATGTGCCAGTCATGTCAGTTCATGTATGATGCCTCAGATGCCCGCCGGTCCTCACCTGCATCGCTTTGGAGATGTCTTCAACGGGAATGTCCCCGATATGTCGGCCGGTGCCATAATGGACACCTAAAATTTCAAATACGCTGAAGCAAATATAGAGGATCTAGACATTCGCTGTTAATGAAGTCGATATGGAGTGTTGAGGCAGGGAGAGGCGGACTTGGGCAGCGGCTGCAAGCCAGTCATCTACAGCAAAGGCTTTGATGACCCATGCTCGGCAGTAAACGCGAAGTAAGGAAGCAAAAGTCGTCAGAGCTAGGAAGAAAATGGCAACACCCTTAATCTGGTCTCCGCGGCTTTCGGGGGCCATGATGATGCAGCTGTCACGCTTTTAATAATGGAAAGAATGACACAACTCGCAAATTTCAACATTTATGGAGGGAAACAAAACAGACTGCTCATCAGGAAGCGGAGTGACGAATACATAGTTCAATAGTTCAAGAGAGGCAACCCCCTTTAGTTCCTGATTCAAGACCCGCCAACCGCGATCCCAGTAAATGGAATCAACAGCCGCATCCCCGAGCAGCCTCAAGAAGATAAATCAGACCCTTACTTGATCCCACTGGCCGCGATCTCAGTGGATGGAATCAACAGCCGCATCCCCGAGCGGTCTCAAGAAGGTAAATCAGACCCTTCCGTGATCCCGCTGACCGCGATCCCGGTAAATTCAATGAATAGCTGCAGCCTTAAGCATGTAAGTCAGACCTTTCCTTGGTCCCACTGACCGCGATCCCAGTGAATACGATCAAGAGTTACTTCCTCAAGCAGCCTCAAGCAGGTAAATTGGATCCTATTCACGAGCCCTGGCCCACTAAAACCCCGGGTTCATCAGCCTTGCCTACATGATGTAGGTACTCGTATGATGGCCTGCCAGCCTCAACGGTCTTGTATATACCTACCTAAGACATTACTTTGGGTACATGTAGAGAAATCCACTCTTAAATGTATGATACGAGCCTTTTGTACATACTATGTAGTACCGTATTCTCTCAAAAAAAATCGGTTTTTATTTGCCCCTTGGTTTTGTTCCCAGTTTTCTATACTTGTGTCTTAGAAGCGGGGAGCTCAAACATGGATGTTTGGATCTACTAATGCAGGAAGACATCTTTTGGAAGTTACATGCGCTCACGTGATTAGGCCAAGCTAAAACAGGGAAGGTGTTGACCGACGCCTTCAAGGGTTGAGCGCAGCCTCAGATTTGCCTCTTTAATTGACGGTAGGTTACTCCGTACTCTATATGTCGACGGTTGTTAGCTGCTAGATTTTGAAACAACCGGTGATTACCTAGTTGATACAATCAATATAAAAATAGATCTCGGGTCATCTACGCTCTGATGATGCCTTCGTGATCTGAGGTATTGTTGAACCTTACCCTATACCACAGAACAGGTAATCATTAATCTGCTACAAGGCACTACTACGTCTCATGTAATCTCCTTCCATAGACTTGTAACTTATCCTTTAATTGATTCAATCTATTCGCTCATAGTCTGTCAACAAGTATGTCGTAGTATTGCGAAGAAAGCGTTTCGTAGTGTTGTAAAGAAGCATGCCTTATACACGTGTATACCATATGACCGTAGAGTCGAGGTTTAAGTAAACTATAAAGTTAGTTTCGGTATGAATAAGAGTAACAACTGTTAGTCACATTTATTATCATCGCGACAAATAAGATCCAACTAACCTACTTACAGCATCAGAACTCCCTGCTTGAGGCCGCTCGAGGCTGCAGCTATTGATCGCATTTATCAGCATCACGATCAGCGAGGTCAAGGAGGGGTCTGACTGACCTTCCTGTTGCAGCTCTTGATCCTATTCGCGAGAGTCGGTATGGATGGGATCACACTTATCTGCTTGAGATTGCTCGCAACTGCAGCTGTTGATCGAATTCATCAGTATCACGGCGGATAGGATCGATATTACCTGCTCGACGCTGCTTGAGGCTGCAACTATCGATTGTGTTTGTTCAGTTTATTAAGCTGAAAAAGAGAAGGTGTTGTCCGACCCCTTCAGGGGCTTAATACAGCTTCCAGCTTTGTATATTTAATTAACGGTAGGTTACTCTATGTACCGATAGTTATTGGCTGCTGGATTCTCAAACAATCGGCAATCGGTCGATAGAAAATTAGACCGCGGGTCATCCCGTCCTCAATAATGCTATCGTGAGCTTGCGAGGAAGGTGTTTCGTGTTTGGTGAGGAAGTGTGCTTTGTACGCGCGTATATTATGAACCTTACGGATACAATCAATAGCTACAGCGTCGAGCAGCGTCGAGCAGGTAATATCGATCCTATCCGCCGTGATATTGATGAATACGATCCACACCCACAGCTACAGGCAGGTAAGTCAGATCTTATTTGCCGCGATGATGAGAAATACGATCAACAGCTGCCGCCTCGAGCTGCCTCGAGCAGGTAAGTTAGATTCTATTCACGTAAAACCCTGGCATCATCACCCTATGATGGCCTGCCAGCATCAACGGTCTTGTATATATTTACGTTAGCTATCATCTGTTGCCACAACCAGTTCGTAAGTAACTGACCTAACTGTCTTTCGTCATAACAGATAACAGCTGTAGTCCCAGCTTGAAAGTCAGCCACTGCGACAGCTATTCCATTAGAAGCCGACTTGCTATCATCTGCCTCAACAGTCAATTCGTAAGGAACTGACCTAGCTGTCTCTTACCATAACGGGCAATAACTAAAGGGTTAGAAATCAGCTTCCTCGACAGCTATTTCATCAGAAGCCGACTCAGCTGTCTAACTTGACCTGTCAATTGACTGCGGCTTGCGACAGCCTCTTCCGTGTAGGCGATACAGCTGCCTAAGTCATATTCGGGCCGGGGAGGAAAGTGTGTTGCTGATGCTAATGGTGGTGTACTGGTGCGGCCCATGAACCCTTTTTGAGGAACTGGCCTTGATTTACGAGGCCGTCAGCAAAAGTTCTGGTCTGTCATATGCCCCCAAAATGGATGGCTACTGCTTTCGAGCATTCGGTTCTCTTTGATGATATAGCTTTGGGTTGTGACTTTTCTTGAGGAGGGACCGTCTGATAAATCACAAGTTAGTATCGATCTGATATCGCCACAGCAGCAATAGTCACTGCAAGCGTGGATTCCGCGGCAGAGACAGTAGATTCGCTTCTCCACTCGTTCTAATCCTGTGAGTAACAGAAGCCGGAGTTTCGGAATTTAACTCGATTAAAATTTTCCAACTTCTCTCTCCTCTTGGCGGTCCTAAAGATCACGCCAGGGACACTTAAAAAAACAATAGGTGGAAAATTAGCGACAAGAACAGATAAAAATGACTCAGCTAAATAATATTTGGGATCGGGATGTCGGCAAGTTTAGAGGCATTTCAGTCTGGCATCCCCAATGTGAAGTCACAAAAGAAGACAAGATCTACTCCTCTCCTTCTATTAGAAAGAAAGATCTGCTTATCATAGCCCGTCCGAATTGGGAAAACGGAGTTGGGGTAGCCAGTTACAAAACACCAAGAGAGAATGTGTGTGTGTACTTGTCAACTAATATGTAACGTAACATGCGAATCCATGTTTTTATATCGCAACATAAAAACGGACTATGCAACTAATGATTTAAGACGGAGACGACGATCAGATGTGTCAGCCAACGAGCTAGAAGGGAGGAAGAATCAAGAATCATTTAGAGATGCGGGCTAATTCCACTTCTGAGCTGCAACTAGCACAAACACGATGGTAGTTCTGTCTAGATGTCGATCCCCGAGACTAAACTGTCGCAAAGGTGGAACCCGTTTCAATATATCACTGAATGTACTGCTATTCTATATACTAGGGCGACGCCTGTGTCTATGTGACTTGATGCTATAATACTCTAATTTCCCTCCGTCATCCACTGTGACTGTACAACCTGAGATATTCAGGGCATGGGTTGTTTCTCCATGCTATGCTCCTCAAAAACAATCAGACTGTCGGTCAGAAGTATCTTCTTCTGCTGGTCTGTGGTATTTTCCCTTTGGAATCCTTTCCAATCCAATAATGTCGAACTAACAAGTTATGCAATGTAATATTTACCTCATATGAACAAATGACGCCCTTCGTGACTCATTCAAAACGTTAGATATACAAGAATTGTCGATAATCCACACAATGCAGTAAGTGATATGGGCAGTTGTCTGGCCATGCCGGACTCAGTCTTGGAGGTGGCGGAGGGAGTAGCCGCTACAGTGGTTGTGGTTCCCAGCTTGTCTAGGTTCACTCGGCCACACATCTCCTCTTCAGTCAATTCCCTCGATGAGAGGGTGTCGTTTGGTATCAACGTCGTGTTTGATGTCAACGTCACGTATGCGCACTGCCGCTGGTCAGTACTTGAGTTCATAACGAAGAGTGGCCTTGCCCAAGTGGACCAGTACTTACTTGATCGACCTGCTCGAATACGCCGCTGTTGTTTCTATAGTCCTGGATCTGGAGAGCAAAGGTCACGTTGAGCCCCTCTAAACTCGCAATTGCCGTTTGATTCGTAGGATCCGTCAATCGCTCGGTCATATCCATTGGGACATGGCAGCTCATCCCGTTGCCAAAGCCCCTCCACCACTGCATCCGCTTCAACGAGCCCGACTTAAAGTCCGGATTCTCCCCCCACGGGTCGTCGTTGAAGTACATGTCGATGAGAAAGGCATCCCCGGTCGAAACGGTAGTCAGGTTGACAAAGTCGAAGCGGATCGAGCCGCCCGTGATGGGGAAGTAGGAGCGCGTCACATTAGTCGGCACCGGCTTATGCATGCAGGACGCCTCCGCGTTGACGAACCCCGTTTGGACCTCGCCATTCTTGACCAGGTACTGATCGCCGATGTCCGTCGTCCAGCGCGGCGGACTGGCGAGGTCCATGTAGGCCGGGACGGTCCATGCCCGCGCTGAGGGGACGAGAAGCAGCGGCAGTAGGGTGGCCGGCAACATGGCGAGCACTCAGCGACGCATCGGCGGCGGCGCTTTCACAAGCTTCAGAGAAGAGTTGGCATCTGTCGTTTTGCGTGGAAAATGCACAGAGGCGAGGCGTCTTGGGATGGCGGCGGAGGCTGCATTTTTGGTCAGATGGTAGGGTTGCACTAAGGCAAGGGTTTAATTGCATGCCCAGCCCATCCTTCACGCAAGATTACGTAGGTAATTTCGCTGGTAGCCTACCACATTACACGGACGGTGCCACGAGAGGGTCTGCAGCCGAATCGGCCCCAGATTCAGGGGTCTTTTCCGCCCAGCGGTTCAAACCCGAGTCATTTCCAGCGCTAGCCGCTGTCAGTCCTGAGGGAATAGAGAGGGAATGACGTTTCGGTGGGGAGACGTGTCTTGACAGGGGGTGAAATCTCTTATACCTTATCGCCGCCTCTCGAGACAGAACAACACTCTGCTCCCCCATCCACGGGCGTTCATCCAGCGTCTGAAAACTCTTGGGTCTCGTCAGTAGGACCGAGCCAGAGAAGAAACTTCAGAACGGGCTTTCGACCACTGAATTCTAAAGCCGCCACCTCTAGCCCCGGTTAGACCGGCGTGTAGGTACGGTGTGAGGAGGCTTACTTATGATTACATGGTGCTCCGACACGCGGCAGCCTTGTCAACAGCCCCTGGTTTGACAATTCCCTCGGATTTCTGACATGTCGACCCAACCTTGAACACGGAATTTGCCAGTAGGCTATCCCAGCCGCACTTCGCCCCCAGTGAGACCGGCCGCGACGGTGACAAATGAGCGCCGAGTTTGCCAAGATAGCACCCATCATTAGGCTTAGCTTGGGCTTAGGTCGGGCGCCGCGTGCTTACGAAGAGCGGTAGAACATTTCCTCGATCAAAATGTCTCAGAAACGAAGCACGTAGAGGGGCTCTGCCCCGCCTTTCGAAGGAGAAGCAGATGCTGATGATATGTCATCCCGTCGTCAATCTTCCGCAGCTTGGGTCGTACCCCCACGGATCCATCTTCTGCCCTCCTATCTCTGATTCGTTCACTCAACATTTTCTTGCCGTTTCACTTCCTGGAGCCACCTCAATGCCTCAGTTGACTCGGGTCCTCACACTTCGTAGGTTGAATGCCGTTTGATCTCATGACTCGCTGGACAAGGTACGATTGAAGTAGAACCTATTTAATAAATATATCGGGTCTTATTCTATGTTTTCGATGCTGCTCAAAGATCCATTTTCGGTTTAATGGCGTATGGGTTATCGAGATGATACCTGGAAGATAGTAGGTATAGTACGCCACGGGTCAAGATCATGTTCTCACGAAGTGGACAGTCGAAGGTCATTTGTTTCACCAAGTTGGGTAAAAATGTTTTCAAAAATTTAGAAGGTAGGAAAATATCTCAATTCAGTTGCAACAGGGATATGAGAGCGTTCGCGATGTCTTTTGCAAACCCCGGATCGTTGATATCCCGTTGATCCTCCACAGTCTTGATTCCACTATCTCCAAGTTCTTCCTTGATCGTATTGAATAGTATCTGATCAGCGCGACGGTCTTCGAAAACCCCTCCAGGTGTGGAAAGCATGCTGACTCCCCCAAGAGGAATCCAAACCTGAGTCTTTTCAGGTGTCTTGGTGCCCCTTAGCTTCTTGGCAATGAACCTGGCTATTTCCGCGCTCTCTTCCTCCGATGTACGCATAAGAGTTGTTAGACTGTTGTGTTCATACAAATTACGCTCACGGTATTTTTCGGGAATATCAGCTTTCGGCCCAAAATTAGACATATCCAAGGCCCCCAGTGATATGATCGTGGGTATCTCGGCTCGAATTGCTGCATCAAAGCGCTCAGGGGCTGCAGCCATGATGCCTCCAGTCACCATATCGCATACCTCAGTAGTCGTGAGATCCAGGACTGCATCAAGCTGACCTTCGGCGACTAACCTTTCCATCGATTTACCCCCATGACCGGTGGCATGAAAGATGTAAGTCTCGATTTGCTGGGACGCGTCTAAATGCTTCTTGATGGCGTTCACCGCTGGAGTCGTAACGCCAAACATGGTGATGCCAACACGCTTTTTGGGATTGGACTCGATTTGCGGCTGTGTTTCGTTGCGAGCTTTATACGCCGCCGCCATCCCCGAGATGCTTCCCGCAGCATTCGTTAGGATCCCAGCTAGAAGGCGATTCAACCCGGCGACGTCCACCACCGAGTACATGAGCGTCACATCCGACTCGCCAACAAGGACGCTGGTATCTCCGCTGGCTACCGTAGACACAATGAGCTTGGGAAACCCAATTGGCAAGGCACTTCTGAACGCCTTTGAGGCCAACACCGTGCCTCCCGAGCCGCCCGCGGCAATGACCCCATGAAGTGGTTGTTCCTTGTAGAGCTCTCCCAAAAGGCCAGCTGCGCACTGAGCCATGAACGAAATTAGCTCAGAACGTGGCATTTGAGAGGTATCAGCCCCCTTGCCATACTTCTTTATCAAGTCCGACCGAGAGAAATCAATCTCTTCATGCTCGCAATCCCGCCATCCGACATCGACTAAACGAGTCGTGCCGTCCTTATTGCGTTCTCGGATAGCATTCTTAAGAAAGACAAGCTCTTCAAGCTTGGTGTCGCATGTCCCGAAGACGACCACGGCAGTCATTTCGGAATTGGCCGGCTCGTGTGCTGCAACGGCAGTCTGGCTTGTGAGTCGTGGTGACGGGCGAAATGGGTGAAAAGGAATTTGAATGCAATTTATCCCCTCTTTATACACTGTCTTGCTATTACCAAAGAGTGCCGGCTAGTGTCGCAGATATCACGTCACCATGCAGCAATTCGTCTGAGCTGACCACCTTACCTTCAATCAATGAGAATTGCAAATGAACCCAGCTTTTCAAGAAAATACAGACATTATACCTCGCTTGTTTGCCAACATACCAAAAGCTTCTAGGGGACGGGTTGAACAGACTTGCTTTGTTTCTTAAGGTACGTTTGATTATACCCACAGCAAGGGATCTTGACGCCAGCAGGATACTTTGTGCAAAATGATGATTTTTTTTGAAGGAATGGTTGCAATATTTGAGCGAACTGTGGTACTCGTCACCATTCAATTAGACAGGAGATTTATGGAGATAATAGGCGAAGATGTTGCCGTTGTCATGAGATTACATACAATGGAACCCCACAGCTACATGTATTTACACGTCATTCCCCTCACTTCTGCCTGGCCAAGTTCCTTCATCTTTGGCCGTAACAGTGTATCGGACACATAAACATGGCACCCCCAACAAACAGGAAAGAAATACTCAAGGCGCTCAGGGCTCAGATTGCTGATGGAAAGCCCATCGTCGGTGCCGGAGCCGGCATTGGCCTCTCCGCCAAGTTCATCGAGGCTGGCGGGGGCGACCTCATCATCATTTACAACAGCGGTCGCTTCCGGATGGCCGGGAGAGGATCTCTCTCCGGATTGATGCCCTACGGCAACGCAAATGACATTGTTGTTGATATGGTATGTAATAAATGCACTCTGAGGGTTTGACACAGGGCGAGTAGTGCTGACTTGAGTATGACCAGGCAAAAGAGGTCCTCCCCGTTGTCAAGCACACACCCGTCATCGCCGGCGTCTGTGGAACTGACCCCTTCCGTGATATCCCTCGCTTCCTACAGCAGCTGAAAGACCTTGGATTTGCGGGAATCCAGAACTTCCCCACCGTCGGGTTGATCGACGGACAGTTCCGGGCCAACCTGGAAGAGACGGGCATGTCGTATGATCTCGAGGTCGACGCTATCCGCTACGCCCATGAGCTCGACCTGCTAACCACCCCGTACGTGTTCAACATCCAGGAGACGGAGAAGATGGCTCGCGCGGGGGCGGATATCCTCGTCGCGCACATGGGATTGACGAGCAGCGGGTCTATTGGCGCGGCTACGACCAAGACGCTGGACGAGTCTGTCGAGTTAATTCAGCAGATCCGCGACACGGCCGTGGGCATCAACCCGGATATCATCATTCTATGCCACGGAGGGCCGATTGCAAACCCCGAAGACGCCGAGTACGTCCTCAGTCGGACAACGGGCATTCATGGTTTCTATGGGGCAAGCTCTATGGAGCGACTACCTGTGGAGGAGGCCATCACGAGTATCACACAAAAGTTCAAGGGAGTCGAGATGAATCGAAAAACATAAGCAGTAACTGCAGTTTTTTCTAATGGGATAAAAAATAGATTGTTAACTAGCCTGGGTAGCTAAATGAGAAGCGAAGGTACACCGCTTGATTTTGTTATATAATCTCGTATCTTGCATCTTCGCGTGGACATATCTGGGGTTTTCCAGAAGATAATTTTCACTTGAGAAGCTCGGGTACTAATAGCTAACTGACATAATATCGAGACAGTGTCAGTCTAGACAACTGGTTCTGTTCCGGCATTCTCCAAGACAAAAAGCAACCACAAAGTAAAATTCTCTTCTTAGTAAATAAAACATATGAGAACAGAGGCTACAAAAGTACCTTTGGAACTAGTATATGAGCCCTTCGATATATATAGATAGCCTGTTTATGGTGAATTTGATTTCAACAGAGGTAGGTACCTAGGTCCCTACAATAGCTCGATGTAGGGTAAGTCGAACTGTTACTACCGAGGTACGAAGGGGAGGTCGGGGCTGGAATGGATTCATTGGTGTAAGGAATTCATTAAACAGGAAAGTCCAGAAGAGAATTCACAAAAATAAACGGGTTCGAATCATTTTCTCTGTAAAATTATTAGTACTCATTTCCCCCTAAAATCGCAGGAACAAAATATTTGATTTCACTCTCCCAATGCGATCAGACGGTTTGGGTGGTGTGCAAAGTGCAGCCACAAGTAGAATTACATAATGTGGCACACAGCATTGTGGCTAGTGGCTTGGGGCATCTGCGTCACGGCATCTCTCAATGGCATTACTAGCGCCTACTTCAAAATCATGGCTCGAAATTCTCCTTCACGGGGACGAGCAATTTGTTGGCACGACAGGCTTGGCCAACCGTGCTTTTCAAAAATACCATCCAAGAGCTAATCTATAGGTATACACCTGGCCCAACATGTGGGATGAGCAAGTTTGTGGTGCCCTTGGGGCTGAGACCATCTTGTTACCTCAACCCCCAAGGTACGTTTTGCCATTCCCTCTGACCTCGCCAAGCAGGTCCTCGGATGCGACGGCGTGGGAGGGTTTGGAAACTACTTGATGGACAAGCCCTCCTTTCGAAATCAGCCACCTATGGACCAGCGGCAAAGGCAGTACGGCTGGCTTGGCCCAAGGCTTCCTGGACCTCCTCTTCAGACAGCCTCGTCTGACCTCCGCATGCGTCTTACCTAATCAGCTCCAGGGAGCGCCACCGGAGTTTCCTCGGGCCAGCCGAACAGCTGCCTTGCTCTGTCTGCCTAAAATGCCAGCCAACAGCGACCTGCGCCCAAGTTTTCAGCGTGGCAGAGGGAGCCGTGGGCGTGTCACCTCGCCAGCCTCCAGGCATCGAAGACCCGAAAGCAGCACTGGCACCACAACAACAACAACAACTCGACGCCCAAGTCACGTATGCTGATAAAATTCTCCCACATTCACCACCGCCAGCCGCAACCTCTCCACTACACCGAACAACGTGCACGCACCACTTTCACGCCCACGAACATCGCACACCGCCGCCAGCTATTTCCGAATCGCTCAACCTTGTAGCGAATTTCATCTTCGCTACTCGACGCTACACGTGCTCTATCCCACTCTCGTCGAATTCTCGTCGCAATGGCCGGAGGCAAGGGCAAGTCATCTGGGGGCAAGAGCTCCGGCGGCAAGACAAGCGCCGCTGAGGGTCCCAAGAAGCAGATGAGCCATTCCGAACGCGCTGGTCTTCAGGTACGGTGACTTTGGTTTCTTTTGTTTGATTTTTTGCTCGGTTTTCTAGCTTCATTCTCGTCTTGCGCATCGGCTGAGGGAGCTTGCGCGCCTTTCGTCACCCAACGACATTGAACCCCCGCGATGTCTCCTGTCCGACCGATTTTTCGACGCGTTGGCTCGACGCACAGCCATCACCCCTCACGACGACCAAACCACTATCAGAATTCATCGGCATTCTCGCGTCCCAGCTTGCGCGACATGGAATCTTTTAACGACCGGCGCTCGACCAGGACGTTTGATGGAGCTACAGCCTCGCGACATACGATTTTGCGCCCTTGATCTCCTGACCCCTCCGCGATGACGAGAAGAAGCCCGTGCGCCAATTTACCCTCAACCTTGGCACTAACCATTTCACAGTTTCCTTGCGGTCGTGTGAAGCGATTCCTCAAGAACAGGACACAGAGCAAGATGCGCGTCGGCGCCAAAGCTGCCGTCTACGTCACCGCCGTTCTCGAGTACCTTACCGCCGAAGTTCTGGAGCTGGCTGGCGTGAGTTCCTCTCCGACCCCTCATTGTTATTTGTTTACCATGCTAACGCTCCTCCCCCTCAGAACGCCGCCAAGGACCTCAAGGTCAAGCGTATCACACCCCGCCACCTCCAACTGGCCATTCGTGGCGACGAGGAACTCGACACCCTCATCCGTGCCACAATCGCTTTCGGTGGTGTTCTGCCACACATCAACCGCGCCCTCCTCCTCAAGGTCGAGCAGAAGAAGAAGGCCAAGGCCCTGGAGGGTTGAAAAAAACAATAAAAACGATATGAGACCTACTTGAGACTGGTGTTTGTTCTTTTTTTGCTTTTCAACTTTCTTTTCTCTCAGGGTCAGAGGTTGCAAGGTCACGAAATTAGGGATTGATGGGTTGCTGGGCTGTTTGTGTGTCTTTTATTTTACCCCCCTCTCGTTTTTTTTATTGATGACCGCCCCATGAAAGACTCCATGCGGAGGCCGCGGGTGGTCAGTCGAAGTCGCAAAGGATCTTTGGATAGGTTCAGATGCCGAGGAAACCTGCATTGCAAGATGCGGTGAGGACAGGTTCACAGGTGCGGGTCCTCTCTGCTTCCAGCATCACGAGCCGTGTAGTACTTATGGGATGGTCTTGACCTGGAGCTACCTAATATCTAGACCGGCTGGTGGGCCTGGCGAATCCGGTAGACGACAATGTTAAAAATCAAATGTTTTTCGTGGTGCGCAAGTTGCGTGTGGGATAAATAATATTTCAGTTTTCCTTCCCAGTTCTCGTCCCTTTCATCGTGACTCATATCCTGCCTCTTGCCATGCTGGGAGCCTGCCCCATGCAGGCTGTTCAAGCACCGAGAAACGCCATCATTTGTGTTAACCTAACCCATCTCGACCCTTCCTCTTCCTCATTCTATTACAACCTCTCATCTGATCCAAGCCCAGGCCCGTCTGCGGCGTCGTCGTCCTCGTAGATTTCAGGTGCGCCATCTGATGGCAAGAGCGGGGAGGGCAAGCGCCGACCAGAGCGTGCCAAGTCGGCATCCTCATCCTTTGTTCCTGGGGAACCCGCGTCATCTCCAACATCAATCCATCCAACATCCTCGCCATCCTCGTCATCCGAGGGCGGCGGCGATTTGGGAGAATCGGGCATGGCAGGCCTCGGCGACTGGCTCCCCTCCTCGCTGGACAGGGACGAGCTGCGCCTGGCAAATTTACACTGAACCTCCTTGCAAACCCCCGGCACGTAGCAATCCGTGAGGCAGTCGTGCCGTCCGTCCCTCAGCAGCAGTAACCTCTCCATCTCCATGCTCTCCAGCTGCTGGCTGACTTCCTTGAGTCGCTTTTCTGGTACGAAGATGGATGTCGGAGTGAGCCTTATCCCGTAATCGTAGTCGCCCGAGGCCTGTGAATTCTCGATGAAGAGTTTCCAGCGCCCCCACTCCCTACATTCCTCCCATCCGAGGTCGTCGATGAAGTCTTCACATCTATAATCCCTCTTGTGTCTACAGTCGAAGCACCGCCGGACGGCGAGGGGCCAGCGCCCCCTGCAGCCCCTCACGCAACACCGCCACTGTGAGAGCTTAGGGTGACGAGGCGCATAGAACTCTTCAGCTGGGGAGGGTGATCGAGACGACCTAGACGTGGATGTTCCGGGGGATGGCGGCTCTTCTTGTTTCGTTGTCTGTGTCTTGCTCCGTCGAGCTCGCTTGACTCTTCTTGGGGGAGGGCTGGAGCTATCTCCCTCAGGCAGCTTCTTCCTCTTTGTTCCCGCGACCATCGCGCGTGATTGATGCAATTTGTTGAATTATATTTCGAGGGATGGGAGCGATTCTGCGTAACAAGTTTGGTTGGTATCGGTGAGTATTGGACCTTTCAAGATCCCTTCAATTTTAGCCTCGATTGAATGGTGAAAACAAGGAAGCCAATAGTTTGTAGGATGCGTGAAATAAAAAAGCACATTTGAAGAAATTGTGCCGATGCGTTCTATGAACTCAGCCGATGTAGAAATTTCACCCTGCATTGTTGGAAACTCGCTTGCAAGGTGCTCAGCAGCACAAGAAGCACTAGATTCATTGTTCTCATGAGTATTCATAGCGACAATCTGGAATTTCCAGCGAGGGCAAACAATGAATTTTTCCCTTTTGATTTCTCTCTGAAACACCTACTGATTGTGACAGTGAATAAACGGAACAAAAAGAGTTGTTTCCCTCACTTTGTTCTCACGTCAACTGCCAACAACTTTGGTGACACACCGATATTCTGAAGCATCCGCTTCCCAAGCCGGAAAAGGCCAGACGCCCCTGCCTAACGCTTGTTTGCTCTAGGGAAACCATATCGCTGCCAACTGATTTATCTCATTTCGGATTATCGCAGGGTCAGTTTCATGGCCCGCAGGTATGCTCCCTCGATGCGCACGCATCTCGCTAGCAATTGTAATCTGACAAACTTTCCCTTCCATGGAGCTACCGGGAGATTTAGTGTGCTGGTGTGATGTCTCCGTTAAAGATGAATGGCCGAACCAAAAGTTGACGCCAGGGTTCCGAGGCAGGCCGCCGTCCGCGACGAACCAACCTAAACCGCCCGCAACTCGCTCGCTCCCCACGCCTCTTCATCAGATCGATCAGGGTCCATTCGCCTGACCCAGGGCTAAGTAGTTATTGGTAATTGGCGAGAAAGTGCAGACAAGGCCATAAGATCCAGCGATGAGGGATGGTAACCTGTTGGGTTACTCGTCAGCGTAGCTATCTGAGATGATGTCAGAATCGCCTTGTAGAATGTACAGAAGGCGGAGTGATTCTAGGCAGACTTCCGCGGCCGGCCCTATGGGGGAAGACCCATCAGGTAAGCTCTCTGATGATGAGGGAGGCCGAAAGGAGAATGGGTCGAGCAATCAACGACGGCGTCAGTGAGTGATCTGATCTAGAGCACCAATGGGATCTTTTGTTTCGGGGCTAGAATGAATCTGGATCAACAAAGGTTGGCTCGAGTGGGAAGGGCCGGATGGATTTCCCTCTCTTCCGCGTGGACATGCGTGAGTCTTGCACAGCGTCAGCCAAAGAGCAACATTGATTACGTCGCTAAAGAATGCGACACTGGAGACCTCGAAGCACTACCCAAGAGGCAGCATCCGGCATGAAGTACCTCATTCTAGAGATGCCCATGTAATAGCATCCAGTAATATCAAAGCAACTCTTGGAAACGACTCTAGGCTGCCAACAACTACGCCAGTGGAGGGTAGGATGCCCCGCACCCGAAGGGAGGACTGCATGGGATTGATTCTTCCCAAAGGCCGCGGCAAAAAGAATCCATTTGGCCGATGCCTATCATGGGGGCTGTTGGTGGAATGATGCAGCGTCGTAGATGCTGCGACCGGTCTTCGGACGGGTAGCCGTGTCAAAACAATTGGCTTAGGTCACTCATGTGACGATCCCGAGGGTAGGCCAGGATAGGCAGTGAGAGGCGATACATGGCCATGGCAGAGCGGCATCCAAAGTATATCAAAGTAAGTTTTCTGGCCATGGAGGAGTCCGTAGCCAATTGCGCCGAGAATAGGTCGTGGTTCATGCCTAGAGAAGCACACGGGTGGTCAGTGGGTGTGGTGTATCGCCAGTTGAGGAGGAGGCTATTCACAAGCGACGGCAATTCCATCATCTGGCATGCGGGCCTATCTCGACGATGGCCCGGTTTCATGCATCATAGTCCGAGAAGGGGGTTACTGACTGGTCGTTGGCGCCAAGCTGATTACCACGGTCGTGATGGGAGGGCCGACTCGGCAGATGGGTGTTGCGGCTCCATCAGCTACCCAACTTTATCCGCGACTTGCGGGTAGATAGGCAACCGCGGGTTTCCGCATCTGGCAAGACGCTGGCCGCTACGACTCAAAGGCATCATCTGATGTAGAAATGGGTGCTCAGGTGGTCGTGGATGGGGTCGCTACTGGTATGCAAACAATCAAGTTTGCGGGGAAGTGCCAACGAGATTGTGGAGGTCCAACGATGATGCAAAGAATAAGGTTGGACGTGGTGTGGGGTTGGCGAGTGGCTAAAGGGCCTCGAGGGCCTAACGTATGCCGAGACTAGCAGCTAGAGGTGCCAGATAGATCATCTCTGGGCTGCCGAGGGATGCCATCTGCCGAGAGGAAGAAGGTTGTGAAGCTTCGGGCTAGGCAGGCAAGGAGCTAAGGAGCCAAGATCGGGGTTTAGGGACGGGCAAGGGGCCAGATCCGTGGCACGCATTGCTGCGAGAAGTCGGGCGTTGTCGAGGTAGGTGGCTTGCGGGCGGTGGCCGAGTCTGGAACCAGGTCAGGTCGGACTGTAATGGTATTGAAGTGATGGTATGGTGATGGATTGGTTGATGTTGGGAGTTGTTTCGCGAGGTCGAAGTCAATTGAGCACCAGCTGTGCCTACCCTGGAAGACAGACTGCGTGTTGGCCAAATGTCAACGCTGCAGCAGGTCGCCACCTTCCAGAATGGGAGGAATTCCTGTTTATCTTGGTCCAATTGAATCCAGTAGAGATATCCTTCAGTGCAAGACGTGCTGTAGCTGTAGGCTGGCGTCCCCTAAAACTCGAGGAGGCGTGCCTTCCAATCTCTTCAGGACAGGCCAGCACCTTCCCATCATGTCCAGCAGCGACGGCAGCCTAACCAACAGCCATTTTCTAATCTTCAAAATTCAAGGCGCGACAGAAATTATCACCATTGCAATTGTCATCTACGCCATCACACATAAGAGCGGTCAGAGCTATGCTATCGGGAGATCCGTCACAACAATACGGCGATCGGCCGAGACAGGCGCATTCTTCTCTGCGGCTCGCGCGCCTACTACATCCACCACCCACCCCTTACAGCACCTACTCCAACTCTAAATTCGAGATTGCCCAGAACCAGTCTCGGCGCCATGTGCCATGACCAAAAGCACTGAACGGCCGTGCGTCATCTTTAGACTTCCACTACAGATCCAAGTCGGCAGTTGTTGGCCCGCGCCGTCAAGTGCCGAGTCGAACGGGGTGACATTCATGGCCAAGTCGCAGAAGGTTGTGCTGGGAATCATGAAGAACCCAGGTAGGTGCTCTGCCTTGACCACGGACTGTTGGCCTCTGCCTGATTAATAACCCAGACGAGAGGACCTGGATCACGTTGGTACAATGCCACGCGCGGAGAGGGGTCTCATCTGGCGTCGTATTTCCCACCAGGTGGCACCTACGCACGCACGTACATGGCTACCCAAGTCGCTGCTGATCACCCCACAATTTGTTGGTTCTTAGTCCTGAATTGCACCTTAAAGAAGTGTTCGCATTCTCGATTTACTAGTCCAACGTATCTGGGCGTGCGCGCACCATGCCAGTGCCGGTAATGGCCTGGCCCACTGGCGCCATCGTGACCGCCTGCTTGCTTGCAGTGTCGAGGCGTGACGCGACGGACGCCGCCTCACCCATTGCTCGCTCCTCCACCGCTGCATGAGATGGGGCTATATCTCGCACGTCACGAGGAGAGTGCCCTGCCCTATTTACCGCTTTGCGCCAGCTCCGAAGGCGGAACACCATCTCCAACAGGAAACGGGAGAAAGGCAAGGGGAGAAAAAAGAAATGCGCAGGCACAAGGATACAGAAAATTCAACCGCCAACTCCACTCCTCACTCTATGCGCATCCATCTTGCAGCCCCCTCAGTGGAATTCCGTAGACAATTTCGCATACCAAGCACCTCACTGGGGGCGCACAAGATGAGATGCATCTGAAGCGCGGTAATACGACGTTGAGGTTGTTTTGGATTGGCGTGGCTCAATGCCCTGCCGACCGAACACCCATACAAACCACAAAATCAAAACCCATCCACCGAGGCAGCATGATGCACCATGCCGTTGACGACAACTCATCACCGTGTTTTACCCCCTCTTTTCCCTCTGCACCTATCATACGATGACAATTTTCTCGCTTTTCCAGCTAAGCCTCGGTCAGGCGCGAAGAGGAGCGGGAAAAGAAGGGAGAAAACTGAAAATCCGAGTGACTCAATTGGAAACAGCCATCTCTGGTCTACGATTCGATGACGCCCATGGCAGGCCATCCCGGTCAGCACACAGTAGGTGAAATCTGACTACCCAGATGGAGGAGACCAGGGGATGGGTATTCGGCCCCCACCAATACGACCTTGACCACCCCGGACGTGCGTCGGCAGTGTTAGAGTAACCGAAGCCACGGGCTATTGGGCTATTGGGTGCTGTCACTGCAGGTCCTGTGTGGCAGGCGATGATGAAATATCTACCTGTCCTATTGCTCCGTACCGAGCCAGGTGGCGCCCCTCCCATCTCTCAGGCCCCCGAATAGGCGGTACACAATACGCGCCTGACAGCGGGATAGTGCCCATCAATCGTTCATGGGCCCTGCACCTATCAACCATGACACTTTGGCACTAGCTCTCCCAACCCAAGCGGCCTTGCTAGTGTCTTCCTACTATCAACTTTGCACCTAAACAGCATGCTAGGCGCCCAAGTGCCTCGAGTTTGCTCTCCCAACCTTAAAGCGAGCTAGGCCTTGGGGGACACTGGAGGGGGAGTGTCGCATAGCTCGACCTGTACAAGGCGAGACAAGACAGGCTGCTATTTCCAGAACAGTTCCACACGGGGTCAGGCACGGGCCCTTGCAGAAGAGACGAGACAGACCGGTTTGAGAAGCAGAAGAATGAGAAAAAGTAAACAGCACAATGTGATACTGGCAAAACGGGGACAAGGGTGAAGGGGGCCATCGGGAAAAATATAGCAAGGGACGGGATCCAGTAAGATG